TTTTAGGCAAAATCTCGTACGCTATTTGCAAGAGTGAATCGCCCCTTATATTTCTCCATATAAAATTCATTAACAGTGAAATAGATGATCATTTACACACTTAATGATAACAAGTAAGAGCAAATGATGGCATGAAAGTATAAGGAAATTAAGTTTGCGGAAGCTAATATTCCTGGAGTTTGCGTTTTTGGGTGAATCCATCAGCATATTTTTGCGACAAGCAAATTTTAGGATGCAAAATGAACTACAGCTTCTTTTGGGCTCCTCATAACAATAGTTTCAGCTTATAAAATTGTCTCTAATCTATAGAATTTTATTGAAAGGCAAATATGGCTGGAAACTTTTTGCAACAACACCCTTTAGATTAGCTTAAAATACATCTCAGAAAACTTCTTGCAGTTATTTCTTGCAGTCATCTCTTATAGTCGCTAGCTTGCTCCTTAAAGCAAGTTATTTGCAATACACTCTTTTTTGTACAAACCAGTGTATTCGAGTTCAGGCTGACTGTTTTTTCGAAAATCTGAGGGTGGGTTGTTCTTAATTTGTTCTTAAATTGTTCTTAAATGAGGCCCCCCACGCCCCCCCCCCCAATTGGCATATCCCTGGTTGAAGTAAATTCACATCTACAAACCAGAAATGTAAACGAATATCCTTCCTAATCTTGTTTGTTTCTCCAAAGTTTGACGTAAGCGTGGGACTCACCCTTGGTGTTATCTTTCCAAATTTTAGAAGGGTGCTAGAAAAGAACTTGAGTCATTTGATAGCATAACACATTTCTGACGCAGTTTTTATAAAAGTTGAATGAATCAAGAAGAAAAACCTATTTTGCTGTAGTATTGAGGAAATGAATTCATGTTTCTTTACTTTGAATTCAAGATTTTTAATGTGTGGTTTATCTTATATCTATTCATTCTCACAAATCTGTTTAAATTTGATATTTATTCACTCTCCTCATTCATTACAAATGGCTTGATTGTTTGAGTCTATACCTATCAATTTCTGACATGATCTCTTTCCATTAATCCCTTATTAATCAAACCAGTAAGTCAATTCTGCTGATAGTCTGGATCCGTATTCTCGAACAAACTCCGTCAGAAAAATTATTGTCATTAACATCAATGCGATACTGTTCGTATTTCCCACCACATGCATTGTTGTCAACAATTTCAAAGATAAGATGATAAGATAAATACTGAACCCCTTCGGATGACTACAATGTCTTTTTTTGGGAAGTCGCCAATGAAGGAAAATTCTAGAAAACGACGTTCAGAATTGTGATTTATGATACTCTCGATGCATTTTTAAGATATGTTTATTATCGGAGATAATAGCACCGAAGTAAATAAAATTATACTCTTTTTTTATAGGACAACACTTTATAACAACACCAAGACTCTAGTCCATTGAACTAGTTTAGACCACGTGCTTTAAACTAAGCTATATCCCCCTCGAAACATACTCTTTGCGGACTGCACTTAGTTGGGCCCCTGAAGACAGTTTTCCTCGTACCTTTAAAACTTTGTCTATGGTATACCAGGAGTGCCGTCCTAAGAAGTTAGGATGAGGAGCTGTGCTGTAGGCAAATTAAAGAGTCCACAACCATGGCTACACCCTTACCACACACATTAAACCTGCATTTGTGTTAAAGAATCTCCGTTGTGTGTAGAACGCATTCAAAATATTCGATACACAAACAGGCTGGTAAGAATTTGCTCATTCATGAGAAATCGATAGTAAAAAAAGGGTTGCCAACACAATCTGATTCATATTCATTCTAATTCATATTCACATTAATATCAATATTTAAATTCGTCCAACCAAGATAACTAAATATGGATGCAATTGTTAAGGGGACTGAGCCCCCTAAATCTCTCTGAATTTTAGCAAGGGGTGCTGGGCCCCCTGAGCCCCTCTCCATGGCACCGCTTTGAAATACCATTACTATCCTTATATTGGACAGCCAGGTACCCCTGCCCTTTTAACTTTTTGCATTGTGTAAACGTACCTTCATAAGTTTATAGAAACATCAAGATTTTAAAGACCATTAGTGAGAAGTTGAATGAATTTTATTTCCTATCGCAATTGTTTCAAAATCCTTGTCCTAAAAACGAGATTTCTTCATTCTAGGAACAATGCGCTATTATTCATACATGATACACATTAAAACATTGTTTCTTTTAATTATCGCCTTATAAAATTTTCAAACTGTCCAATTTGTCTGCATTTTGTGGAGGCGAACAGAAGCAAAGTGTTGTTTCTCGCCTGCATGTTTCCTTTGAAGGAGACGATCGAATCAATAGCCTTTCACATCAAACCTGCAAACACTCGTTTTTTAATGACATTTGATATTATAAATCACTTCGGGTGCTTTCAAAGGCGCCAGAGTTGTTGTTTTTGAACAAGGTACAAAAGATCTCTGTATTGCATGGTTCCTCTGTTTCGTCGAAAGAGCCAAGGAACACACCTTTCCGCTTAAAAGTGGAGGAACTCTCTATGGTCAACTTAACAGGAAATAAGAACACAAATCTAGTATTTGATTGAAACAAAGTAGTAAAATGGGACTGTTTTTTTAAAGTCAAACCAAACCCTGGTGTTTTGATTTTACGATGGGATGCCAATATGAATGCCCACCTCTTGAATCCGACTTTGAAGAGGTAGAAACGATTCCTTTACAAAAAATCGGATACAAATAACTTTCAGCAATTGGGAATCTAACTGGAACAAAACTTAAAACACTTGCCCACATAAGCCATAAAATTCCAAAAGATTCTGGTGTTTTGATTATTGCGGCGTCTGTACATTGCCGCCTATTTATTTAATTGTTATATTTTCTAAATTAAATCCAAGATTTTCCCATAGTTTTCTCACGCCGTTGTCTTCGGCTGTTTGCGATTTTCGTAAATGGATCTCCTGCATTATATGTTTATCGAGAAAAATTCTTTCAAATCATGCCAGACTGTCTGGCGGCCTAATTGAACTTTCCCATTTTTTCCGTTCATGGTCTCTTTAAAACAGCCTTAGTTTTCTAGAAAATATAAAGATCTTTTTGCTTTATTTCAACAACATCCGATCATATACCAACGACCTAAAACCAGCCAGGGGTAACTGCTCCGCAATAATTTTATATAGGAGATAAACGATAAAGTTTGGTTCAACCTCCTTCTTTCGAGTCAGAGTATGCTTTTTGGTCTCCAGTCTGTTGCAGAAGAATTTTGAAATGAAAAAGGCCTACGACATTGAACTGCACAAGATTTAAAACTTTAGAAAGCGAAAATATGCTAGTTTAGGAGTTTTACCTTTAGGGGTGTAAAGGGTATGGCAAGAACATTTTGGAAGACCTCTGGAAATGAAAATATCGGCTAAGAATTCATTTCAATTCAATTTTATTTGTATTCTACAGAAAAAGAATGCTACAATATTACTGTAATATACACGACCCAAGAAAAGATTTTAAGTTTCCTATCAGATTACTATTATCATGGCTTTGATAATAAAGCCTATTTTAAAATTATGTTGAATTAAAGACACATTTTCAGAAAATGCATTGGGATGATAGTTAATGTAAAACGAATATTGTCAAGAGCCCTCTCGCAGTTTATTGAGTCTTCCACGTCATCTTGGCTCCAATCCTAGCTTAGCTGTATGCAAAATCATCAAAACTTCATTTATTAACCCTTCGTTTTTATAAGAAAACAAAGAAGTTTCCCATCTTTGATATTATCAAGAAACTTTTTTTGGGCATGAATATTTACTGAATATATTCCTATTTCATCAAATGAGAATATAAAGTTCCTTCTCCAAAATTTGATGTTATTTTACGCTTTGCGAAATAAAGTTGGATGATGACGTCAAGAAGGGCTATTGGGGAACAAAGCAAAAACAAATTTCATGTCATTACGAGGAAATTGCTAAAAGAAAAAATTGAGCAATTTCAGCCATAAGCATGATCCTGAACAAAATGTCTTAAATTTACGAAGAAATATCCTCATGATTATCTTATGTTAGAGATTATCTTATGTTATCGTGCTACAGGTTATACACTTTTTTTTTATAAGAACAATTTTATAAGAACACGAGCCTCAAAATTGGTCTAAAGTTAAGAACAAATTAAGAACAAGCTGAGGCTGAACTTCTGCAAATTGCAATTTTGAACAACTTTTTTTCTCAAAATCGAGGATTTTTAGCGATGTCTTGGTGATTTTTCGGTGAGTATTCAAATTTGGCAGCAAATTAAGGCTGTCTCCCTGACTTTGTTGGCAAATGAGGCCTGAACACCTTCTTAGAGCGAAAAAGCTAGCAATAGCACTGCTTACACCCTCTTACTTTAAGAACAAATTAAGAACAATCCAGCCTTAGATTTTCGAAAAAATTAAGAACAGTCAGCCTGAACTTAAATTTACTGGTTCTTATAAAAAAAAGTGTACCCTGGTGCTAAAAGTACAGGCAAACTGTACCTATAACAATCTGAATTCATTTCTCTGCGAAAGGTTCAGTATCTCCCGGATTTGTGATAACAAAATGATGTGGTAAGGGTTTTGTTGTTTCATGGGTTTCATTTTTGACCCCAGCCAATTTTTCTGTAGATACAACAAGCACAAACCACATTCTTTGACCATGAGTGAAAATTCTTTTACAGAAATTCAACATTTTTTATCAATGAAAAAAACTCAATTTCTTAGTGCGCACAACAAGGGCTATCTCCAGGGTCCAATTTCTCGTTTTATTTGACTAATTACTCAAAAGAAAGTGCACTCCGTGATCTCACTGCCTGATTCTCACACATTAGGCCCGAGTCTTACGTTAACCAATAAACGTCAATAAACCTATTGATTCCCTTGATTATTTCATAGATGATTCCCTTTGTCATTCATGATCACATCATCTTCAACTTGGATAGGAACTACCCCCGTGTAGGAAATGAGCTGCGTGATTTGTAATTGGCGATTCCCTTTGAAAAACAATTGGAATTTGATACAAGAACTACGTACAAAGTCGCTCGATAAAATTTTCGTGTAGCACGGAAATTGAGCACGGAAATAGTGAATAATAATTGTAGCCGCTTCGAATCAACATTCATTAGCACAAGTAATGTCTTTTGTTGTGGCACACTCATAAGATCTTGCCCAGAGCTCTAATGAAACAGCCGGGGGGAACAACTTGTTAAGAAGATAAGTCATTGCAAATTGAAAGTTCAGTAGCCGGCAGATGCTCTTGAAAGCAGGACAAGCATTTATCGCTGCCACAAATAACTCTTAATGCTAGGCGGCTGGTGAGACTTTGTAACATCAAGGGTGAATTAACTAAACAAAATTGGTATTTATCAGAAAATCTTTTAGTCGCTAGGATTTAGGAAGGATCGACCTGGCGTCGGATTTTCGATCGACATCAAGTTACAAGCTGTATTAGCCACAAGACACAAGGGGATTTCTCAAAATTGAAGTTGGAAGAAAATGGAGATGCAAAATATTTTATATTTGGTTGCTTTTCTCTGTATAAAGACTGTTTTAGTGTCTTGTCAATGCGACCAAAGGCCCTTTGGTGGTTCGATGATGTGCTGCGCCGGAAGAAATGGCCAATGTTTTGTGAAAATTCGTAATGCAACGAAAAACTACACAAGAAAGGTTTGCTATTGCGACGAATATTGCAAACTTACTAAAGACTGCTGTTCTGATTTTGACAAAATTAAAGAATCGTGCAGAGGTTTGTTTCAAATTGTTGATTTTTAATGTTCATATTTGTTTTAGAAATGAATACATTTTTTCTGTTATAGCTCTCTTGAATGGCTGACCGACAAGGTCAGCAGTTTTAATGATCTTTTGTTCAACAACCATTCTGCACCAATTCACATGGTCACTTTTTTTTAAGAAAAAACCACATATCTCGCTAAGAAACTTAACACCAAATGTTTTTACGTTGGCGCAGAAAATGCGAAAATCTTTTTATAAGTGATTTTTTTGCCTGCCCGTGATAGAACTTTACCTGCTTGGGTTTTTTCTTACATTAAAGGTTCTACACGTGTACTCGCTCGAGTAACCCGAAAGTTAAACATATTTCAAAACATATATGGGTGGGGTTCTTTTCATCAACTGAATTTCGGTAGGAGAACTAAGCAAGGCAACGAGATTTGATTCTGCACTTTTTCATACAATTATACACCTACGTACGATACCAAAATTTTTAAGAAATCATCTGTAATGTCAATAAACTTAAAAACAGTTTGACATTTATTAAAGACGAAATGAAATGATTTTATTAAAAAATTTTGAAAACTTTTCTTGTTAATTGACATAGCAAAATGAAGAGAAGAACCCCTTGCAGCAAGTATTTGGCATTTAGAAAACCTCAAGAAACTTTTAAATCTAAAATCAACAAAAATTAAGAAACTGAGCGGAAATTCCGAGCTTACGTTGTGTGAAAAATACTCATATTGTATGGCAAAGGAGAGAGAAAATTTTTTGTGTTGAGGAATTAGGGTATTGAAATGATCTATACGGAAACAGATATGCTTTCTAGATATTTTTTCTGCTCAAGGTCAGGTTTCTTTAGTCTATAATATCTTTAGTTTATATCCATGCCGTTGCCAGTGGAGACATCCGCATTGGGTGCGAGCCATACCCCCCCCCCCCCACTTTCGGGTCGAGTTACATTTATAAGCGGGTCTTGCATTATCTTTAGAAAATTAAAAACAAGTCACCTTTTGCGTAGAGAGAAAGTGAATCCTGAAGCAAAATTCCCGGGACTGTATTTTTATGTTTTAAGACCAAAATTGTAGGCACTTGCCGAGGAACGATGACAATAGTATGTAACCCCCGGGTATTTATTGGTTATTTTTTACTTGTTTTCCACCACACATAAGTTCAAGCGGAAAGAAGGCCTATGAAAAATCATTTCGCAAAAATACAGCTGACAGTATAGGTAGAAGTTAAAGGGCGAAATACGCCTCAGAGGTTTAGCGCATCTTTTGTTCCCATAACTCAAATTCGACTCTATCAGATTAAATAGGGTGTATGTGTCTTAACAATGAAGGGTGTAGTGTTGCGGTTTCACGGGAGCCCCAGGGCTTCAGGAAACTGGGAAGGAGCACTACAGTATGCGATTCTCACCCGCCTATGACCCTATATATACGAACTGCAAATAATTCCATTTCGAGATGGTTCTGTACTTAAAATAGTTCCATAATAGTTAAGTGGTTTGCCTTAATTGTAACCGCGTGTTTTAATTGTCACTAAAAATTCCTCATGGTTTTATTAGTTTCTTCAGGATTTACCTAAAATGTTGTTAATTTTAAAGCATTTCTCAGCTGTAGGTTGCTTATAATCGTATAATGAATTTTCGAAACGATATAATGGGTTTCTTAAAAAATTCTCATTGGTGGGTCTGAACGATCCCCGTCTAGCTAAATCCACACTTCTTTCATACGAATATGAAAAAATGTACAACAATCGGAGTGAAAAAGCCCTAGAACCTAGAAGTGGTTAATTTGGATGAATATTGTCAAAATTTCCTCCTCGTAATTAACGTTATAGTCAATTCTTTTATTAAGTCCTTTTTGCGTGACTAAAATTACTATCCTGACCATCATCTTGATGGGGCTGTCACGAGAAACTTGTATGTTTTCATAAACGTTGTAAGCCAAAATCGGCTCTTCAACAAGCTTAATACTTTCATCGGTATAACTTCAAATTTGGCGATGAATTAGTGTTGATCAAGGAGATGGCGGCCAGCCAAGAGCTCTGTATTCACTGGCAAAGGTGTTACCGCATCCCCCTGCTGGTCTACCCCCATTCATAAATTTAAAACATGAGTAAACTTGTATCGTGGTGTTGACTTTTGATCGATTTTTTTAGAAAGAATGAATTTTTGAACTCGTGCCAGTTTTTAACATGCACCGAAAGGATCAACACAAAATGATATGAATCATTCACCTTCGAAGTTTGGCATCAGACTTCCGATTTACCGGAATTAATCTTCTTTTTCTTATGATATGATTAGGCGCATGACATCGTCGATAAATCATAGACCAACGCGGTCTGTTCATTGTATATATCGGGTCAGACGGCAAATATATTGAATATTTTCAGAAAATAAAAAGGAGGGAATTAAAGGCAACTTTTAGTCCAACGTGTTTAATTAGATCTAAGAAAATCATCTTTCTTTTGCCATTAATAAGTTCTCTCTGAAGGTTGATAGAGCGGGGGAGGGAAATTGCGAAGGAGAACGGTAAAGGAAAAGAATATAGATAGTCAAAAATTTCAAATGCTGGGAAATAAAAATGCGAAGCAGAACGATAAGGGAGTGGAAAAACGAATCTGGTTCCCCCCGTGCCACACCTCTAGGTCCCAGGGCAGCCTACCCCTCTACAATGGCTGCCCTTCTTCTCCATTGCTGGCTATGATAAAGAATCTAGATAGTCAACAATTTCAAAAGCTGGGAAATAAAAATGCGAAGCAGAACGAGAAGAGAGTGGAGAAACGAATCTGGTTCCCCGCGTGCCACACCTCTAGGTCCCAGGGCAGCCTACCCCTCTACAATCGCTGCCCTTCTCCTCCATTGCTGGCTATGATAAAGAATCTAGATAGTCAAAAATTTCAAAAGCTGGGAAATAAAAATGCGAAGCAGAACGATAAGGGAGTGGAGAAACGAATCTGGTTCCCCGCGTGCCACACCTCTAGGTCCCAGGGCAGCCTACCCCTCTACAATCGCTGCCCTTCTCCTCCATTGCTGGCTATGATAAAGAATCTAGATAGTCAAAAATTTCAAAAGCTGGGAAATAAAAATGCGAAGCAGAACGATAAGGGAGTGGAGAAACGAATCTGGTTCCCCGCGTGCCACACCTCTAGGTCCCAGGGCAGCCTACCCCTCTACAATCGCTGCCCTTCTCCTCCATTGCTGGCTATGATAAAGAATCTAGATAGTCAAAAATTTCAAAAGCTGGGAAATAAAAATGCGAAGCAGAACGATAAGGGAGTGGAGAAACGAATCTGGTTCCCCGCGTGCCACACCTCTAGGTCCCAGGGCAGCCTACCCCTCTACAATCGCTGCCCTTCTCCTCCATTGCTGGCTATGATAAAGAATCTAGATAGTCAAAAATTTCAAAAGCTGGGAAATAAAAATGCGAAGCAGAACGATAAGGGAGTGGAGAAACGAATCTGGTTCCCCGCGTGCCACACCTCTAGGTCCCAGGGCAGCCTACCCCTCTACAATCGCTGCCCTTCTCCTCCATTGCTGGCTATGATAAAGAATCTAGATAGTCAACAATTTCAAAAGCTGGGAAATAAAAATGCGAAGCAGAACGATAAGGGAGTGGAGAAACGAATCTGGTTCCCCGCGTGCCACACCTCTTGGTCCCAGGGCAGCCTACCCCTCTACAATCGCTGCCTTTCTCCTTCATTGCTGGCCATTAACTTTTGTTGTAGCCAAGGCCATTGCAATCAAGTCATCTTGAATTAGTGCTTAGTGACATTTCGAAATGATTTCAATTTTTGCAGAGAAATCTTTAGGACAACATGTTTCAACTTGACTTCTCAATGCTATGATAGTCTTGCGGTAACGTCGACATACTGGGGGGGGGGCTGGAGAGGCTCCCATCCCCTTATCAAAAACAGATTTTATCAAGAAAAAACAGAAAATAGTTGGGAGTGTGTAAGGAGATTTACTAGATTTTGACGCAATTTAAGGATTGATATTAAAAAAAGGGTTTGGTTCCAATACATCCCCAAGGATATTCCCCATTTTCGGGTGTATAAAGAGCATAGCTGCACTCATTTTGAGCCAACATACCCATGCATATCAGCTGGTTGTTAAAGAGATTGCACATCAGATAATCAGATAATCAGAAGAATCTGCCTGCTGACGTTGACAAGTCTGTTATGAAATGATTATTATTCTGATTTCATCCTTTTCCCATACAGCCCGCACATGAAACGAATCAAAAGTATACATTCAATCTGTTGTTTTTCTCAATTTCCATTACATGTTTACCAAGTTGAACCAATAAAACTTCCAAAAATAAGCTTTATCATAATCTGAATTCCATAACCTTGGTTGGCACGGCGACGATTATTGTCTAAGCGTATTTGTGGCATGACCTCCAACTTATTTACGAAACTCGCTTTTGTTCTAAACAGGACCACTTCTGAGTTGAAAATTGGATACAATTGGGGCGTGTCATTGATTTCTAAAACATATAGGTTCAGTGGGAGTCCGTTACACAAAACAGAGAGATTTCCTTAGAAATCGTATCAAAGGAGTTACATAAAATTTTAAACATGTGCTCCAGTGTTCTTCGTGATGATCAAACTATTATGTATTGTAAAACGATATGATAAAAATCGTGCTGATTTTCCTGATGACCGTTTTGATTATCACGACTGTTAATTACTATATTGAAAGGAACTTTAGTTTACTTGGAAAGACTGTAACCGAATGTGGATGATGGGCTCAAACAAAACATAAATACACTACTGAGGCACGTGACTACTGAAGGACAGGAATACAGCAGAGGGTTACCTACACGACGAAAATCGTTAAAAAAGTTTCTGTTTATGATTGTGATGTTTTTGAGGATGGTTATGATCAGAATGCACTCTTTTTTCTATAGGCTTTACTAGGCACTGGGTATCCATAGATCTTTCTTTCACATTACAGCATTTGCAAAACAGTAGAGGATGCGTTTCTATAAACTTTTTGCTGGGAAATTAGCTATTTATCTCCTCTTCGAGCCTCTCAATTACCATGCTTTCCATCTTTTTTTCAAAAAATCTTCAGTACGAAACCTTTTTCGCGAGTCAGTAATTTGCAAATGGGCTTGCCCAAACCCTAATTTTCAAATTTGCATTATAACATACTAAAGACCGTTTAACGTTTCATTTTAGGAGCTCTAGACTGCAGGGTAAGCCAGTGGACAAGCTGGACTGCTTGTTCCAATGACTGCGGTCTTGGAGTCATGAAAAGAAAGAGATTCAGAATACAGGCACCGCGAAATGGAGGGAAAGCCTGTCCACCTTTATGGCAAAAGAGAGGGTGTGCCTTGTATCAGTGTAAACGAAGAGCGCGTAAGTTTTCAAATAATGATTCTACTTCTATGTTTTATAGTTTCAAAATAGCGTTTGAACACTTGTAACAAAATATGGCTCACGCATTATCCTTTGCCTTGCTGTTATCTATCGAAAGTCTTCCCGAATAAGACTTGGATATATCAATAAAGACCGTTGTATATATAAGGCAAGATTCAGGATGATATGAAACAAAAGCAAGCGATTACGTTGGCTAAGTTTGGCACCAGTCCGGTGAAGTAAGAAGAGTACCAAATAGAAAGGTATTAGCAAGGGTTCTTGGTACTTAGTGGAAGCTCCGCGGCGTTGCCTGATATTTTGTTAACGTAACCCCGTCGAAAGATCAAATTGTTTGTTGCTTGCTGTGTTTGCAAGTCCCGGGATTCGTCTCTGTTTTGAATCCGCATAATTACGTGTGGTAGACAGAAACAAAGAGAAACATTCGGTGGAGGAAGATAAAAAACGTCAAAATGACCATTTGTTATCTCCGTTTATAATGCATAGAAGTCTTTTTTGTCAAAGTCTAGACGATATCTTTATTTAATTCCCCTTGAGCATTCCTTCTCTGTCTATGCCAACTGCAAACATTGACAAAAATATTGTCGTCTTATCGATTAAGTGACCTTATTCTCTGATACAATTTTCTGTTATCTGTTTGTCCTTTTAGAACAGTAGCTCTCTTAAATTCTAAAATAGGGGCCTAAGAAAGTAAAGCATTGACCCCTGAGAGAGGGGCACAATTTCTCATAACTCTATTTGACGTACAAGAAGTCGGTTTCTTTGCAACCCCCTAGTTTATCTACAGCTGATTCCTCGAGATTAACTGCTCTTTTAGATAACATCTATTTGTATATGTCTCAAGGGCATGCAGTTTCACTCCATGGTTTTGTTCTTTCAGTTAAAGAAATTCCCTAAGATTTTAGTAACAATGTTTTCCTTGTGGGAAGAGTTTTTTCTTTTCAAAAGCTTTTCTCCAGAGTGGTTTAATTCACAATGTGCCAAAGCTTTAAAAACAAATGTCACAACTTCAATGGAGGGCAGAAACCCAAACACTTGAATCTAGAGCTTCTTCGTGTAAATCTAGAGTTTGTGAACTTTTCTTGTACTTAGCACCTAAAAATCGAAAGACCTTGATAGTATACAAACAATCGTTCTCAAAACTTACAAAGTATTGCAGAGCTCCTACTCCCTTTGCATACACTCATTTTTTTACAAGAAACTGGCTATAAGAGATGAGTATTGGACAGTCAGAAAAAAGTAAGAAACTTCAGTACTCCGAGCAAAAAATTAAAAAAATTTTGAATCGTGATAAAACTGAGAACAATGAAAATTTGTAAAATCCAAGAACATGATTGCCCTGTTGGCTTAGAACTTGAGACACAAGCGATAAAATACACTTCCCACATCTAAATACAGCATCAGAACGGAAGCGATCTCTTGACGTGATAAAAAAAGGTCACGAAAATTTCATAAGATCATTCATGACATCATAATTAAGAAACTCTTAAGAAACAATGAGTATTGAAATTTCCAGAACATTAAGAAAATTGAGTACTCAACATCGACCTTTGTTTCTTATAAAAAAATGAGTGCATTTCTTTTGTCGTAGAATCTCGCTCGCAGTTACCCTATTCCTTATAAAGTCTGTTGAGCAAACCGATATTTTTCAAAATCTCCAAAGCATTTTATCAGGTCCGGTACAAAAATCTTCTCTTCAAGCTTCTAGCGTATTGCCTGCACAACCTCTTTATCAATACAAGTACATCAGCACTTTTGTCTCAGATCAGGTCCATTGTGAACGGAGCTAACGGCTACCAAGCCTGCCAAAAGTACTTGGAATACCCGGCTATTTACGCTGCATATGATGTCTTTCATTCCTTTGATGAAAAAAATTTACTACTTCCGCTCCCTTACCTCTAAAACAATGTTGATAATTTAGAGAAGTATCAAACAAGAAGCGCAAAAAGTGCTAACCCGTTTGATATTAAACCAACATTGTTCTGTAGGGTAGAGGGGGATGATTGATTTTGACCTTGGAAATTGACGTCAGTGTCCCAAGACTTTTGGCAGGCAGTGTACCTCGCAAGTCCTCACTTATTAAATGTTAGCGTACCACAAGGCTCTGTTATTCCTCCAGTTTTATTAGCCCGAATTATTCCTCGATTTCACCTGTAAACATTGACTTTACAGAATTTTGGGACCGTGACGGAAAGACCTTTAAAATCACATAATGCTTTGGCGTTGTATTTTTAGAAACTGCATTCGTTCTTCCTGCTGATCCTTATCGACGTGTCCCACTTGGGTCTTATGGCTTTGAGGATATTCTCCCTGCTCCAAAAAAGAATCAGCAAGTGAAAGTCAAAGTAGACAAGTAAGTTCTATTATCTGCATATTTGTTCCTTGATCTTTTATTAGTTCGCTAGAAATCTGACATTAGAATTAAAAGTCAGTTTCAGCATTCTTAGCGTTTCTTTTATATTATACTATACTGTATTGTATTGTATTGTATTGTATTGTATTGTATTGTATTGTATTATATTTTATTTTATTACTTTATATTTTATTGTATTGTATTGTATTGTATTGTATTGTATTGTATTGTATTGTATTGTATTGTTTCATATCATATCATATCATATCATATCATATCATATCATATCATATCATATCATATCATATCATATCATATCATATCAAATTATATCAAATCATATTATATCATATTATATCATATTATATCATATTATGTTGTATCATATCATATTATATCTTATTATATTTCACGGTACTTTATATGAAGATATATTGTAGGTGAAGACTTTTTCTTAAAGGTACAATAAATTTTGGACTTCGAAAATATGACATAAATAACTATTGACCTAGATTTTTTCAAGCCCAGGTTTTAAGAGGTACCTTTTTATTGGCACATTTTCTAGATGAATATTGTAATTTCAGCTACTGTATCAATTACAAGTTGATGGTAAAAAGATCACAGTGCCGCTTTACATGGGCCGATAAGCTGGTGACCAAAATACCAATCTGTGTGGAATGTCAGCCACGTGTCATGGGTTCTACTGGACATTGCCGCGGTGAAGGAGCCCCTGGCGTGCGCAGTCACTGGAAAGCTTTCATGATACCAAGATGCCACGGAGAATGGATAAGATTAGGACCAGCTATCCCCCACTGTACGTGCACGAAGAAATATTTTACTAATTTCGTTTTTGTTTAATCCTGAAGACTCGTTCGCAATTGTAAAATTAGGCTATTCTTTGACTTCTGTGTATATGGAACGATGAGGAAATTGTTTGTTGCATTGAAAAAAATGAACAACGAAGACAAAATACTCTTGATGTAAGAGTTGAGATATTTGTAATTAAGGATTTGTGTCCTAGAGCCATTTTTCTGTATTGAGTTTTTTAATGATTTGCCAGCCATAGATATAACAACTTTGGAACAAGTTTTTGCACCAAGCCAGCCTGGCTTTCTCAAAAACCATTTATTGCTCTTAAATTCATATTGATGTATACTGCAGCGTTGACCTGGCAAGCCAACATCTTTAAGGTGTAGTCAAGGCATCCATTTTAGTATTAAGTCCCCTCCAAGCCAATGCACCTGATATTCTAGATACAAGTGTGTGTCTTCGACCCAGATGTGTCAGGGACTTTTTACGGAAGCAAATTTTTACACCATTTTCCTTTTGTCTATTCGCATTAATAAATTTCATAGAATGCTCTCCTTTCTTTTTTCATTCCTTAGTCAAAAAGTATACACTTAAGCATTGAGCTTCATTGTGGAACACCGTAGACAAACCTGTGATCGCAAGGTGGAATTTTTGTCATAAATTGAGTCGTGAATTACAAGCACAACCCATAACTAAGCCTCCCCGAGTGTAGCACTTCCTACTTAGTGGCAAAGTAGAGCTTGGAAAGCAAAAGCTAAATTCTCTTGAGTTTATTATCATTACTTAATTTCTCTGTAAAGGCTAGGACATAACATACTCCCGTCGTAAAGCCCGTTGTTAAAACATAGAATGTAGTTTACTGTGAAAAACCAAACAAAACCTTGCCGGGACGAAAAATCGGGTCCGGTGTTGGCTCTCATAAAGAACCTAACACCCGAATGATATTCAAACTAGGACACCGCTAAAATGAAACTTTTATCTTTGGTAGATGGCAGGTAATTTGAATTCTTAAGTTTACTCTTTATCAATGGTATTGCATTTGGCTGTACCATTGCATTGTAACCGTCTTATCTTTACTGTTATAAATAATCTTTGTATGTTCAGCTTTTAATGTTACATATAGGATGTTTTACGATATTTAGGGTAGCGCATTGTTAACCATTTTCTATTTTACAGAGATATATTCTTGGCATAGATTTGAGTTACAACATTTTTATTATTATTCAATAAAAATACTTTGCACAAAACTGGGTTTTACGCTTTTAAATAGGAAATGATAATTTTCCTTTCTTGTTTTATTTAAGTTGTATTTTTCTGTCTCGCTCATGTTTTTAGTTCCTATTAATATGATCCAGTGACAGATCTGTAAACTTTTTAAACCTACCAATTTTCAGTAGGTGTATTTTGTGGGTGAATTATGGCACAACACAAAGTTGTTCGTTGTCTGAGTTAAATTTTTCTTGTTATCTTTAATATGGTAATTAAAGATGAACAGATGAACTGAATATCACTAACTTGACATTCTGTTGAAATTCGAATTCAGGATCGGGCTAAAAATTACAAAAATAAATTCCGTACTTTTCCCTCCTGGGTAAATTGTGAGCACTGACTGTCAAATAAAATCATTTGATATGACGAATTTTTTACTTATATCAAATTTTGAAAAAACCTATTTTGAAAGCTATCATACAAGCAGACTGAAGGTTATTTAAGGAAGACCTATTAAGCGGAATTTGAGCAAAGAGACAACTTAGGTGGTTAAAGAAAATATTCTTAAAGAATTATCATTATGTTATAAACAGTTGGATACAGAACAATTTTGTCTGCGCAAGTGTCAATCACGTTCAGGATTAGAAATAACCACAGGTATTAAAAAACAGAGTACTAAAGACGTAGCCTTGTTGAACTCATATTGTTGCTGTATTTCCAGGTAAGTAGAATAATTAAACTTTAATAATGGGATGAATGTTATCATTTAGCATTCTAGATATGCACCTTTGGGAAGTGCAGTTCCAAGTAATAGCATGGCGTGGTATTGCCTGCTAAGCTGTATCGAATAAAAATATCAATAATGTAAATACAATGTTTTAGTTTGTATGGTTGCTGCCAGCTAGCTCTTTACTTGAGACAACCTTCGGAGGTCTCTAAACCTATCTGACAGTTACAAAACAATATATGGCACAAATGTTAGCTATTTAGGCAGGTGCACAAGGAAAAGTTTCCAGATGATTCAAAATTAATGATGATGCAAAATTAACCAAGTACACGAGAAAAGAGAGAGGAATTGAGAGCAATAGATTCATAATATTTTTTCAGCAGGTATGATAAGAAATGTTCCCGTGAAATTTATTTTCTATTATAGAGCTGTTTCCGTGTTTCCGTTATTACCTTATATGGCATAATGACCTAGTCCTATGACCTATCACATGTACGTATTGTTTCCTATACGTGGCCGACCTGTGACCTTTGCACTTAAACATCATCCTTGGGGAATCACACACTCTATTTTTATAATACCAGATACTTGACCATCAATGGGAAAGTACTGGCTTCTATTAGTTGAATAGGACCTACACCATTTTTTCTCATTACCTTTTATTCGAATTTTCAAATTCACTCATCAGTATCTCATCATCTACGGTACCGAATGACTTTTTCAGGTCGAGAAAAGGAGCAAAGCTACCTTTTATTGCTCTCGACATTCGAATAACAATGATATTTAGCGTCAAAGTATCAAGGATAATTAGCATCTGAAAATCTATGCTTAAGATATTTTACACATTCTACATAAAACGAGTAAAATCTATACGATATTTTGATTTGATTCACGCTCTGTATTATTAGACTGATCAAAGAAATGACACAAATGTTTGTTAATTAAGAGTCTTACTATTTGGCTAAAATAATTTACAAATCCTTGGCATCAGGTGCGTAAAGCGTAACTTACATTTTTTACTAACACGTTTTGGACTTTGATCATATTGCGGATGGATACCAACTTACTCCAACAGGAGGTTGCAAGGCCTTCTGGTCCTGGCCTAGCACCATCCCCTGATTAAGTGCCCCTCCTGGACGAATAACAAAATAAATCCCAAAGTTGTAGCAACAGGTTTTCCCTTTCCTGTCAAGGGGACCTAATACAACAGGAGCAGGTAAAAGAGCGAGTCACAAAATAAAATGGTGTTGCGAATTCCCCCATTCCTTCTAAAAACTGAGAAACAGTGGTAAGTTGCCCCAAAGGACTACATGTGACTGTGGAAAGAATTGCGATAGAATTACTCTTCAACAGCAATAGTTTAGCCTGCTTGTGGCATAGGCTACAAAAGTTTCAATGGCCTATTTGGCAGTAAAAGACGTGCTATCGCATCAAGTGGTTTGGCTGACCGTTCAGAATCTAGAATCAATCAAATTGCTTGAAAGATATCGCACCACGTCGAAACGCCCAACTGGGAACGAAACGGCTTCAGATATCGAAATGGCTTCAGTTATCGAAGCGGCTTCCTAGGCAACTACAGTAAGTGCAGTCTCGTCAAATTTTTTGGTAATAAAAAGTAGAAAATTTCAATGCAAAGTAAAAGTAGAACATGTCAATGCAAAGTAATTGCTTTTCCATAAACAAATCTACGCGGACAAGAAAACTTGAGTCCAAAAAACACCTCGGTCACACAGCCAATGAAAACATGATAAACTAAAAAGGCAAAGATTCTGGCTTTTGAGAGAGGTTTTAAGTCACGTGTCTAATACTCCATAAGATAGTTTTCAAAGATATTTGTATGTCAAAGCAGGATATCTTTTACCATACAAACTGGTGGAGAAATTTGCCCAATTTTTCCTTAATTTTTCCTAGTAAGCTATAAATATTTTATAAAAGTCAATTTCGTGACGAAGATAACACTGTTCTTGTCCAAACTGTTCATATATAATAAATATATTTTTAACGAGTGCTTCACCCTTAGATATAGAATAAAGGTTCATCGCAACTGGAACCGGAAGATCTTGTTGATGAACGAGAGCGAAGACACCTGATGTTTGGTGAACAACTTCTACAAAGCTTGAACATGGACCGAATTCTCAGGTATTTCATTTATTTTTGTACTTCCGTCTAGGTCCTTAAACACACTTATCTGGGAAAAAAAGCTTAACCGATTCAAAACAAAAAAAGTTCTAACACTTTGAGCCTCTTTATATGTACTTTTTTATGAGTGGGCAAGAGAAAGAAACTTTTGATGATATGTCTGCACATGTCTTTAATATGTGACTTATAATCTAAACTATTAGCTAGAACTGACCGTAATTGTGAAGTGCATTTCAAGTTTTTGAAGGTACAAGACCAGTAGCTTAGCGTAGATGGTACGATTGGGGGGGGGGGCAAAGGTGATTGACGAGGAAAAAATGAAGGTAAACACCCTTTTGAGCGCCAAAAACGCCTTTCTACAAAGCCAAAAGCGCCTTTGGGGGGGGGGGGGCGTTCGCTGCTGCTGTCTTCTCCTCGCAACGCTACTCTGCAGGTTTAAGATAAGTAAAGTTTCCCGATGAAGACAGTTTTGCTCTAATTATACCCTACTGTCCAACCGTTTTATGGTTCAACAGACCAATTCGAGTGGGGGTTTTCACGCCCCCTTAAATCCTCCCGCTCCTGAATTTTGATTTAAGTGTGATAAGTTTGAATATTTTTTATAGGAAAACTGCGTTTAAAATGAACAAAACAGATTTCCTTTTTGGTCATAGCCAAGGATGGCTTAAGAATTAAATCAGTGTCATGGTCGTGGTGTTTCAAGTAGATATGTGTCTAGACTTCTAGCTATCTTATCTTGTAAGTTACAATACAAGAACTTGCTAATGGTATTTTTCATACAGGCATCTCTTTACGTAATTGCCTAATCACATACAAGATGTTGCCCTTACTTGAATTGCGAGGAATGCACTCTTTTTTGTTTGAGGCAGATAATTTCTAATGGTTATATTTCTTAGATGATATAAGGCTTAGGTGTTTTCGATTTTTTTCCTTTTTCAAGATTTAATTTTTTACATTTACAAGCAATTATTTTCAAGAGCACCCATTTGCATGAAATAATTGCAGAAAACATTAATTTCTATCTAATTCTCCTAAGGCTGGAGGCGTTCTTACATCGTTCTTATTATTTTGACAAATCGAGACTTGCTGTTCTTATAATGTACGTTCTCACCAAAAAATGTTGTAAAAAGTATATGATTTATCATTTGCATTAACTCCTGTTAAGTTCTTTTATGTTATTTTGCTTGCATTACTGTAATTGTATGAAAAAAGAAAATCATCATTACAAAAATAGAAAGTGTGAAATTCACCAAGAACCGGTGTGCAGGCTTTGCAATCACAAGACTTTACATCAATCATGTTAAATCGCCGTACGTAATGCTATGTTATTGGGTAATTTAAATTTGAAAAGAAAGATGAATCGATCATTGGAAAATGGATAGATAATACTAAGCGTTTAAGGCGCATAAACGAAAGCAGAGTTCTCTTTTAAAAAAAGCAAAAATTCTTTTTGCTTGAATTTTATTTCATATTACTTCATTTGATTTTTAATTGACCATTAATTTCCCTTTTTCATTTCTTCATGATCTTTTGTAGTACTGGTTCCTGAAAGTAAAATTAGATATTTAGAAATAATTCTTTCTCCAACCTGAAATGCATTTATGAATTAGACATTCATGAACAAAGCCATATGCTGCCATTCATAACCTGCAATGCATCTATTGGTTAGGAATTGTACAGTCCAAGAAGAAAGCCAAATCCTATCATTGATATTTGTCATGGCAGTGGTAAAAATTTAGCTAACTGTAAGATAGAGCAAATGCAATGGAAGTTCCGACCTTTTTGTCTGGGTGGACTCTTTTTACAATTTCCTATACTAAAATGTTTCATCTCAAGGTAAACTGAACTCAGTTGCTAGCTATGTTGATCTGAGGGGGGGGGGGGCAATCTCCCATGATATCATCACTTCACATGTCATTAGAAGATCGCAACAGAGTGGTGGAGTGACGTTATCAAGATGATGTCATCAAAAGTCTATTTAAAATTTTAGAATTCTGACCCCATAACCCGAAAGAAGACAAAATAATATGATAAATCAATTCAATCTGTTGCAAATCGACTGAGATATTGCCCCTTAGGCACTGTCTCATCACATCAAATCACTGTAATTTGGTCCTGATTCAAAGAACCAGGCCAAACAAGTAATCCGTTAGCAAAACTCGTGTCTTTAACTGACTATATCTCAATCAATTTTGAACAGATTCAACTGATTTTGTATTTTTAGAGGTATTTCGAGATGTTCTTTTAGGATATGGAGTGATAATTCGAAAATTCTAGAAATATATTTTTGATGACGAACAACCCTGTATTTTTCTACAAGGAAATTGGTATCTATTCGCAGAGAGAGTCTAAAATAATAAAATTAAACAAATTTGTGTTACGATTGTGAATACTAACAGAAGGGCTGTTATTATTTCTTTATTTGCATCTGAATTCTAATGGAAATGTATACGTGGCATTACGTTCTATTTAGATGTGTAGCCTAACTTACTTTCTGGCCTTCTTTTTCTTCATAACTGGTCTACAGCAATTGTGTCTAATGTCGTTCAATGCTGTATCATCGCCACCAGGGCTTTCAACTCTTGTGCTAATTCCACAAATAAACTCTCCCCGTGGACACTCCTCAAACCTACTCCATCTTCCCCACTCCTCCGCTGGAGTCTTGATTGTCTCTGTCTCCTCCCAGGTGTCCTTGTCTCTGCATTTGTATTCTACATTATCTAAGGCACTGTCATCTTTCAGCAAGCCCCATCCGCGTGGATCCTCGACATTTTGTCTCCAACCGCTAATGAAGCTTCCATCTGGACACTTTATAAGTTCCGACCAGTCACCCCACGGGCCTTTGGTTGAACAGACTTCATCATCCCCACAATGTAAACAAACAGCATTGGCTCCAGTGTCATCTCCAGAATTTTGATTTTTTTCAGCCTTTAATAAAAATCCACTTGCAAATCTCCCATCTTTACAATAGTCCATTGCTCCCCATGTTCCATAAGGACCTTTGTTTTCCTGCTGCTCAATTTGTTCGGTTGGGGTCCATTTGAGTCCTGTGTGAATCATTTGAAATTGCTAGAGTGTAAACTCAGTTACTTAACCTTATCAAAAATATATGAGAATGACTGTTTTACCGATTTATCATAAAATGCTCGGATAGGTAGAGCTATACACGCTATGGTGTAAAGAACAGAACGGTTCAAAATTGCGACTTCGAGTCTCATGCTTGATGCAACTGTAATTAAACATCATCAGTAAATAATAATTGAAAATCCATGTAAAATTGAAGCAAATCTCTGCCAGAGGGGAGAGGGGCCTAAAGATTTTGACTAACTCAACGTCTGATAGATATCGAAATTCATCATTTAAAGTAAATTTGTTACTAAAATCGACAAGGAAAAACTTTAAGGAGCATGGTGTGAAAAAGAAATGAGAGTCATTATAACAAAGGTGACATGAGCAGAAGCTTCTGTTCCTCAATAAAGCCCAAAAGGTACTTTTAATAGATTACGGAATTTTTTTCTCCTGAGTACATCGAAAAATACAAATTCTTCCTCAAAACGTTTTTGATCCCTGCTTGACAGCCATTATGAGTCTCTGTTTAGAGTTGGCACTGCGACGCTACCTTTTAAACTTGGGACAGCTTTAAAGTGCAAAATGATAATGAAAAAAAAATATACGAAAACAACGCCAGGGAAAAGCAAAGCCAGATTGTTTTTTAATGTTATTTGCCCTTCAATAACTTTTGCCACTGAAAGTAAATTCTAGTAAGCTATTGACCATACTTCTCTCGCAGATCTTGCCATCTCCCTGATATCCTGCCTTACATTTGCAGTTATACAAATGGTCTTCATCTCCACTGTTTTCATTATCTGTACAGACTGAATTGACACTGCATTGGGTGCCTCCGCTGCATCCTTTCGAGGGACCTTCACACTCAACGCCGGGAAGGCGTGATGACTTTAATTTCTTACAATATCCCTAGAGGATAAGAATTGCAGTTCTATTCAATCAAATGTTTCCTTTTGTAAAGCAATGTTTCTTTGGCTAGAGTTACACTATACCGGATTGCTATCGGAGCGGAGCAGAGCGGAGCAGAGCGGAGCAGAGCGGAGCAGAGCGGAGTAACTTTTACTCCGGAGTTATATTTAGGGTAGCAGTTACACTACGACGCTCCGCTAGCTCTTAAGATTGTATTCCTTGGCATTTCTGGTGTACAAAATCCCCTAGATTAAATTTTTTGATGATATTTTCGAATCTATATGCTGTTGTGAATTCGTTTTCAATAGCTATGCATAGAATGACGAAAACAACCATGAAACTGAGAGATAAATGATGGGGTTCGTAGGACGGATAGCGAAACACTCTCCTGAAATATTTACCAAACACCATCTCTGGTCAGACTTTTCCTGTTGCACATGTCTAAACTATTCTCTTGACATTGCTAGTTTTGTTTTGTCCTCAACATACTGACAAATTTCCTACGTATCGGAACTCTCAGCTAACCTTATAGATAGATAGTTAGATCTGGAGTCTTGAACTAGTAGCAATTTTGCAAAGATAACCCGTTAAGTTTTGTTTTTCGAGTAAAAGAATATGCAAGTCGTTCTTGGATCCATTCATTCGCTAGGCTTTTCATTTCTTTGGCTCCTTATCTCTACCGATGTGATTAGATAAAACAAAGATTACTTCGAAGTTATTTTAGGTTTATTGGTAGAATGCTGAAAGCATTATCAGTGTAACAGATAAATTTTGTAGATTGTGCAATTTTTTAGAAATCCATTTTGAAAGAAGTGGTAATGATATTGATGCCAATAAGTACAAAATATAAAACATAGTAACCTGCAAATACTGAGAAAGCTCCGTTCTTATCTTTCTGAAGTCAACAGAATCGTCTTTGAAGAAGGCTGGTCGAAAAATGTCGACGATGCTTTTCAGCCGGTAGAAGATTGGAAGTGGCTTTTGCACTGATTGTTGTATCCATGCTTGAGGATCTCCTAGAAAAAGGTATCTCCTGTTAAAGGCAATCGACATCTACCACAATGGCTTGAACGATCTGCCATTCAACTATCAGCCAATCAATGAAAGTCTGGGTGTTATTGTAGTATTATTACGTTTTTTCGTTGGCCAATTATCGATTGACAGATGGCTTAATAGATATCTAATGTTTTGCAAGAAATCAGTCGCTTCATGCCATAATTAACTGTCTTCTCATGTCTCAAGGAACTGATGTTGCTGGCATAAAATTTAGCTTTTTCCGAAATTTTAGACGTGCCTTTAAAACTGGACGTGCCCAAGAGTTTACTTTTTTGCAACTTTTATCCAACCAAGGGTAAAAATGTGAAAAAATTCAGTGCTTGAGTGAACAATTGATACAATCACAAACGCAACATAACATATATATAATAACAAAAAATACAGAAATTGTTTGCAGTTATGCCCCTTAAATTAGCTTGAAACACATCTCAGAATTTTTTTCACCGTCGTTTACCATGTTTAACAATTTTTTAGGCCTACTTTGTTGCGCTTCGCTAAAAGTCAGTTCTCGAGGCCCTGGGGCAGTTTGCCCCTTCCTTGTCCCCCTCTCGGCGGCCCTGTTCATATTTCACGCATCCCTGTAACAGAGGCCTGTTTGTATATGCAAACCTCCTCTATTTCCGAACCGTAATCGTACGTCTACATGTAAATAAGGCATTATCTCGACACGGATTTTGTTAATATCAAATATTTTCCTGGGTATTACAAACTCACTTGAAAGTGGCCAACGTGAAATTTCCTGGTGTCCCGCCTAGCCACAACACTCCTGATCTACCGTAATACTACTCCAACCCCCTTTTAAGAGGAAACCAAACGTTGACACTGTTTTCAGAATAATGAACTTTACATATATTCAGAATTTCGGCTTTCCAAGAAAAGTTAATGAATGAATTACCATTTGCTGGAGGCTTTGATCCAATAGAAACAACCTTTGTCATTTCTACTGATTGCTCGAATTTCTGTTTGTCTTCCATGCTCATTTTAAATTGCCGATCAGTTTTCAATGAACCGATTCCCACAGCAGACGCTTCTGCAGCAAATCTGACATCAATTCCATTCTTTTTAAGCTTTTCTTGTTTATCTTTAGAGATTGTTTGCAATTTTGCAAATCTGAGGAAAAATCAAAGACTTTTAAAAGCTTTTTACTAATAGATTTTTAGATGTTTCAAAATAGAGAATTGCTAGGAAAAATCAAGAAGAAAACTTGAATGCAAGACTGTTTATAATCATTTAGGTCTGTCGTCTTGAATGCACCTTATAATATATTGCAATAACGGGGATCACTATTTACCTGAAAAATAAGCCATTATAACCATGTAAGTAAAAAGCAAGGTACAGGTTACATCCTTTATGTAAATCGCCATAAAAAAGACATTTGAAAAAACAATTTTAGCCACCGAGGCCATACGAGGCTTACGTTGCGATCACGATGACGATCAAGAACCTCATGTGGTCCATAGCACATTTATACTGGACATCAGAAAATACTTGCTGGGCAGCAATTTCAATTGAAAATAGACTGTTTGCAAATTATCCTATCAAAAGCTTGCTTGAATGAAAACTAATTGGCAGCTTTTTGATTTATGTTTGCAAAGCATAATTCTGTGCAAGGGCATTATCAAGCTGGAAAAAACAAGCATGATAGTTGAATCCATCTTGATTGAAATTTCATGTTAGGTCTGTGCTTAATGTTTGTTAAGAATCAAAAAAAGGAAAGCATTAAGCTTAAGGTTAAAGATGTCATTATCTCAGGCTTTCCATTCTTATATGTGCAAAAAAAGGACACAGCATTACCTTGCACCCATGTCGACCGACTCGATGAAATGTGTTCCGAATGAGTCCAGAAACCTGCCATAATCTTCTGGGTCGCGTCCCAAACGTTTAACAGTCTCAAGGAAGTTTGCAGTGAAAGCAGGTGGTGTTCCAGTTTGGATCCTTGCCTCGTATACACCGCATGTTGCCTCTGTTTTTATCACAGACTTTGTGTTCGATTTCAACAATTGTGTTGTTCTCGTGTATTCAGCACTTGCGGAAAATGAAGCCTTGACCACCTTTATCTGTCCGGATCCAGACACTGAAGCTTTGGCGGACAAACTTCTCTGGTAATCCGACTCAGTCATAACCGTCTCAGCGCTGTACGTAGAACTGCATGCCTCTTTCTCATCAAGATCAATATTGTCCGGGATCTTGTATCTTTGATCGTCCGTGCGTCTGTTCTTCTCGTATGTAGCCTGGAAAATTTTAAATTTGAACCCGGGATCGAATTTTTCAGGATCCATGGGATTTCCTTCTAAAATACTGTACCCTTTGAATAGGTATCCAATATTTGCCATTGTCTGGTCACCTAAAAAACATTAAGCCAAAATTCTCATCATGGCATCATTTGGAGGCGATGGAATCTATAGGCTAGGAAACGATTTCTCAAAAAGTTCCCTGAAGAAAATTGGCTGCTGTAAAAACAAAATAGAAATAGATTGCCTCAGAACCAAGTTCGCTGGATAATTGGTGAATTTTGTATGAATTCATTTTTGCAAAGGTAAGCAAGGTGACTGCATTCTAATAATGACTGAGTTCATTTAAAATATGTTTATTCAGTATTTTGATACAGCAGTTCAATCCCGTTAGGTCGTACCCAGAATAACCACGACGATTGCTTAGACTGATTTTCAGTTCCAACTGAATTTTTCTACCTTTTTCTAGTCAAATGTCGTACACGGGATAAGTTTGATATTCGCCCAGACTTAACGGGCAGTGGCAGAAATTCAGGCTCTCATTTGGGGGGGGCCAGGCCTACAAAATTTGGCAATTACACCCCTTAGATTAGCTTAAAATTCATTTTCTGAAAGATTTCTTGGAGCAATTTCGACACATTAAACGGTTGTCAATTATCCGGATATTCCGACGACATCGCTGATGGGGGGGGGGGGGGGGGCCGAGCCACTGTTAACGGGACTCAACTGAACACTTTTAAACCATGTTTTTCTCAATGATGAGTAAATATAAAGTTCAACTGAAAAGTTTTTATGAATTGCATAAGCTCTAAATGAATTATAAAACTTAAGATAAAACTTTCGATATTCTTATAATAAAGGTATTGATTGCTGTATTTAGATGACTTCTTAAAAGGAATTCAGCGAAAAACGTTTTCATTCACGACGCGATTCTTTAAATCGGTCACACATTCTTAATGTAGCTGTGATTATATTATGGCGTGAAAAATGTTTATGGTTGAAATCGTATTTCTTTCATTCACAGAAAGATTGGTTTAGCGGAGATATAAAATTTAGAAGAATTAATTTGACAGTGGGCAACTTATCCAGTGGAACATACCTCTCTTATCCAGGACATCACCAGATGCCTCGCTCTCTTCTTCAGCAACTGCGTTAGTCTCGTTATTCTGTACATCATTAGCTGCTGTAAAAAATGAAATCGCTTCAGTCTAATAACATTATCAGCAAAATTTTTAAGAGCCCTGTGCAATTGAAAGTTATAGGTTAGAAATCTTTGTCGAAAAAACGTTCCAGGCTAATAAAAAATGTTTGAATACTGTGAGATGATCTTGATGAACTGTCAATTGTTCTGAAATGCTTTACAAAAAAATACTGTGAAGAAAGCATTAGTTTATGATAACTCATAGTAAAAAATACCTTGTCCATTGACAAATATCACTACTGACAGGCAGAGGAGTAATGGTATGAAACGTGTCATCTTGATTGATTGATGTAGCTCCGATGCCTATGAACCAATATGGTTCTATGAAAATGCTCTTGGTTTAAGCAACCTATAAGTAGTGATTACATGTGCCATGTAATCAGAGTAAATTTTTTGGATTTTTGACCTAAAGGATGTGCTCAGCAGTTACCCGGATAAGCAAAATTATGGTAAACCTGTAATATTTGTTGGTGTGAGTTACAAATTTTATTGTGCTAGTTGAAATTGACCAGTAAATGTTTGAAAGAAAGCAACAGCCATTGAAAATTGAGTATATGCTTGACAGGAAAAAGGGTAAGCATGTTTGTCGCTTTTCATAGTAACTTCAAAAGCTCAACAAATAACACGAAAAGGTTGGGACCAGTTCAAGGGTGGAAATAAGGTCACCTGCCAAAATGGGTAATTTCATGGCAAGCTAATGAAGATCAAAATAAGGTATTTTTTATCAAATTTCCAGTACGGCATTACTTTGGAAACGAATTTCTAAAAAACTTCTTCAGCCTTTGATTGAAATGGAACAATCCACATCATTGCTTATCTAAAAGAAATTAACAACCACTGAGAGTCGATAGAAATGCAATGAAAAAGTCAACAAAATCCTTTTACATCCTTTAATATTTGTTCCAGGTTACCAAACCAAAACCGTTAGCAAATAAGGGTAAGATGGTCCTCAGAATAACTTTACCAATTATCAATCATAAGACTGAAGGTGGCGTTCTCTCATCATTTGGAACATATTTTTTGGGCTGTCGGTGCGCCAATCGCACAGACGGCCATATGTAAAAACCCAACCGTTTTTAGAGGGTTGAGAAGAAGAACAATGGCCTTCTTCCGCCGACTAGCAGCACCTTGTTCATGCAAAAATTGCAAACCATACGGCCATTAACTAATGCACGAAGAAAAGAAAGATAAATTTAATATTCCTGCAAACACCTGAAAATACATATGGGTAGGGTGGGCAGGGTCGCAAAGGCCTTTCCTCTCTACGTCTAACTTCAGGTTATCTTGTAGTGTGTGAGAATAAAACTATACCAAGACAAAGTTTATATACCCAAGGCCAATGCACACCTGCACGCCTGTTGCTTTCGCCGTATAAAAGACACAATGCAATGCTTACTCGAGCACTGCTACAATAAACACAAACTCCCCAAACCAAAGGGCCCCTAAACGGCGTACCCTGTCACATATTAAACGTAACAAAATTCATTAAATCTAGCTAAAAACCTTGTTTATGATATCGTCTAGCTTAATTTGGATTAACAAGTATTCTTATTGCTGCCGTGTTTTAGTTTTCGAAGGACACTGTAACCCTCTTTCCACCTTACTACGTTCTTAGTCGTCATTTTTTCCCTCAAGACAGTGAACATCTAGAAGCATTTTTTTACAAGAAACCTTTTAAGGTACCGAGACATTGTTCAAAGAAAGCTTAAACACGGCATTCGATTTCTACTAGGTTGCTTCTTAGTCAAACTGCAAGGTTATGCTTTGGACTTATCAATCAATTTAGTGCCTTTCTGAAACAGAAAACAACTGTTTATTTGATGAGTCAAGAAGATAATGATTTGATTCCAATTCTTGCGTCAACAGTAAGGCGAACATTCCAAAAGCATGAAATTTATCTGACCTTTTGAAAAATTGTGATGATCATTTTGCTGTTGTATATTTAAGATGTTATAATTTTTGTAGCCATTTGTATTAATATTTTAGATGTAGCAATTTTAATTAACCATTTAGATTTACGATGTCTTGTTTTGCTGTAGTAGATTAAAGACCATTTCGGCCTATACGTTTATTATTAATAAAGGTCAAAATCGGTGAAAATGGTGCATCTGCATTGATTATACATCCATCCAAGGCATTTTCCATTTTAAATAGCATAAAGAGATGGCTACTGCCTCTCGTGACGGTTTTGTATTTTGATAGAGACCTTGACGTGATGAATTTCAAAATGATAAGCAGCAACCCAGCAACAAAATTCGAATACATAAGGCTGAAGAGAAAGAAGATACAAATACTGGTTGAAGAGTTGTAGCTTACATTAAATGGTTGGTTTGAAAAGGTGTGTGATTCAATTTGAAATTATTTTTGAATCAGAGTTTGAAAAAAAAATATCAACATCTGGTTTGGATTCCATTTTTTGAAAGCTATTTCAGCAACAGCAGATCAAATAAGGCAAATCTGTTTGGTTTTTTAACAAAATTACAATTTTCATGGTAGATCATATCACAAAAAGAAAGCTTCTAGCGCAAGCAAATTTGTGCATATCCTTGAAACAGTCACCTGAAAACATAATTGATGCTACAATAACTTGCAGGGCAACGTGAAAGACACGTCACCAAGAAACATTTCATGACGTGAATGTGTTGACGTCAATAATTGTTTGCGTATTGCTTTCTGACCTGCAGGTTTATGGCAACAACAATCATGGTGTCGATTAAACTTTCATGCATGCACTTGCATCATTTTGGGATGATCTTAAAATAGAAGCTTTTTGGTTGCTTTATTATTGGTATTTGTAATTTCTACCAATAAACAACGCAGGTCTTTCTCAATTAGCAATTTGGGGAAGCTTTTGAGATTATATCTCAGGTTAGAAATTGCACAAAAGGACACAAGTTAGAAGTTTGCAAACAGCAATTAAGGATCTCGAGAAAATTATTTCACCGTCTCCTAAAAAATCATTAATAATAAGCTTCAAGGTTGAATTTAAGAAAACGTGAAGTTCCTAGGTTTTTAACAGAGGATTAATCTACTGTATGAACATAATATATGACGGATAATTCCATGACTTTAATTTTTGATGATTAACAGCCCCAATCAAATTCTTATAAGAAATAAATTGCCCAAAGAAAGACCAAAGGAGTAACAGAGGTAGACAGTTGTGCATATTTTTCCCTTCTCTGACATTAGCCATTCAATTTGACAGTCGGGGCCTGTTCTAACATACTTACTAGAAGGCAATTGCCCCTCCAGCCTCAGTGACTATCATTGTTTTAAACAATCATTATTTTAAACAATAGGTTATCGTCGTTGTCTTTATATAAACAAAGACTTGCCCCCGCAGCTAAGTATCTATTAGTTTTCAGAAAGTGGTTGAATTGGGAGCTTGATTACCCCAGCAATGACTCAGGCGTTTCTTTATTTGCTCGGATTCTCTTATTTTCATATACCCGATTAAAATTGTTAGCTCTTATTTTAGTTTAGATTTTTTCTATGCTTTTTATTACACTTTTGTTGCAACTGAAGCATATAAAAAGTATCTATGCCCAAGTGAATGAATATGCTTGCTTATATGGCTCTTGACGAAGGCTTAGAAAGCCGAATAAAAGAAACAACTGCCTTGGCTACGATGAGATCTCAAGGGATGGCCTACATATATATAAATATATATATATATACATATATAAAATAAGTAGTGAAACTCTAAACTCTAACACGAAAGTTGGCGAAGGAAAAGTGGCTGGAAACAAAAATTTTTGTGCAGTTTGCCAATAGAAAGTAGCATTATTTTAGCGATGGTAGCGTTAATAGCAAGAACTGGATCACATCTCAATGATTTCAATGAAGGTTGCAGCAAAAGGGTCAAAACTCGATATATTCTTTCATCATTGCTTGAAAAATCTAACCTAATGTGCATGAGCTAAATGTATTGGAGAAGCTCTTAGGCCAAACAACGAAATCTTTGGTTTCAAATTCCCTTCTTAAGTTGAGTCTTTATGTTAGTCGATAGAAAGTTCTAGATAAATTTTTTTAAGCAAACCAGAGTCATAGGAGGTCAACGGCAAAAGTTACCACGTGCTTGCATCATTTTTTGTATCCTAAGCAAAATCAGGTCTAGGATAGAAGGCAATGGTAGGATCCCTCAGGGTTCCTTGTTTTGCCCCTTTCTGATCCTTGGCATGGTTCTGTACTTTTTATCATAAAATGTCATAGTTATACAACAGCTACAAGATTTAATACTTGGAAAATACAGTCAATTTATCCAAGGAAAATAACTGCACAACAAAGTTACAAAAAAATGATTCTCTGGTAGTTCTAGGTAAAAACTTAGTCGAAAGAAGAATTTCAAAATATCGTCTAGCGTGGAGTTCAACACTGATGTATAGACTTGCAGTTTGACTTGAAAATCGTTAAATAGAAATTAAATTTCATCATCTAGGCTTTTTCAAAAAGTCCGTGTTTTCAAAGGTAGAACAGCAAATGTCACACAGTTATGGTGGGAAAAATAGAAGTAATGATATCGAAATTGTTAGGCCACGAGAGAGTTGTAATGATTGTAGTGTATCTTCACAAATTAAGACGCAGCAGTTAAATTCTTCGTCAAAATTCAACTATAAAAAATTATGACATAAGAGGCAAGGTTATAACAAGCTTAAAGGATTTTGTTGACTTCTTTTATTGCATTTCTATCGTCCCTCAGAGGCTGTTAATTAGCTCTAGATATACAAAACTTTCAATTTCTAATAAAGCTCAAGAAATTTTCTTTTATTTTAAAGAAGTTTTCTTTTAAATTATGGTATACCAGGAAAATCTCTAATTGGTCCTAATTGTCATGAAGCAAGTTACCCTTTTGGGCAGGTGACCTTATTTCAACCCTTGAACTGGTCCCAACCTTTCGTGATATTTGTTGAGCTTTTGAAGTTACTATGAAAAGCGACAAACATGCTTACCCTTTTTCCTGTCAAGCATTAACTCAAATTTCAATGGCTGTTGCGTTCTTTTAAGCGCTTACAGGTCAATTTCAACTAGCACAATAAAATTTGTAACTCACACCAACAAACAATACAGGTTTACTCTGATCACGTAGTACGTGTAATCCCTAATCAAGGTTACTTAAACCAAAAGCACTTTTATAGAACCTTATTTGTTCACAGGCGTTAGGCATTAAGCGTTCACTAGAGATTAGGGAAGATGGCAAAGTTTATTCCTTTGATTTTCTGCTTGTCAGCAATGATATTTGCCAATGGGCATGGTATGTTGATTTTTTATTTAAATTATATTTAGTTGATCATGTAGCCATTTTTTCTTACTAATAAAGCAGCCTTTTTTACTGACTAATAAAGCGGGCTTTAAACCATTTGCAAGCATTGCTATTAGACCAAAACAACCTTATTTTTATCAACAGTGTATAAAGGAGAGAAAACATATGACAATAATGAAGTTGACGAAGAAGAAAATGAGGCATCTGGTGATGCAATGGCAAAAAGAGGTAGCTTGCTTTATGCCAAAGATTTACAATCTTTTATCTTTATGAAAAGCAAAAGCACATCTTGTTTTGAATAATCGTTCTGATTTTTCATTATTTAAAGTTATATGTCGAAATATAATCGCAGTGTTTTTGAAAGGTGTGAATAATTTTGAAAACTGCGGCATGAAAATATTTCTTTGACATAAAAGCACACAGGCGCTCTCAAAAAACTTAATGATTTAGTAACAGAAATTTCAAAAGTAACTTCGATTGAGCTGCTGTTGTGATCAAATTGCAAGATAAATTCATGATTATGATTACTAGCCATGATAATTGATTTGACCCACAAAATGTAAAATGAAATCAAAAAGGCACTGCCCGTTGTTTTGGCTAAAGCATTGACCAAGAAACAGATTAGAAAAACTGCAAAGTAATAGCAAAAAGAACCAATTACGCTGTCGGTAATTTTGCCTGACACAGAAATATCGCCTTTTTTAGGTTTTTATCAAAATGAAAATATTTTGTCTTTGCAGTTCCAACTACTTTTTAAAATTGACTTCAACTTCTTCAATTCAGCACAACAAGGTCATTTTTCTGCCTAGAAAGCTGTTCAAAATTAGCATAAACTTGCCAGCGTCCAAATTTAGTTTATTTCACAACATCAATTTGACAACACTAGAATCATTAGGTAAGAAACTAGATTATTTTTAAGGGTTATTCACGATCTGTTTGGCTTTATCATGTTGTCAGACAATTGAAGAACATCTTGCCATTTATACGTCATTCAGAATATCGATAGAAGATTTAGATGTGAAGCTATGACGTCAGCAAAAAGTGCAAAATTTACATTCTAATAATGTGCTAAAGCTCTGCTTCAACTTAAGAAAAGAATTGGAGCATAAAGAAACTTAATATTACAATCTGTCAACTCTCATTTGATTTTTAAAATAACAGCACTCAAATGGACTGTAACTCAAGAAATCCAGCATGATGATATGAAAGGTCCTTGGGGAGTATGGGGAGAAATGGATTATTGCAATGATGGGAAATTTGCAACTGGGTTCTTCTTGAAGGCGGAAAAGGATCAAAAGGCCGGGGACGATACTGGAGCTAACGCAGTTTGTCTGCAGTGTGGGGATAAGAAAGTGTGCTCCAAAAAAGCCAAATGGGGTGAATGGTCAGAAGGAATTCGTTGTCCAACAGGAAGCTTCATTAGTGGTTGGAGACAAAATGTCGAGGATAAACAAGGATGGGGATTGATAAAGGATGACACTGCGCTAAACAATGTAGAATACAGATGCAGAGACAAGAACACCTGGGAGAAGACAGAAGACATAAAGACCAAAGCAGAAGAGTGGGGAAAATGGAGTTTGTTTGTAGAATGTCCAAGAGGTCAGTTTATTTGTGGAATTAAAACAAGAGTTGAAAAACCAGGCGGCGATGATACAGCACTTAATGATATCAAACACAATTGCTGTAAACCACTGCTGAAGAAAAAAAAGGCCTAAATGTGAGTAGGATTACTTATATACTGCCAAGCAGTTAATTTCTCGTTTAAATTACCAGGGATAGTTTGACTGTGTATTACATTGACTAGAGGAGCAAATTTGCTGCGGACCCAGTGTTAATGCCACACTTCAATTACCCACTTTTGTGATGCACTTTTAAAGGTTGCTTCTATGCTGGAATTTTAAAAATTGTATTATTTCACCAAAAATCTAACGTTCTCCATGGAACTAATTTGTTGGCACTAACCATTCTTCTTACAACATCCAGGCTCTCTAAGGACAATCGAACTTGAAGTGATGACAAGTTTATAAAAACCATTTTTCTATAACCTTTCATAATTACAATATATATTTTTTCATGATCTTTTTTATATTTTAGTCTCTTTATGGGGGCATCTTAAGTTTACTCCAAGCCTTTTAGCAGTTTAGGGGGTTTGCCAATTTTAGGGGACAATAATAAAAGTTTAGGGGTTTGCCTTCACTTTAATTTTTCACAAGTTGCAGTTTACACACATGCATTTTCGAGCTGTAAATTCTACCTTTGAATACCTTTTATTTTTATTTTAGAAACCAGTGAAGACACGATAAAGAAAACTATTGATTAATTTTAATTGAAATGAAATGAAATAAAATCAAGCAAAATGTCAATTGTTTCTTTTTAGAAAAATCCTTTGGCTTAATTTAGTAGAGTAGTGATTGACATTTTTTAAGGCAATGCAACTTTTGAGACTTTCTAAATCACACAAATTCACAACTTTAAGATAATATAACATCATGAAGAAAGTCGAAACAGTAAAAAATTCCACAAAGAGGAATTTATAAGCGTATTTTTTAATGAGGTTGATAATTTTTTCGCGATGCATCAGTTTAATTTGCAATTATCATAAAGGCTCAATGTGATGGCTGAGCTTTGTGTTCTTCCCCCTAAAATTCTGTCTAAAGCTCCATTTATCGGCATGTAAATATCTCCAATTGACTTTTTCTTTAGGATACTGGCCAATGCAGAGAGAGGATCCTGCATATAGAACTTCAAAAACGATTGTTTGACCATAGAAACATGTAACTAGGGGCCAAAATGCTGAACAAAACAAAGAGAGAATGGCAAATTGTTTCCAGTTATCTTGCTATCGTAAGTTACTACGAAAGCCACACCGCGTAAAAAAAAGGGTTTTTTTAATTAAGAAATATGACGCAACACGAAGCGTAACGCAACACATAACGTAATACAGTTAGCATTTCCTTCAATGAATTCAGAAAATAGCAGGTTTTAACCAATTGCATAAAATTTGAATGAGGCGTAAATTTACAATAAAAACCAAACTTAGTAACCAATTTTTTAAACCGAACAATTTTACAAAAACTACAGTTGAGGGTAAAATTTCGAACTTCATCTTGATATTTTTAATTTAAACGACAATTTTCAACAGAGTTTTGGCCGAATTTAATCTGAATCTTTTTGCACATTACGATTGAAATGAAAATATATTTTTTTAACACTTAAGTTGAAACATATTTCTCTTTCAATGAAGATTTCTCTCATAGGCCAATGTTCTAGATATATCTTTATTCAGTGTATTTCAATGCCTAACAGCTGCAGGCTTTTTGATGAATAAAGACGGATTAATCTTTTATTAAAAGCACATGAAAACCCAAAATGCTTTCTGGATATGCTATTTCGTGAATATGCTATTTCGTTAAATATCATGCATTTTCTTGAGTGTCACGAAATCCATATAAATGGGCAACAACAATAACACAAGGTGTACGAGTTGTCAAAAAAATATAGCTCACCTTGATTTAAGATTTTTCAGGAAATTATGACATTTGAATTAATTTGACGCATACACGGACAGATTTACCAGGGCCTGTGGAGGGTCTTTCGGTAAACTTTGCTTCGATTCAGTAACAAACCTGTTTTGGTGGTTGGTAGGAAAAAATGCAAAAAGATGCTTTATTCAACATTAAGTCTGACTAAACTTTCGGATTTTATACATTTGTGTTTATCTCTGAACTATGGAAAGGATTTTAGAGGATTTTGTGGATTCTTCGTAGAGTGTACGAGGATTTGGAATGACACACCCTATTTTATGTCGCATTATCTGCTCAATAAAATATTTTAGTAAATCCGCATAGTGACATATTTCATTCGATAAAAGTGAAATGCCATAAATAAATACTTCAAACAGGATAGGGCCTAGGACTGACCCCTGGGGTACACCTATTTTAGTTTCTTTCTATAAACTGAATGTGCCGTTTAATTTAGCAAGTTAAACATTATAATCGAGAAAAATATTGATAGACCCATCAAGACTGCTTGGACAAAATCTTGCCATCTAAGGTCTTCTTTCGGGTCTCTACAACTTTTCGAAAAGAATATTGTGTATTTTACATGTATCAACATTAGAGAGTTTAGGTAAGATAAACTTGTTTAAAAAGGGTAGTTATTAGCTGATTTCTCAAAAGGCTCTCAATGGCTTTTGTGTCACGTAGTAATATGATTATTAGTCTTAAGCTGTCCTTCAGAAACGAGTCACCACTTGCACTAACAACATCACCGTCTTTTAGTTCATATGGAAAACTATTATCTCCTTTATCTTTATAGAATAATTACAATAATCAACCGCTCAGAGTTCAAGAATTTGATAACATTTTGCATAATAACCGATTAATGACAAGCAAATTTTCAATTTCTTTCATCATATAAAGAATATCGTTGATCTAAATATCAAATAGGAAGGGACCTAATATGGAATCTTGTAGAACGCTCAAATGGAGCCTTTTTCCGAGATCTGAATGAAGTATTTACTTAAGCTCTTACTCGTCTTTTCTTGCAAAGAGATGTGTATTAAGTTTGGGCACCTAGGCTGAGATCAAATGCTTAGAGCTTGGTCCTATAAAAATTCATGATTGAGGCAGTCAAAGGCTTTGGAAAACCCAAAAAATGATTCACTGATCAGTTCTAAGCGAAAACTCAGCCAATGGAAGTATCTTCAAATACAATATACACTGGAGTAGAAGCACTGATTCAAATAATAGGGCACTGAAATGATTGATAGCAAACCCTTGTAGTTTGACTTGACAACAGTTGAGTGGAAACCGATTGCAGTATTCAAGCTTTTTTAAAAATCTTCCTGTATCTTAAAAAGTGTTCTGTGAAAAAGGGAAATTGTTAAATGTTCACATTCTTAAGTCCATCAGAGGGTTACATCTGTGTTTGGTGTATTTTCACAAACTTAGACGCAGCATCAAAAGTAATACTTTTTCACCAAAATGCAACTAACTATACTAGAAGGCAAGGCAATTAGAAGCTCAAAGGAATTCATCGACCCCTAGAGGTTGTTAATGGCTTTCAGATAAGGATATCATTGTGGCAGTGAAAAGCTCAAGAAATGTTGGCAGTTCTTTTTCAAATTATTGCATACCGTGGAATTGATCGATATCATCTCTAATTGATCCTAATTCGCTTGTCAGGAGGTAAGGTACCCTTTTTGGCAGGTGACCTTATTTCCACCCCTGAACTAGTTCCAATCTTTCGTGTTATTTGTTGAACTTTTGAAGTTAATATGAAAAAGCGACAAACATGCTTACCCTTTTTCCTGTCAAGCATTAACTCAAATTTCAATGGCTGTTGCTTTTATTCAAGCGTTTACAGGTCAATTTAAACTAGCACAATAAAATTTGTAACTCACACCAACAAACAATACAGGTTTACTCTGATCACGTAGTACGTGTAATCCCTAATTAAGGTTACTTAAACCAAAAGCACTTTTATAGAACCTTATTTGTTCACAGGCGTTAGGCGTTAGGCGTTAGGCGTTCACTAGAGATTAGGGAAGATGGCAAAGTTTATTCCTTTGATTCTCTGCTTGTCAGCAATGATATCTGTCAATGGGCATGGTATGTTGATTTTTTATTTAAATTTTATTTAGTTGTTCATGTAGCCCTTTTTTCTTACTAATAAAGCAGCCTTTTTTACTGACTAATAAAGCGGGCTTTAAACCATTTGCAAGCATTGCTATTAGACCTAAACAACCTTTTTTTTATCAACAGTGTATAAAGGAGAGAAAATAGATGACAATAATGAAGTTTACGAAGAGGAAAATGAGGCATCTGGTGATGCAATGGCAAAAAGAGGTATATTCAGTAGCTTGTTTCATGCTAAAGTTTTGCAAACGCTCATCTCTAAGCAAAGCACACCTTTCTTTAAACTATAGTTGTAATCGTATATCATTTAAATTTGCATGTCGAAATATCATCACACTGTTTTATGAAGATCAGAATCAATGGCGGACTGGCTACCATTCAACAAACCGTGAAAAGCAACCAAAAGGGTGCCAATTGGTGCTAAAGTTGCTGAAAATGCAAAACGGGAAAACTATGTGTAGCGGAGAATCAGTTTACTACAGACAGTCATAATTCATTCTTAAAGCATCACCGCAATTGATGATAGGATGGGAAAATTAGGTTTCGAGCAAAAGGGGGGTTTATCCCCGAAATATTTATTCAGTGATTTGTAACTCAAACCAGTGATTTGTGTTCAGTGATGCTATTTAGAACGTCAGAAAATACCCCTTGCTGAAATTCAAAGTCATTTTATTCAAAATTTGCTTGGGGAGAAGAAGATTCTCACCGAAAGTGTGTGTATTTGAAAACGTCGACGAAAGAGGTAAAATTTTTGTTGTCAAACAAAGTATTGCTCTCCAATGAAATATAGATTTTAAAAGTTAGATTAAAGCCCAAAGCCAAAGCCCATTTTTCAGGTAGTGCGACACTTTTTTCCAATATTTTAAAGAGAAAGCAACATCTTCCAGCATAGGAGGCGAGATTATTTTCGATTAAACTCGCAATCTTCAGATATTTAGCGATATAAAGACTTCATTTTCATCAAACGGTAATTGATGAATTCGTCAAGATAAATACGCTGCTCCTTCTTCGATACTACAGGTACAAAACATTTACAAAATATATTATACCAGTACTTTAGCCAGTACATCAGAACTGTGCTGGTCGTTGAACTGTAACCTTGTCCGAAAATATCTGAAAACAGCATTTGGACCATCCGTTTGTGCAAATTGATGATTTTGCAAATTGATTTGCTCCTTCTGTATAAAAAAAATTGTGCGTAGGCATGGTAGAAAGGATAAAGAATTTTTTATGAAAGGCACTTTAATTAGAAACGAAAGTTCTTTACGTTTGATGGAAAAAAGGATTATTTTAAGAGCTAGTTGAAAATTTGAAACGAATTTGTTTTCAAACAGCTGGCTTAATTTCTAAACAGTCAGCAAAAATTTCACATTTTCCACGCTCTTGCTGTAGAAGTCCAGAATTTGCCGGTGATGTGTTTTAGCCAAGTACCAAAGAGAGGACGAATGGGTATTGCTAGTCATTAATCGGGAGATAAAGGACCCCGTTAGCAATAGACAAGACTTTTGGCTTTAGTAATATCTTTTCAGTAAAAAACCTCTTGGTTTCGAACGTTTTAAAAACAAAATTAAGATTCCTTTGGGTTCTTAGTAGATTTGGAAAATAGAATAACCTGTGACAGGAAGTTTTGAAAGTATGGCCCTCTTTCATTCCTAAAACAGGCTTAATTATTAAGGGATAATTGAAGGTCCATGAAAAAAGCACCAATATCATCCAAGAGAGAAAACACAAGGAATGTGCACATATTACGTTATCAAAAATTTGAAATATTGGAAAGATATGCTTTCCTTTCTATTATCAATTAATTTGCTTTAAAAATTGATCATTAAGGCCATAAAAATTTGTGTTGATACATGCTGCGAGCTAATACATGCTTATAATAATGACCTTTTCATTGCTAGCTATGCTAATTTTTTTTAACCAGAAAATGTAAATAAAAACGACAAAGCACTGCCCATCGGTTTGTCTAAAGTATTGACCAAGTTAGAATATCTGCATTACCGCAAAAAGAACTGATAAGGCCGTAGGTTATTTTGTCTGACACAGAAATATCGTCCCTTATTTCTTTTGGTTATTTATTAAGGCCAAAATATTTTGTCTTTGCAGCTCCATCTATCTCCTTAAAAATGATTTCAGTTTTTTCAATTGAGCTCAACAATGTTTTTGCCTCAACAATGTCTAATCAAAATTATCTCAACCTTGCCTGCGTTCAAACTTTGTTTATTTCACAACATATATTCAGCTATATCAGTTATCGTGAACTCGATGTTCTAAAGCTATCAGTAATTACAAAAGTAGAATATTTATAAGGGTTTTGTAAGATCTGTTTGGCTTTATCATCTAATCAGATATTTGAAGAATATCTAGCCATGTCAGGCCCATAGACAGCTAGAAAATAATGGACAGAAAATAAGCTTTTTCTATACCTGCCTTACGAAATACTGTCAGATCAAGCTGCACCTATAAGATCCTCAAACACAATTTTCGTAAATTTTTTGGGGGGGGGGCATTGCTCCCTGCCCCCAATATCTACGGGCCTGAGCTATTTAGACGTCATTTAGAATAGAATTGATGTATAAAGAAACTTAATACTCGATGGATCAACTCATGATTTTCAAATAACAGCACTCAGATGGACTGTAACTGAAGAAATCCAGCATGAAGACATGAAAGGTCCTTGGGGAGTATGGGGACCAATGGACTTTTGCAATGATGGGAAATTTGCAACTGGATTTTTTCTGAGGGCGGAAAAAGAGCAAGGGGCTGGGGACGATACTGGAGCTAACGCAGTTTGTCTGCAGTGTGGGGATAAGGAAGTTTGCTCAAAAGAAGGAAAATGGGGTGAATGGTCAGACGAAATTAGTTGTCCAACAGGAAGCTTCATTAGCGGTTGGAGACAAAATGTCGAGGATAAACAAGGACGGGGAGTCCAAAAGGATGACACTGCGCTAAACAATGTAGAATACAGATGCAGAGACAAGAACACCTGGGAGGGGACAGGAAATATAAAGACCAATGCAAAAGAGTGGGGAAAATGGAGTAGGTTGGTGGAATGTTCAAGAGGTCAGTTTATTTGTGGAATTAAAACAAGAGTTGAAAAACCAGGCGGCGACGATACTGCACTAAACGACATCAAACACAATTGCTGTAAACCACTGCTGAAGAAGGAAAAAGCCAAAATGTGAATACATATGTATATATTGTTGAATCGTGCTATCATGAACTTGATTATCTCGAAAAACTCTATCTCGAACAGATTCCCATTTCCCCTTGTTTTTCTAAAGGCCTTATAGAGCATAGAATTATTTTCTCGAACCCGCGTATCTCGAACTATTCGCTATCTCAAACGAAGTTGTGTACCTTTGAAAGAGAAAATCCGGGTATTTCGAACAAAATGTGACAAAAATTTTTAAGCCGGGACTCAACTGTACTTCATTGAAGAAATTTCTCATTTAAATTACCACAGATGGTTTAACTGGATATTGCATTTTCTGGAAGGGCATAGTTGCTGCGGCCCCGATGTTAGTGTCACACTTCAATTACCCACTTTTGTGATGCATTTTTGAATGTTGTTTCTATGCTGGGATATTTTAAAAAGCTGTATAATAACTCTTTTTTTAAACTTTCATCAATACGACATATTTGATTATGATTACTCTATTTGAATATTTAAGTTTCTTGCCAAAGCAATTACCACTTCTTTGCAGAAAGTTGAAGGCTAAGGGGCATCTAAGTTATATTAACAATAACAGAATTTCAGGGGGTTGCCTTCACCCTGACTTTTCATAACTTATGCAATTTACACATGCATTTTCGAACAGGAAATTTTAGTTTTAATAATATCTATTTTAATTTTAGAAACAACTAGTTCCAAAGAGCGCGAAGACACTGTAAAGCAGAGTATTGGTCAATTTTAAATAAAATGAAATAAAATCAAGAAAAAATGTCAATTGTGGCTTTCTGACAGAAACTTTTGACTTGATTCAGTACAGCAACGACCAACTTTTTTTGAAACAATGCAGCCTTTCTCATTCACCCGAATTCATGAATTCAAAATAGTATATCATCATACAAAATGTTCCAATTGTAAAAAATCTCGTAATGCCGTCCAAATTTATAGCTCTTTATGTGATTCAATGCTGTTATTGTTGGAGTTTGGCCTTTTTAGATTTGGTATTTGATTTATCAAACATTACTTAGTCTGCCTGAACTTTCGAATTTCTATACAATTTTGTGGACCTCTGGATTTTTGAAAGGATTTTTATATACACCCTTTGGCCGCATTATCCACATAATAACATAATCTAGTCTCATCCAACAAAAAAGAATTGTCATAAATAATCATTTCAAACAGGATAGGGCCTAGGAATGACCCCTGGAGGACACCTATTACCATTTCTTTCTAGAAACTGAATGTGCCGTTCATTTGCACTATTTGTCTTCCTCCTGAAAGAGAGTCGTGCACTATTTTTATAGCGTATGAACTTGACTAGCATGTATTGAATTTAGCAAGAAAAAAATTATGATCGAGAAAAATATTAATAGGCCTATCAAGACTGCTTGAACAAATCCTTACTATCTAAGGTCTTCTTTAAGGTCTCTTCCACCTTTTACAAAGAATTGGAGTGTATTTTAGTGAAAGAAGTGTATTTTACATGTATCAACATGAGAGAGTTTAGGTGAGAGGAATGCGTTTACAAAAGGTAGTTATGAGCTGATTTCTCAAAATCTCTCAAAAGCTTTTTTATCAGATAGTAAAACGATTGTCGGTCTTAAGTTGTGGTTCAGAAACAAGTCACCATTCGCACTAACATCACCGTCTTTTATTTCACGTGGAAAATATCTGCGTCTTTACTTTTGTAGTATACGTTTGTTTCAAATCATTGATTGGCTTATTAAGGACAGAATTAAATCTCACCTTTCTTTATTGACTGCCCAAAGTCCAAGGATTTGGTAACTGTCTGCCTAATGACCGATGATCCATTCGAATAGAATTTCAATCACTCTACTATTCGCATTACCAGTGAACTTCTGAAATCAGTTTTTGACCGAGCCCTATCCTTTAAACCTGGGATGGTTTAAAGATTGTTCCCTAGTTTTAGGTTTTAAGTACAAACAATTCTTCCATTCTTGCTGCATTGACCGTTTTGTATATTTTAATCAATGGTAGCATTAAACAGAGCGACCAAAGGAACACTGCTGAATGAACACTGTTGGATGTTGCAATATTATGAAGGAACACTGTTGGATGTTGCAATATTAACACATGATTCAAAAGGCTTGTTCGTGGATCTTGCTTAAGCCAGTTGGGTTGCACCAATGTTGACATGCGATTCAAAACATGAAGTTTTTGACTGGCATTTTTGCAGAAGTGATGACCATGGGATTGAGAACTTGATTTTTTGTCTATAGACTCTTAAAGAAGGGTCACTTTGGTTGCTATTTTGACAAACAGGAGCGTTCACGTTAAACCTTTGAGACATTTTGTTCAAGATTATCGTTAATTTAAATATCAAATAGCAAGGAACCTAGTACGGAATCACGTGGAACGCCGAATGGGAGCCTTTTTCCGAGTAATGAATAAGGCATTTACTTCAGCTCTTTGTTGCACTTTTTGCAAAGAGATGTGTACTAAGCTACGGGCACCTAGGCTGAGTTCGAATGCTGAGAAAGAGTTCATGATAGTCATGGTCAAAAGCTTTTGAAAAATCAAAATTGTACCAGCATACTTCTTTTTATCAAGCCTCGTTTGGGAGACGGGTCTTAATTCCTATTGGCCATAAGGCCATTATTCTATTTGTCTGTTGCAATGGGAAAGTGCATCATATGGGAATGCGCATTAGGGCGAAGGCGGAATTTACCTCTAATGGCACTTTACGTTATTTAATCAAAACTTATCACGGTTGCATAAATTAAAGAGAGTTTCGTTCTCACATGACACAATTCTATCTGGAAATTATCATCTCAACAAAGAGAAGCTAGCGCCAATTAACACTAATTATAAGCCGTGACATGTAATCGCTGTGGTGTGTTGTCTTGTGTTGCGTTGTGCTGTGTCGTGCTTTGTTGTATTGTATTTTGCTGTTCTGTGTTGTGTTCCGTTGTGTTGCGATACGTTTTGTGATGCGTGATGTGCTTTGTTGTATTGTATTTTGCTGTTCTGTGTTGTGTTCCGTTGTGTTGCGATACGTTTTGTGATGCGTGATGTGCTTTGTTGTATTGTATTTTGCTGTTCTGTGTTGTGTTCCGTTGTGTTGCGATACGTTTTGTGATGCGTGATGTGCTTTGTTGTACTGTATTTTGCTGTTCTGTGTTGTGTTCCGTTGTGTTGCGATACGTTTTGTGATGCGTGATGTGCTTTGTTGTATTGTATTTTGCTGTTCTGTGTTGTGTTCCGTTGTGTTGCGATACGTTTTGTGATGCGTGATGTGATGTGTTGTGTTGTGTTGTGTTGTGTTGTGTTGTGTTGTGTTTTGTTTTGTGCTTTGTGGTGCGTTGAGTTGCGTTGTGTTATGTTGTGTTGCGTTGCGCTGGGTTGTGCTGAGTTGTATTGGGTTTTTTGATTGTGGAACCGCTCTATTGTGTCAACAGTTGATCCCAAGTTCCAATGTTTTGAATAAAAGAAGGAAAAAATGGTTAATTTAGCAGCAGTTTGAAAGATATATTCACCAAAATATGTCTACACATAGATTTAGTTGTATTTCAAATCTAGTAGGTTAAATATTCTGGTGAAAAGTTTCATGTCGTCTTGATTTATCGGGGTCGGGGGTCGGAAGTTGTCACATTGATCCATTATTGCTTTTTTCTACTAGGATAAAACATACATAAAGCCAAATTTTTCCGTTTTTGCATTGTTCGTTATTATTCAAACACTTGGAGCCCGACTTGGAGCCAATATTTATTTTCGTTATTGATCAAGCAACCTACTCTGGATACCAGAGAGACATAAATTCGAGTGCGGAAATAAAGGACAGGAACGGAAAGCGGAGAAGTGTCAGTGTTTTTGCTTGTAGCTCGAGAAAAGTTACTCAAGAAGAATGAGAATCACAGATGCAAATGCAACAGCCTATCATGACTGTCCTGGTTCAATGGATGAAGACCAATGATGTGTGTGTGGCATTTTATGCCTCTTACTCAAAGATGCAGGTATAATAAAATTGTCAAGTCATCAACAACCCGCTATGTACTGGTGCAAGCCTGCGTTATTTGTTGGCAATGGTTACAAATTTAACGGTGCTAGAGAAAATTCAGCATAGCAAACTAGCAAATTTGGAGCAGTCAAAATCAAGTTATCGCTGAAACTCGTGAATAAATAATGAGATAATGAGTACCAAATAGGTTATGACATTTAGCGTCCACCGAAATATGCAGCGTACAGCCTCAAAGGTGGGTCAAAATAGTCTCGCTTTTAGATCGATATAAACAGCCAATGGACGTCGGAGCGGTTTGAGTGATGGAGCTTCATCAAAACCAGTAAATATAAGTTCTTTAAAAGAACTATTGCAATGTCCGTATTACTGTTTCATAATCTTCAGAGTTTAAAACGATATTTATGATGCTTTGGAATTTGATGACACATATACCATTTTGAAAACAGAGGCCGAGTGTGATATTTTTTCTAAAACAAGTTTATAGCCTACACCCAGCCCTCCCATTAACATTTGAAAAGGAAGAAAATGATTTCTTGCCATTTTTAGAAGTTTTGGATGAAAAGTCTAACACTGGATTTCTTACCAGTGTATATCGCAAGCCTACTTTTACCAGTCAGTACATACGCTGGAATTCATTTTGCCCAAAACAACGCAAAGTCAACCTTGCCAAAATCTTTGTACATAGGGCAATTGTGTTCTGCTCGTTAATCTTTATTTCGCGCTTAGCTGATTAAAACTTAAAACGATCTTTCTGCACAACGGTCTTAAAACGATCTTTATCCAGAAGATGTCATTTTGTCTTATACTAAGGAGAAGATCGCATGTTTTTCGGCTGTTTAAATGTTTGGTTCGCAAAAGTGTTCAGTCTATCTTAAACTATATCGATTGGTAACACTTACTTGTGATTTGAGAGTCAGATTAAACAAGCCATCACAAAATGTTTCTTTGCTATCAATTTCTGTATTTTTTTACAGCACTAGAAGAGCCCTTTCATCCATTCAAAAAGATTGCGTCCCTACCACCTAAAAAAAGTTCCATTGTTTATGAATTTACGTGTCAGTGTGATTTTGGCTACGTAGGTTGCACAACCCAAAGATTTGGGGATAGGATAAAACAGCATGTTCCTTCAAACATAAGAAAAAAAACTGACCCTCAAAGAGAACAGCTTGCTCGATCTTGTAGGTCTAGAAACACCGTTAAAACTAGTGATTCTGCCATCGGTCAACATCTTTTAGACAACTCAGATTGTGCTTAATTCTAGAATGACGACATGTTTTGGATAATTGGCAGCACCAAGTCGTCTTTTCATCCACCAGTCTCGATATTAATCTCAAACCAACGAAATAGCTGCTTTTGTGTAGACGTTCGTTTTTTCTCTTGTACTCCAGTGGTAATTTATCTTTAGGCACGCGGCCCTGATTGGTCAATTATACCGGTTTTGTGCTTGCGCTTTTCTGATTGGCCTATTTCGATTCACAACTGGGAATATATTTATCATCGTGTTCCTTTCCACCCTTATTCTGATGTTTTATGCTCTGAGGAGTGTCAGACGAAAAAGCTTTTCGCCCATATGTTACAAAATGTTTGCTTTTTTCAAAGCCATTTTCTAGTTCTGTACCGCCAAAAAACTGTAAATTACAATTACAAACCATTCTGTGAAATAGGTAGTTTGCAACTAAAATGAAAGTAATGGTAATGTTTATAATAGTAATTGTTGTGGTAATGATTACAATGGTAGGGAAAACATGGCGTAGGTTGTGAGACCGGCGTGATATGTTGTGTTGTAAAGTTAGCGGTCGGCGGTTCTGTTCATGCCGTTGCACCCGATGCTGATAGGGTGGCCGTTGGGAGATGAGGGTGTTCGCCAGGCCAGTGAGATATTGCTCTTTAGCTCGACGAACACTTGCTCGTCGGCCATTAAGTTGAAGACTAACGAGAGAGTGTTGACGGACATTTTAATAAGAAACGTTTAGTCCGAACAAAAAAAACATTTTAATTTCAGGCCTGAAATTTTTTTCTTGAGCCCTTTTTGAAAGAAAATGAGGACTGCTTCTTATAGAATGGGATCCGTATATGCGGGTACTTAATGTATCGGCAAAAACCATCATGTGTCAAAAGAAGAAAAATTTACATATTCCACAGAAATACTGCTGTAAAAATCCCGCTTATTAAGGACTTCTAGCTGTTTTGAAAGAAAATCTGAAAAATTTTTCAATTTAAACTTGCCGTCACATATGTCTTTGGAAAAGTGCCTCTTTTGCTGATATACAGTGGCCTTCCTAATGCGCCTTTCTCTTTTCAAAGTGCTTCCCACGTCCCTACAGAGTGTGTGTCTGAGGATTTCATTGTTGTTTCTGGAAGTGTGAGGGCTTGCATTTGCGGCCGCTTTGTGCCTTTGTGGTTTGATGAATTCTGTTTTTTTTGCACTCCCTTTATCCAGATTAGAAAGCTTTTGCAAGAGCTCTGACTAACAATGGGAAGAAGTTTTTTGTTGACGCTGACGAGCATTGGAGGTAATTCTGTCATGGATTTTTACTGTGGGATTTTACGATACCATTATTCAAATTCATATTGGTTGGTGTAGTCCAAGTTCTACCCCTAATTTGAACTGCCGACCAGTGCAAGGACACTTGGTGTAATTGTTGGCAAAATGGTGGAAACGTAAGAGCTTCGTCGAAACAGTACATATACTCAAAGAAACCATGTCGTAGGTAATTATTTCCAATTTCCTGTAGCCTTTTCAAATAAGCTCAATAATTAAGTAGCTTTGCACTTGGCCCAACTGTCAGTTGCTTGGTTTATCGATTTTTAGCAACTTTTTACATGACATTTTAATGTGTATGATTGGCACTCTTGTCTTCATCATTTCACTTAAACCCGGTAAAGTTGAAAGTATGTCAGTTGTCCTGAGTATATCTGGGATCTCGTCGTGTGGAACAGAATTTCCTTGTCCCTAGTCTTAAGTGAAATTATTCTTGTCAATAGTATTGTAAAGCTGCAGCAACATAAATAAGGAGCCTAATTGACAAATCTTCTCTAAATATATTTATCTCAAAAGACAAACACATTGAATCTTTTCGCGATAAAATTTTTCTGAGTTTTGTTTTGCATAAAACATCCTTTAAAATTCTTTTTTTCGTTTTCCAATTGGATTTAAAAATATTTTTATCGGATTTGTATCCTGTATTTGCTCCTGTCGGCAATTCAAGGCATATTATTTAATAGGTCAGCATTGATATTTCTTTTACATGAGCATAAAAAAGGCACAACCGAAAAAGAACTTATGCCTCAAATACTAACTTCAGATGAAATTCCAAGTAGCATTCCCTATGCGATAAATATATTTTTATTATACAACCACCAACCTTTTTTGACAAAAATTGATTGGAAAATTGACAAAATTTCCAGAGCTTTTAAAAAGAAAAATCAATGCATGGTGAATTTTAAAAATAGGAATACCTTTATGAATGATGATTAAATAATACCTATAGATGATGATTAAATGAAACTTCATCAGATTTAATTTCATGAGTGGCTTTTAGCTTCAATTTATTCGTTTGAGATTGTTGTTATTACTTATTCGTTACGGTCTCTTGTGCCAGGCTTCCTCGTGCTTTCTAGTTTATGGGCAATGTGGAGAGTCTTTCGGCCTCCTGAGGATTTGACTTGTATAACTAGGGTAAGATGTGTGTTTCGCAGCGTTTTCATTTTCTTTCTTAATCAAGGGATATTTTAGGTTCTGTCATAGCTTAGGTCTCACTTCGCTTCATTTTGTTTCCTTGCGTGATATTCTATTCAGTGTACCTCTTACCCTGGGTGCCAGAGCCCTAGAGAGTCAACGGATGAAGAACGGGGGAAGGAATTGCGAAGGAGAATGGAAGAGGAAATTCTCTCCCCTTTCTTCTTCCATCCTCCTTCGCAATTCCTTCGCATGTAGCTCTGTATGTTGAGTTTCTTTTACGGCATTGATACAACCTCTCATATCTTTAGGCATCTTTCATGCTCTTTAGCGTTCTTTTGATGCTCTTAGGTCAGACTTGTGCACCGACTATTAGTGAGGTAAAGAGTCTTTCCTTTTCCATTCCCTCCCAATTATCAATCAGATTTGGGGGTAATTATGTAACTTCTCTTAGTATCGAAAACCTTGCCTCGTTAACCCTCGTTCTTTTTAAATTTATGAGCTACCTTTCAAAATATGTTTTTGCAAGATAGCTTCAACAAAGTTACTTAAGTAGAACAAGAAGCACAGATGCACATAATTTGCTGAAGTTCATTATTCTCAAAGCCATTATAACAATTCTCAAATCAATCTTCTTGGCTTCCTTTGATTATGATCTTCTGCCATACTTGAACCTAAAATGGAAATAAATGGTTGAAGCATAAGTTTTCTCTTTCTTTTATCTTCGATTCATAGTAACCTTCTTCTAAAATTCGACAAGGTAAATCAATTCCATTTTCATGGAGTTAATTTTATCAAAAAACCAACTGTACTTCTGTGCCTCTGATGCCCAAAAAAGTGTTTCAGTTAGCAATTTTTAAATCTCTTGATATCGAACTGATTGGCAAAGAGTTACGTACTTTTTATCCTTCTTCTTGTCTAGAACTGGTTTACAGCATTGGTGTATAATGTCATTAAGAGCAGTGTCATCACCACCAGGACTCTCTACTCTGGTTTTGATTCCACATATGAATTCTCCCCTTCGACATTCTTGAAACCTGCTCCATCTTCCCCATTCTTCTGCTTTCGTTTTTATCTGCTTCGTTTGCTTCCAGGTCTCTATATCTCTGCAGCGATACTCCACGTTGTCTAAGGCAGTATCATCTCTTTTCCCAATAGGGTCCTCTACGTTTTGCCTCCAGCCAGATAAATAGCTTCCTTCTGGACAACTGATTTTGTCTGACCAATCACCCCATGGCCCCTTATTGGAACACTTTTGCCTGTCACCGCATTGTAAACAAACAGCGTTGGCACCAGTGTCGTCACTAGAACCTTGAGGTTTTTCTGCCTTTAACAAAAATCCATTAGCAAAGACACCATTATCACAATAGTCCATGGTTCCCCAAGTTCCCCATCCTCCTCTATTTTCTTCTTGCTTTATCTCATCCGTCAGCTGCCACTGCAGTTCTGGATAATAATAATGATGGCAGTATTTAAATTTGTATTCCAAAACGATGCATTAAGAAGTCTCGCGAGATAGAGTACTTTGTGAATGGCATATCTCTCTTATTTAGATTGGTTTTGAAACCAGCAAAAAGTTCAAGGATAAAAAAGACTTTTGGTCATTACCGCATTGTTCTCCAGTGATGACAAAAGAAGAGAAGAATCTAGTGAGATCAGCTTAATTAATGATGTGATCCTTTGATGGCTTGTAAAGAGTTGGCAAGAAGGAGCAGGGCATAATCATGCCTCCACGTATTGGCGGCGCCAGCCAATAAGCTCTGGGTGGGACAAAACAAAACATTTTCGACCACACCCCACGACCCAATTTTATCCGAAGGGATAAAACGTTTGAGACGTCCATGCCTTACTTTTTGATACGTAAAAGCAGTTTGAAAATCGTAGGATTAAATCACAAAAAGTAGGCTGTCAAAATATTACTCCTCCCCCAACATTTTCTCATCGAGTTTAGACGAAATACAAAATCGATTCTGCCAACAGGCTCATTTAGATGATCGCTATGCACAGACAGATGGCAAATTCATTATTTTGCAATTAATCAAATTTTCCTTTGAAATTGAATAAAATCTTGATAGAATCAAGTTAGAAAGCTAATAGTTGCTTAAATTTTATAAAATCAAAATATACGATGGCGTTCAGGCTACCAAGGCTTGTTAGTTTCTCGTATGATTGAATATCATGATTACATTGTTGACGAAAAAAACTCAATAGAGCTGAAGTGCAATTCATACTTCTCTCGCAAAGCTTTCCATCTCCTTCATACCTATCTTTACATTTGCAATTGTACAAATGATCTTGATCTCCACTGTTTGTATTATCTGTACAAATCGCATTGACGCTGCATTGGGTGCCGCCTGCACATCCTTTTGAGGGGCCTTCGCAAGCAACATTTGGGAATTGTGTTTTCTTCAACCTACTGCAATAGCCCTTTTGAGAAACAATATTGTTTAAAATTATTTGCTCTTAAACGAAATAAGAAAGCATTTGTAATGATTAAAGAAATATGTTACAATATAGGCTAAAGTAAACAGATATGCCTTATCTTTGAATGTTGTGAAAAACAACCGGATGATTAAATATCAACTCCATTTGACATAGCCCAAATTTTTATTCATAATGTATTTTCATCAGTTGAATAAGAGGAGTACTCCCCTAGTTTATGTTATCAGCTAAAAATGCTGTTTTCTTAGCATTCTCATATTCCAAGTTCAAATATTATTCGCTGTAAGAAAATGCATTAATTTAATAGAGAAATCAGGAATCCAATTGATTATGCTATCACAAGTCAGGCAGTCACCAAAGTTATTGATAAAATGTAAACAAGTTCTCAGCGACCAACAACGATTTAGAAAGAATGGAATGACTCAAATATCGAATCTAAACACTTAAAATATGCAAAAGATTCTAAAGTGAGATATTGTCTCTGCCCGGTCCCCACACCCCCCCCCCCCCCCCCCCCCCCCGAAAAAAACAAGACTTTGTTGGGAAGTTAACTGTGAAAATACAACCTGCAAGTATTGTGAAAGTTCTGTTCTTATCTTTCTGTAGTCTACAGAATCATCTTTGAAGAAGGCAGGTCGGAAAACATCCAGAATGCTTTTCAGTCGATAGTATGTAGGCATTGGATTTTCCACTGATGCTTGCATCCATGCGTCATGATCACCTGCAAATATTTTATTATGAATTATTAAATGGTTATATTTTATTTTCAATTCAGCTCAACTACAATTACGAATCTTACTATTACAAGGTAATTTGCAATTGGCTAGCCTGATTATACATAAAAAACTCAAACAAGAGTAAGGGAAAAAAGGTCAGTAATGATAACATAAGAATTGATGATTACTTTAAACGGAATTAAGGCTGGATTTGTCCATTGTTTATTTTTGAAGCAGAAAATACAATACGTGGTATGAAGAGAAATAATGGAAAGTTTGCAATGAAATAATATTTGTTTTGTTGATGAAAGGTGAGGTTTTCACATATCTCAAGAAAGAAAGAAGAATCACATATCTCGGAAAAGCGTCCTCTTCCACCTGCTCAACATTTATATTTGAATTCTACACTGAAAACTGGTCTAGAAATATTTGGTTTTGTCAAGTTCCTTCTCGGGTGGTCATTAACAGCTCATTCACAGGCTGCCTCCAAGTCTAAGATAAAACCCCCTGAATCTCGGAAAAGCAACCTCTCCCGCCTGATCAAGATTCAGCTTTAAATTTTGCACGAAAAGCTGGTCTATAAAAAGTTGGTCTTGTAAAGTCCTTCGTCGGGTGGTAATGCTCCCCCTTGTCCCTCTTGACTAAAAAGTTATTCGGAAATTGTTTCTGTTTTTTTTGTTTCCTGTCAGTGACCCAAACATGAGAAAGAGGCCTCCATTTTTGCTCGATTGCAGAATACTTAAAAAATGTCTGCTGTTGTCTTGTTCGTGTTATTGAGTGTGAATTTGCAGATTTTTGAACGTTCTTGTATGATATTCGGAAGGGACATTCTAGTTATTTCATTTGTTCATACCATAAATGATTAAAGTGGTCACAGATTCAAATATTTGTGATTAATATAACTGGTGATAAATGTTTATTCAGCTGGAGTTTCTTGGTAAGCCTTCAAAATAACGTGATTGACAAGACCTCTTTAGAAAAGTTTTCAAAGTACATTTTCTCTGAAGTTGAGCATAAGATTCACAAATACTTCAGCCAGCCACATTTTCAAAACAATGCTCTTCCTTTTTCAAGAGTACATACGAAAATTAAGAAATGTTACCATTTGCTGGTGGCCTTGATCCAATCGTCACGGTCTTGGTCGTCTCTACCGACTTCTCGAATTTGTTCTTTTGCTCTTCATCAACTTTGAATTGGAATTCTGCCTTTGCAGACCCGATGCCGGCAGCAGAGGCTTCAGCTGCAAATTTCACGTCAATGCCACTTTTGCTCAACTTCTCTTGATTACTTTTCGAAATTATTTGCAACTTTGCGTATCTAACAAAAGAGAAACAAAAATCTTTATGCTGCTGAAATATTCTAAATGTTTCTGTAAAAGCAGTGGAAACTTTATCAAGAATTCAGATCATTCAGCAAGATGAGCTGGTTAAAGATCGGCATTTTTCACGATAATAAAAAGGTAAGCGAGTACGTGACAGCATTTACCTTGCTCCCATGTCAACTGTTTCCACAAAATGTGTTCCAAATGTGTCCAGAAAACGTCCATAGCCCTCTGGGTCCTGACCAAGACGTTTGACTGTCTCAAGAAAGTTGGCAGTGAATTCTGGTGGTGTCCCTGTCTGCACCCTGGCTTCATAGACGATACAAGTTGCTTCAGTTTTTATCACAGATTTCGTATTCGACTTCAATGATTTTGACATTTCGGTGTACTCAGTACTTGCTGAAAATGAGGCTTCTACCACGCCTACCTGCCCGGACCCAGATACTGCTGCCTTTGCCATCAAGCTTTTCTGGTAATCCGACTCAGTCATTACTGACTCGGCAGAAAATGATGAACTACATGCCTCCTTTTCATCCAGATCCACATTGTCCGGGATTTTGAATTGTCTATCGTCAGTTAATCTGTCCTGCTGGTACGAGGCCTGGAAAATTTTTGCTCTGAAACCGGGATCAAACTTTTCTGGATCCATAGGATTTCCTTCTAAAACATTATATCCTTTGAATAGGTATCCAATGTTTGGCATCGTTTTGTCACCTAGAAAAGTTTTATCTATCACAAAAAAAACAATACTGCTTTTCTAGGTTGCTAAAAGATAGAAGTATTTTTATGAATTAAGCGTTTACACGTCAGTATAAAACATGTAACATGCTTCAACTCTTAATAGTTAACACCCTTTTTAATGCCTGATGTTTTGATTGCAGGTAGGTAGTTGTGGATCCAAAGGAAATTGGAAGGAGGAGCAGTTGGTAGTGGGGGCACTGAAAAATTTTAAGGAATTGATGACGAAAGTACGCTGTATAGAACAATTTCTGGCAATAACTACTGATAGAAGGCTCTCTGTTCACGTTCAAAAGGAAATTTTCACCATAATGATGTTTTGAGAAAGGAATAAGAACTACTGGGGTTGGAATTTTTAAAAATATTTATTAGTAGAGGAAAACTTATTGCTTTGCTATTTGCTTGAATTTTTTATTCAAGCAGTCATTTTTCCTAAGTTCCTTTAATGTGACTTATCTATCCTAGAAACTTACCTCTCTTTTCAAGCTCATTACCAATTGCTCCAGAGCTCTCTTCACCAACATCACTGTTGTCTTTTTTCCTTTCTACTTCATTTTCTGGTTGCAATATAGACAAAATTAACTCGAGATCAATATCAATCCATAATCAATCAGTGCTTAAATTGCATCTTACTATAAAATGATGTGATTGCAAGGAAAACATTCTAGCTAGAAAAAAACGGTATCTGCCAGATGCGATGTATTATGAAGACATAATGAAATAAATATGAAAGAGAAATCTGTCTAAGACATTATTTGCAATACCTTGATTTTATTTTTCTTATTAATATTCATTTCATACTAACCTCCTTCAACAGCAAATGCAACAGCCAAGAGGCCGAGAATGAGAAACAGAAGTCGTATCATGACTGTCCTGGTTCAATGGATGAAGACCAATGGTGTGTGTGTGGCATTTTATGCTTGTTACTCAAAGCTGCAGGTATGATGAGCTCGTGGTACTCGAAAACAACCCGGTATGAATTTAGGTAAGCTTGCAGTATTTGTTGGTACAAGTTATAAATTTTATGGTGCTACAATAGCAAACAAGAACGTGACGGGAATTTTGAGATCATTTAGCAAGCAAGGTCGTCTTTTCACTGCACCCAACGTTGGCTACGTGTTTTCACTGCATGCTTCTTGCCCATGTTTGTGTCACCTGTGCCTGGCTTCTATTATCTTGTCTGATATACTTATGATGTGGAGTACAGAAATATTCAGTCTTTATCAAAGTCCAATCAAATTCTAATCAAAGCAATTTAAAGGGCTTAATAAAACAAGCTTTGTTTTAGAAGCAATGCTGCGCATAACGAACCAGTTGGTACGGGATGACGCAACGCTAAAAACACGAATTTCGGTTTCGGCACGGCAGACAGAGTTGAACTGAACTTATATGGGTCAAGTGGTGCGACCAATGGTCGTGCCGCACTGTGCCCATTCATTTTAACCCCACTGTTGGCGAAAAACTATTCTATAAAGGGCCATGCATTAGAACACAACATGAGCTAAACTAAGGAAAATAATTGCAATGTAACACAGTATGATTAGTATAGATAAGATTAATAGAAACTGCATGCGAAAAAAATCTGCGACCAATGCAATACAACATTTTATCAGCCCTTCTTTAAATCTCTAGAGTTAGTTGAATTTTGTGTCATCACTCAACCCGTTGCAGAGACTTATCCCTCTGAATGAGAAACATCTTCAACCAACCGATTAAAATGGAAACTTTTCATTTCAATTCAGTTAAACTGCAATTACAAATCTTCCTATTACATAGGTATTTTGCAACTGACTAGCCTGGGTTTACATGATAAGACTATAAAAATCATAAGGTAAAAGGGAAAACTGAGAAAAAACAACCAAAGTTAAAAAATAATATAGTTCCGAGTTTCTCCATGATTTCTTTTTGCAAAAAGTATGTAGTATGTAGCTGCAAGGTTCTGTAACGTTTGAATCTTAAGCAGACTCGATCTAATGATCTTAAAGGGATTTTTAAAGCTATAGGCAGTGATAATTCTAGCATTTTTAGTGTTTTGCCATCTCAGGGTTTCATTGTGGCAGTTTTTTTCAGAACAGTCTTGTTTTGACTTGAATTTTGTCAACATGTCAGTAATGTTTTAAGCCTTGTTTAATAGCGAAATTCCCCATGGTTACCTGCAAATTAGTACATTGCATACAGACCGCGAGATTTGTTCGCATTTTCGCCATTAAGTTAATTGGAATATCCATGTTTTAGGATGGTGTTCCCCTTTTAAAAAGGCTTTCTTTTAAAAAATCTTGGTTACAAAAACTTCTAGGCAACTGCCAGACTACAACTAGGTTTTCAGAGGCTCAACGTCTATTCGATTGAAAATCGTAAGTAACTCAGCGTCACTCCTAGTGCCTCTAAACAACTTTTTATGTCTAGAAAATTATTTATGAAGTTTGAAGTTCTCATTAAGCCTTAGACATTGTTTTATACTCCTATAGATACTCAAGAACAGAAATTTAAACAATTACTTCAATTGGTCACATTTTTAGAAAGATTGCCTTTTTAGAAGTAAATTCTCTCCATTTTGAATGAAAATTAAAAAATCTAGAAAAATAGCCTTTAACTGCCCAATACTTGAATAATTTCTGCTGATTAAACCTGAGCCTCAAAGAAGTGATAATTGTAAAAAGAAATTCATGAAATTTAGAAAGCAAAACTGGATTTTGACTGCAGTTAAACTATTAAGCAGAAAAACATGTATTTCTTTGCTAACACATCTAAAATTTCTCTTTGAATAATCTATCCATCTGGATACTTCAGAGTTCTCTTCAGAAACTTCGTTGCTATCTTTTAGCCTCTCTACTTCATTTTCTGTTGGTAAAGAGTTTAAAATCAATTCAATGATTTATTCATAAGAATTTATTAACCCTTGAACTTAAGCCTAGAATCAATTTTGGAGGAAACCTATTTGTATTCAATTTCTCACTTTTATGGCAGTTTGAAAATGAAAAGATTTCGAAAAATTGTCTGTCATTTTGAAAACATCATCTGCATTGCTTGTAGTTTATTGTGTTACAGAAATCACCCTCGTTTTACAGAAAGCATCACAATCAAAAGGCCAAGAGTTAGAGGCAGAAATTCATTCAAGAATTAGAGGCTGATTATGAATGTCCTAGTCCAATGCTTGAAGACTAATTGTGGCATTTCGCTTATAAAAAGTGTGCCTTTATCTAAACTTGTAAAATTTCATTTCATAGGCAGTTTAAGTCAGGGAAAGAAGTATAATAAAATTGGCAGTGCGTGGAGTAAGTAAATGACTACAGAGATAAGGTTCCTAAATGATGCCTCGAACCTGCATTTTTGTTGTTACAAAATACAGGTTTTCTGATGCAAAGGTTAATCTATACAAAGAAATTACAAATCAGGAGCGTAAGCTTTGGAAATGTTCGTTCTTGCTTGACAGAATGTGAAGAAATTAGAAATTTTGTTTTCAGAATATGTGCAGGTATTGAAAATGTGTTGTATCAAGCAGTCACGCGATCTGTGCAACAGTCCTGCATGAGTACCGCTTCTATTTACCAGATATGCTGACATGACTACAAGAAATGTTCAACAGTGTGGCTGTTTTTAAACTGCTTTGATGTAGATCAAACATGAAATTTGTAGCATGATCCCTTTGCAGTGCCATTCTAATCCTTTTCGGGTACGAATTTACTCGATAAACAAAGAAAATATCAATACATTTTCGCATTTTTTTCGAAAGGAGGATTCGTACTCTTAAAAACTTTTTTCAGAGTAACTTTTTGTCTGTTAAGAGTCTGTACAAACTTCCTAAAATCAGCCATCACGAAGTAATTCAATTTATAATATACTTATTATTATTATTATTATATACATACGAAGGGCTCCAGCAGCTGATTTTTTCAGGCAAGATTGGGTATATGGGACCCTCTTGCAGAACGTGGGACAATGAGAAATAGACTGGGTGTTGCTCAAGGTCTCTACAATTACATTGAGGCCAGCCCAAAAAGAAATAAAATTTTCGAGAGAAAAATTGAACATGATTCGTCATAGGTAAAAGAAACAAAGCGCAAGGCGTTGGGCTTGCCGATGGAAGTCGAAAAAGGCACTAGACAGGACATTAATTTTTCTTTGCAAAGATAAAGACCCCAAAACCCATCGAGAAAAGCATGTATGCATATGTATGTATGTAGGTTTGTATGTATGTATGTAGCTAGCATATCTCATCTGAGCCGAGTGGTGCGTCCAATAGTCGTGCCGCACGGCGTCCATCCATTGTAGCCCCTTGTGTATAATGTGTTGAATGAAATGAAAAATAATGAAATATTCATAAGCTGCTTTTTCATAATGAATTTCAACATCAACTGCAAAAACACATCAGTGTCTAATTTGTCATTTTCATCCAAATCGACGAGAACATGTTTGGGGGATGAGAAGTGTTGATTTTACTTCGCTTCTGATAATCAATAATCACCTCCGAGCCTCGACGTCTGAAAAAAGACTAAACATTTTTGCAAAATTTGTACACAACGGGATATGGCGAAGAGAGCTTGATAGTTTTATAAATAAATCTAAAAGTACCGGCTATCGACAGAGTTTATTTGAAATGCCTTTTATCAATACAAATATTCAAAATTTTCGGGTGTTGTTTTTGGAAGATTTTATGCCCAACCAATCAAGCTTGATAACTGTAGTGTGCGACTTTTTCATCTGTGAAATTGTCGAATTACGCCACCTCTCATCCAAACTTTCTGATAGGTGCTGAAATTTTTTTAGAGAGATTTAAAAAGTAAAGTTATTGTTGCTGTTATGTTCTCTTTATCCATTTTGAATGATCTTATAGAAACTTTTTGTGTCTACTGGTAGTTGTTGCAATCTTTAATTTTCAATAACAAATCTCTCAATTGCAGCTTAATCACTGCACAAAATTTGAGTTTATCAGTGCACTGTTATAATTTATCACTGCACAAATTGCTCATCACTGCACGTTTATGTAAACATTGATAGTATCATAGATAAGTCTGAAAGTTCTGGTTGTCCCTACCTGTTAAGCATAGAAAGAACATGTCTGGTTGGTATGCTCTATATATTTTTAATAATCTTTTATTACCTAATCCCTTTCCAATTATTTCAAAAATGGGCGTTCCAATTATCAAGATAGGGTGCCACCTAAAAAATTTCTTGGAGAACCCCTGGATTTCTTTAAAGCCGAATTCACACGAGCAAGTTTTCCTTGACAATTTTTCTTTGAGAAGTCAATTTTGCTCGTGTAGATTGGGGTGTATTGAGGAAAAATGACAATTTTTTACTTGACAAGTGTACTTATATAAAAGCTGGCGTGCCAGTTTTCAGCAAGTTTACTTGTCAAGTAGAAAATTTCCATTTGCAAAACTTGTCCGTGTAGATGACTTGACAAGTAAACTTGACAAATTTGACTCAATTCCAGACCTTTTTTTCTCACAATTGCTTGTTCTTGGCCGATAAAGGAACGTCAATGCTTTTAATACTCTGCAAAGCCGTGAAAGCCTTCGGAACACAAAGGTAGAAAGTTGTAAAATTGGAACACAAAGAAGAATGAGTATGCGTAGTATGAGTATGGGTATACAGATATTAAAGGGAGAAATTCCAGGGATTTCCCACCCACGAATAAAAGTATCTTCTTTGTTAAAGGAGCTATATTTTGCAAGAAACTTTGACGCGAAAAACGTGCCTCGTCACAAAAACCGAGGCTAACCTATAAACTTCGCTGGCCAAAACGATTGTCAGAACAAGTAGATATTGTGAACGAGACTTGTTGTCTTTCTACACGAGCAATTGATAATTGTTTAGTAAAAAAATGTCAAACAAAACTTGTTGTTAATCTACAAGGGCAAGGAAACTTCGGAAAATTACCAAGAAATAATTGGATTTGTAGATGCGGCTTAAGAGCTGCATTGTTTTGGATAAAGTTGCCATTTGTTCAAAGGGAGTATGAATTAAAACTGAACTTGGCTGCACAAATGATCGACATTCCAAACAATGAACGCCTATTCTTATTTTGAAACGGGCAAGTAGCCAGTTAGAAGCATCAATAGAAGAGTCAAGCATGTTGAAGTACAAATACATTAGCAACTTTACAAAAATGTTCAAAATACAGAAAGAAAGTACTTCAAATGCAGACGGCGGCAATAAGAGTTTTAGAGAAAAACGGATTTTTGAGAAGGAACAAGCCGAGAATGAGAAACAGTGGTCGTATTATGACTGTCTCGGTGCAATGCATGAACAAACCGATAGCAATCAATGGCATTCAATGCTTTTAACTCAAAAATGTAGGTATGATATAATTGGTAGTTTTATGTCAACAACCACCCGGTATGAATTTAGGTGATGCATTATTTGTTGGCACAAGTAACAAATTTTATGGTGGTGCAAAAGCAAATTAGAATGTGACGGGAAATTTAAAAATTATTGAGTAAGCAAGGTCGTCTGTTCGCTGCATCCAACGTTGGCTATGTCTTTTTGCTTTATGATTCCTAGACCATGTTTGTGTCACCGGTGTCCTGGTTCTTTGATCTTGTCTAATATACCTGTCTTATGTCTGCTAATAATTACAATAAAGTACAATATGATTAGTATGAAAAAGGTCAGGGTTTAATCTAATTTGCATTTTATTTGAGGTGCTATATTTGCACGCCTGGGAAACTGAGTATTGAACAAAATGAAATTCTTGAGTTGCTGAACAACATAAAGGTAAAAAACTTGAATATCAAGGTAAAGCAACTTAAATTACGACCATCAGCTTTTGAATTCCACGTGCTTGAAAACTGCAGAACTGCCATTTTGACGACGCCATGCAAACTTTAAATAGCAATAACTCGTTATCTGCAAGTCTGATAGAGTTTATTCTTAAAAACTTTTTGCTCCTATTACAATGCCAAACAAGATGATCGGAACGATTTTTCAAGAAAGAGAAGTAAAAATTTTAATGACCGGGGAATGACATCATCGATCACGTAATTTTTATTGTGTTACAAAAATGTATCCAAGGCTTGAAAAATTCAGCAAGGCTTAAAGTGACATGATTTTTTTTATTCTCTTAATTGAAGCGTTGCACTGCTCTTATAGTAGATCTGAACTTTTTTTGAAATAAAAGCGTTTTGATATTGAAATTAAGCGAAATAGTGCGGCCTAGCCAAGTCGCTTTATCATCATTCGCCGTTCTCTTGTGACGTCATGGGAGGAACTCGTTTTTGTAACAAAGTAAGCGCTACCTTAAAAAATCTCATCCTCGCTGCCACTATCGCTCATCTTGGACCTGTTAGATTTCCCTCATTGACTACGATACAAGAACTCGAAGAAGGAGGCGATCGGGTCCCTCCCGTGACGTCACTGTCTACTTATTCTGAAAACCAAGATGGTGAATTTTTGCGTAGAAAATCGCCAATAACTCCTTCATTTCTCACGAAACATAAAAACTAACCTCAGAAATGAAAATAACAGGCCTTTTCACATAAGAATAGACATATAAACCCAAAAGTACGAAAATCATGTCACAGGCACTTTAAAGTCTACAAATGAAGAGCAAAAACTAATGTTATGCACTTTGCTCGATTGTTGTAGGAAATTCCCTGTCTAAAAAGAGAGCGTCTTTTTATGGCGCTCCTTACTAGCCAACACATGAATCGGGTAGCTGCGCTTCATGATAATTTGTTAATCTTGTTTGAATTTTTTATCAGATTTTGCTTATAAACATTATAGATTTTGCTTTATCAAGTCCCCCCTCTTTTAGGCCCCAATTTCAAGCAAAATTTTAAAACAAGCTCCCTCTCTATGAAGCCCCCTTCTTTAACCCTTGATGTCAAACAAAGAAAACATGCGCGTTGAGTTAGTCTCTTGACCAATGTCGGCGCCATCCACTAGGCTCTGAGAGAGACGAAACCAAATCTATTAGGCCACGCCCTTTTTTACACCAAGAAACGCTCTTTTATCAGCATGAAACGCCTATTTTACACGGAGTGAATGCCCATGCTTAATTTTTGGCTACGTACAGGCAATTTGAAAAAGGATTACATCACAAAAAGTACGTTGCCAAAATATTACCCCTCCCTCAAAATTTTCTCATGGAATTTAGACGAAATACAAAATCGATCTTGTCAAGAACTGGGAGGTGGTGTGTTCAAGTACATGTAAGATCAGGTACACTGAATACAGAAAAATTGAAGATTTACTGGTGCGCCTTAGAAGTCAAGGGGATGCGGATGTTTTATATGTCAAAGAAGTCCAAGAGGACTAAAATTGTTTAGAAGATGAGCCAGGGTTATCAATTGATCCTGGTGACTCTAGTGGAAATAAAACACAATTGATTATTTTTAATAAACTTTCGAAGCCGCGAGGAAAATTTTTTGGAGACGTTGGTATGACATTTTTATAACAAAAATGCACAATAGCATTTCCATGACATTTTTACTTTGAACTATTTATAAGCCCCTTCTCTTATAAGCCTCTTTCCTTTTGAGCTCCTCCTTAGGGCTAAAAAATAAATAAGCCCTTCTCCCTAGAATTTTTACTTTAAGGTACATTTTGCAGAAACTTTATTCAGTTTTTGCTGTCACAAGTTTTCCTATGGAAGTAAAGTAACCCTTTTAACTGTTACAGAAGCTATGATTTTCTATCAGCAAGAACGTTTTGCTTTCAGCCATGTCAAGTGTTTTTACAAGGAGTTTAATTGATCAATCAACTTGTTTATTTGATGTTGTTATCAGTATATTGTATAGTCGACAGGTCTCGGTGTATCTCTTTCAACTTTAACTGTTTCTATGATTACGTCATGTCTATTGTTTAGGTAATGATTTTTCATTTATAAAATTGCAAGTGGAGGTTCTTATCTCAGAAAATTAACATTTAGTTACCGGAAAAGTTCCCATCACTCCCCAAAAAATTGACCAACACTTCAAAGTTTTGAAAATCTCTTATCTTCAATCCTAAAGGAGTTTATAAAGATCATGTAGCTTTGTGTATTGGTACAGGTACAATGTCTGTGTACGTACTTTTTTCTTCGTGCCTAATCATTTCCAAAAAGAGATTCGTATTCGAAAAATTTATGCCAGAAAAATTAAGTTGATTTTCGTCTAGAATCCCTTAGATAGCAATCCCCACAGTTGGCAGAAATTCAGAATGCTTCTGTATCTATCGCAAGCAATTTTGACAAAAAGATGTCAAGATACGAAGATGATAGACCAAATCTTTTGCCGTTTTTGCAAAACCGTTGCGACACATGTGTCCGCCCTTGTTATTAATTGTTATCAACGATGCAATGACCCATGCAAAGCCCCTGATAATAGCATCAATAAAGAAAACTGTTTTCATAAATTTGATGTTAATCCATGTTAATCAAAATTTGATGTTTTCATTTCTTTTTATGATATTAAAATATTAAAACAAGAACCTGTCTTTCCACTGCAGAGAATTAGCAGGTTCTTCAAAAGGTAATTATGTTTCATAGAAGACATATTTCCCGATATGTTTAATACTCGTTTCACACTTCTGAATGTCTTCTTCATTTTCTGATGATGTATCTGGTCCTGAAATAAGAAGAGATTCCGTGAGTTATGCCTTTCACTTTATTATGGTAATATCTGAAAAATATAGAGTGTGCAAGGCTACGCGAAAAATTCATGGGCTGGCGGAAATCTTCTGTTAATAAAATGTGATTCAATCAGCTACAATACGTTAGCTGCTAGCAAAAGAAGCCTTAATAAGCAAGAGCAGCGAGAATCAGAGGTGGCGCCAGAAGTCTTCCGACAGAGAGGCTGGAGCTTCCGACAGGGAGGCTAAAATGACTAAAATAAGCAGTTTTCGTATGTTATTTTGTCAATTTTGCTCCGACAATAATCTAAAATTTCCTCCGATGGGGGGCTAGATGCTTTCGACGGAGGGGCAGTAGTCCCCCCCCCTAGCCCTCCCCTGGCGCCACCACTGGCGAGAATCTTGAAATAGCAGGGCATTCAAAAATCTTGCCAATATGCGAAGAGTCCCTTTAAGATTAACATTTTTTGGATTTGTTTGATTTTCAAATATCGGAAGGTGCCAGTAAGATAGCAGCAGTATTATTTACAAGTTTAAGAACACTATTCTTTCTTCAGGAATGATAAAGCTGAGAGAGTTGAAAACCCAAGCTTTGATCGGCAGTTGTAGGCATTCTGGCAACATCTCGATTTAGAATTTGATCAGTGAATGATTTATTCTGGCTTGATTTGCTCACAGATTATTCTATGAAGCTTTTTGTATAAATTGAAATCTGGATCTTCTTCAAGCCAAACACTATTTTGATTAATTAACAGGCAAGTCGTTTGAGAGCAAATTTAATTTCCCTATTATTGCTGTCGATCAAAGTCAGGCAGGCAATGTAAAGCATTCGACTTTGTTGTGAAATAAATGACAAATGATGGCAAATTTAAAATGGCGGCTAAGAAATCAGCAGTAAAGACAAAGAATAGGAGGAAGAAGAAGACGAAGAAGAGGAAGGATAGGAAGAGAAAGAATGGGAAGAGGATGTGAAAGAGATATTAAAGATAAACGAGAAGAAGTAAAAGAAGAAATATGAAGAAAAAGAAGAAGAAGAAAAGGAAGAGCAACAAAAGAAGAAGAAGACGAAGAACAGGAAGGATAGGAAGAGAAAGAATGGGAAGAGGATGTGAAAGAGATATTAGAGATAAACGAGAAGAAGTAAAAGAAGAAAACACGAAGACAAAGAAGAAGAAGAAAAGGAAGCACAACAAAAGAAGAAGAAGACGAAGAAGACCAAGAAGAAGAAGGAGAAAAGGAAGAATGAGAAGAAAAGGAAAAAGAAGGAGAAGAAAAGGAAGAAGGAGAAGAAGAAAGGAAGAAGAAAAAGACCAAGAAGAAAAACATAAAAAGGAAGCCAAAGAGAAAGAAGAAGAAGAGGAAAAAGAAGAAGAAGAGGAAAAAGAAGAAGTAGAAGAAGGGAAAAAGAAGGAGATGAAAAAGAAAAATAAATTAAAGAAAAAGGAGAAGGGATAGAGAGAAAAGAAGAGGAATGGAAGAAGGCAAACAAATAAGAAAGCAAGCAAATGTGCAAGTATGAGCTGTTAGTGTTACAAGGATTCTGAAAATTGCTTACTTTTTTGCTTTCTTCTTTTTCATAATTGGCTTACAGCAATTGTGTTTGATATCATTAAGTGCTGTATCATCGCCTCCAGGACTTTCAACTCTTGTTTTTATACCACAGATAAACTGCCCTCTTGGACATTCTGTAAACCTACTCCATCTTCCCCTCTCAATTCCTTGGCCTTTCATTCTTTCTGTCTCCTTCCACGTTATCAAATCTCTGCATTTATATTCAACATTATCCAATGCAGTGTCATCTTTAAGAAGGCCCCAGCGTCTTGGATCCTCAACGTTCTGCCTCCAACCGCTCAAAAAGCTGCCTCTAGGACATCTGTACATGTCGGACCAAACACCTCTTGGACCTTTGTTTGAACAAACTTGCTGCTCATCACATGCTAAACAGACGGCATTCGCACCAGAGTCGTCTTTGATTCCTCTTTTTTGCTCTGCTTTCAATAGGTACCCGTTTGCAAAAATGCCATCTTTACAGTAGTCCATTGTACCCCATGTTCCCCAGATACCTTTATTCTCATCTTGCTCGATTTCTTCTGTTGGAGTCCATTCAAGGCCTTGGTGAATTAGAAAAGAGGTAGAATTACACAGTGAAATGAAAATAGAACAATATTTTTCTGGCATCTAAGTGTAAAATACATAGTTTGGCATAACTTAGATCTTTTAAAGTTAAATTTCATAATTATCTTTGGTTGAAAATCATATTATTAATAGATATAAAAACGTTTCGCCGTTTTTCCTAGTGTATGATTTGTGTACCATTATTTGCTCGATATTTTACACTTGATGTTGCTAACATGACTGGTCTAAGAAAAAGGGTTCATTTTCTTAGATGGCACAGGTAATGGCGCAGAAGGCTCATCCCCTTAGGTGGTACAGAAACTGGGGCAGAAGGCTCATCCACTTTGGTGGCACGGATAATGGTGCAAAAAGGCTCGTTCCCTTAGATGGCACGGATAATGGTGCAAAAAGGCTCATTCCCTTAGGTGGCACGGATAATGGTGCAGAAGGCACTTCCCCTTAGGTGGCACAGATGATGGTGCAGAAAGCTCATCCCCTTAGGATGCCGTGGTTAATGTTGCTCGATTACAAAGTATCTGATAAGAGATGCTTTCGATGTGCTCCTCAGGTAGCACAGGTCTAACATTTTAAGTTTTTTAAGTTGAACTTTTAATATTAGTTGTCAGGAATAGTTTTGAGTTTGTTTTGATTTTTCCTTTGCAAGTTAGCCTTATAAAAGTTCGCCTCTGAAAGGTCCTTCTCTTTTTCAACTTCTTTACTCAAAATATGTCATTTGGTCAAAATTTCTTGCAATATTATACTTAGGAGGTAACAAAGGCTATGCTAGGAAAATATAAACATTTTGTACAATGCCAATAAATACTGTGTTAAGCAACCTTCTTAAAGGAGAGCGCAAGGGAAATCATATATGTGGTCCAAAGTTGTCTGCTTATCGCATTCAGCATTAAAGCAGGAGCTTATAACACTCCTGTTCTACACAGCAAAGTGTTGGCAGCTCTGCCCATACGCCATCGTTCACCTTACGATTGATTGGCAAAACAGTAATTTAAATTGGATTTTGACTCGTACTTCGTTGACAAATCTTTCCATCTCCTTTGTATCCTGACTTGCATTTGCAATCGTACAGTTGCTCCTCGTCATCGCCATTGTTATCATCTGTACATATTGCATTGACGCTACACTGGCTGCCCCCTCTGCATCCTTTCGGAGGTCCATTGCATTCAGCGTCTGGTAAACGATTCATCTTCAATTGGTCGCAGTAACCCTGTCAATAGAATCACAGTGTTATGCCCTACTTGAATTTTTTGACAATAAAATATCATCAGTTGAAAAAAGTGTTACATAAAAAATAATATGGAAGTTTTCATGACATGTTTGAAGCTCTACAATTTTGTTTTGTCTAGTGGAAGGCAATGACTTTCATAAAAGTTCATTTTTTTATTTATACGATTGTTCCCTTCTCTTTCCCAAGAATACCCCCTTCCATTTACATCGATCAGGTGAACAGCATACACCTTGCTGTGCAAACTTGGATTGCAATCAATGTAAACTTTTGTTCCTAACATGCAGAGACTGCATGATTTTATGCGAATGCATGACGTTGTTCAACTAGAAGTGATGATCATGTAGTGGATACTGGGCTTCACTATTTTTTGTGTTAAAGTGATTTAAGCAAGTTGCAGTTTAATGCAGTTGCATTATGCAAAATCTCGAAGACAAAACTGAGAGCACAAAGTCAGTCTTAAACAACCAACTTGGTCATGGTGCAATCCTCGCTTAAGTAGGTTGCACCTCAGAATAAATTGGCTCTTGAAGTCAAGGATTAAGGTGCACCGAAACAACTGAAATGCATTGATACACGAATAAAGTAATTTCAAATAGATAGCTATAGATATATCTAGTAATACAGCTTTTTCTTGGACTGGTAGCTCCCTTGAAAGAGGTTCAGTTGTATTGGTAGTTCCCTGCATATGAAGCCAAGGGCATTGAAAACGCGGTAAATAGAATGAAACTCCAAGGGAAGGCTAAAGGAGCCCGTGAACATATCACACCATCGTATTCGTAGGACAATTCTTGTCAGGAGCATATCTCAATTTTAACCCCGTAACCCCAAGCTAGCTCTGAATGTCACTCTATGTTGCAGTTGTAATGTTGATTTGAAAGTTCTTATCTTAATGAAGATTTTGTATTGCTGGTTTGAAGCAATGCAACAGAAAATTGGTAGAAATATATTACGCTTACCTGCATGAACTGTGACAGCTCTCTGTTTATCTTTGCGTAGTCCACAGAAGCATCTTTGAAGTAAGCTGAACTGAATATATCAACTATGCTTCTTAGCTGATAAAAGATTGGCAAAGGGCTTCGTACAGATTCTGCTATCCATGTTTCTTGCTTTCCTACGAGCAAATAAAATTGTTAGTGCGTTCAAAATACATTATTATTTGAAAAATTAAGAATTTTCTTGTAACGATCTTGTGTTTCAGTACCTGTCATTTAAGAGCAGTTTTGACAAGATACCTCTGGCAATACCTATCATCATGAAACATTCACGAAAGATTTCTGCAAACTCAATCAATATTTCGGACGAGATTCGAATATACACAAAACGCACATTAGCAATAACTTCTCCCTTAAAAGTGCATCTTCTAACTCTAACCGGTGGGGGGGGGGGGGGAGGAGTGTTGCAATCAAACGTAAAACTTCCAACGATTGAAATTATAATATGGCGTAAAACCTAAGAAGTATCGTTTCTTGTTATTCCAACTTGCAAATTTTGCAATTTCTCAAATTCACACTTTTTTCCTTTCATGAGCCACTGATATTTTGCTGCAACCTTTTGAAAGGTATATTGTTTCGATATACTTTCTTCTTTCTTAATTTATTATATAAATCACCATACCATCACTTGGAGGCTTTGATCCGATCGTCACAGTTTCTGTTTTCTCTACTGAATTCTCAAACGTCTCTGAATTCTTTTTACTTGTCTTGAATTGATTGTCAGTTTTTACTGAGCCGATTCCAGCAGCTGATGCCTCAGCAGCTAATTTTATATCAATGCCATTCTCGTGTAGCTTCTCTTGAGTTTCTTTGGAAATGACTTGAAGTTTTGCGTACCTAGATAAAAGATAAAAAGGCATTCAAATTTAATGCTTGCAAAATAGCTAAAATCAGATATTTTTTTCTTTGGGTTATGTCTGGAGTTTGCACCCTTCTATCCCACTCAATATACCTGTTGCTGTTGTTAAAGTTAAAAAACATACACATTTTTTGCTTACATTCAGCAGAACTGTCATATTCCGAGCATCGAAACTCATTAATAAAAAAGGTGTTAAAAATCTATTCATTATTTATAAATTTATCGACTTGATGAGCCATGTCCACCAAACTTTGTTTTAAAGTAAGCTTCCTTATTGGGAAGACTAATATAAATTCCTATTGCTATTGTCATTATTCTATGAACCAATGAGAACCTGCACCATATGGGCATGCGCATAAGTGCGAAGGCGAAATTTACATCAAACGGCGCTTCACAGCATTCAATCAATTTTCTAAATCATTGCTGCATATGTAAACCCAAAGTTTCGTTCTTACTCTTCACATGACACCCTTTTCTCTAAATTTCCTTCGTCTTTTGATTCGATTCAGGCTAATTCCCATAAGAGCCGCGAATGTTCATACCACAGAATATATTTTGCGATGTCAAAATGGCGACAGTGACTTTGTGCATGTGCATATGATGAAAAAAGCCTAATGGTACTTCAGACAAATGCCGGCTCATCTTCCCAACAACTTCACGTCTAATTCACAATGCAACAAAAACTTAAAAGTCACGTGTGTTGAATATACAAATCGCGAAAGTGGAAATTTACTTTGCTTTTGGGACTGTACTCGTGCACTTTTTACATTCCCTGTCAGCTATGATGTAAAACGTATGAGCTCGCATTTCTGATTTTCCATTTTCAATCCACAACTGGGTACATAGATTTTCTAACTTAACGTTTCTGAGCGTTAGTCTGACCCTTTAAAACTCTTAAAGATTGTCAGTCTAATAGCTTTAGCACACTTTAAGAAAAATTTTTAAAGCAATTTTTACATCATTAGGCTTTTTGCCATTAAACTATAGCTTGAAAAAGAACAGGATCTCACCTTGCACCCATGTCTACTGATTCTACAAAATGTGTTCCAAACGTGTCAAGAAATCTTCCATAGTCGTTTTGGCCACGACCCAATAGCTTAACAGTCTCGAGGAAGTTAGAAGTGAACTTCGGGGGTGTTCCAGTCTGCACCCTGGCTTCATAAACAATACAGGTTGCTTCAGTTTTTATGATAGACTTGTCGTTTGATTGCAAAATCTTAGATGTCTTGCTGTATTCAGCGCTGGCGGAAAATGAAGCTTTGACCACTTTTATTTGTGCGGATCCAGAAGCCGATGCTTTAGCTAACAAACTTCTTTGATAATCAGATTTTGTCATAACCGTCTCAGCTGAAAACGATGACGAGCAAGACTCTTTTTCATCAAGATCAACATTGTCTGGGATTTTGTATTGTTGATCGTCCGTGCGTCTGTCCTTCTCGTATGTAGCCTCAAATATTTTGGCTTTAAACCCTGGATCAAATCTGGTGGGGTCCATAGGGTTACCTTCTATGATGTTGTACCCTTTGAAAAGGTATCCAATATTTGACATCGTTTGGTCACCTGGAAAGAAAAGTTTAGCAGTGACCAGGCAATGAAATCTATGTAATGACACGATAAATAAATTATATAGTTACTTACGTATGTTTTCTAAATATTATCAATGTATCTACGTTGCCGATTAAGCTGTGATTTGATCTGGATTATAGGGAACTTTGCTTGTTCTTATGGAACCTTTCATCGAATTAAGAGGACAAATTTCTGCAATTTTAGTGTTTATTTTCATTTGTCTAATGTCATGCGGTGTAATTCTTCATGTCTATCTGAGTTACTCATACATTTCATCTCTCCAAAATCAAATCAGTTTTCAAAATAATCTTCTGTACCGATGACTTTACAATGGAACCTTTCATTTTTATTCCATACTTACATTTTTTATAAGAAACTGGCTATAAGAAACGAGTACTGGACAGTCAGAAAAAATTAAGAAATTTCAGTATCCGAAGCAAAAAAATTAAGAAACTACTAAATTGTGACAAAACTGAGAACAACGAAATTTTGTAAAATCCAAGAACATGATTGCCCTGAAGGCCTAGAAATTAAGACACAAGGGATAAAAATATACTTTCCACGTCTAAATACAGCGTCAGAACGGAAGCGAATCTCTTGACGTGATAAAAAAGGTCACGAACATTTCATAACATCATTCACAACATCATAATTAAGGAACTCTTAAGAAAAAGTGAGTATTGAAATTTTCAGAATATTAAGAAACTGGAGTACTCAACATTGACCTTTGTTTCTTACAAAAAAAATGAATGTAGTTTGAATAGTATAAATCGTGTCTCACGTTAAAAATACTAGATTCTCTTATTTGCTACGTTTTTTGATCGGATGCCTAGTGTCTGTGTCTAGATGCTTCCCTTTCGTTTGTGTGAACGGAAGCAGCAACTTCAATTACCGTCTCAGCCAAAACAAAAACAATGGTTTTTTCGCCTCACCTCTTTTTTCCAGTTCGTCACCAGAAACTTCAACGTTTTCTTCATCATCATCATTGCTATCTTCAGTTGTCTTAATTTTGATATCTGTTAATATCGAACAACCAATTAAATATTTAGAAAAAATGATAAAGTCTTTTTCTGAAGAAAATTTGGAGATGTATTCCAAACAGAATGTTTTGAATCTAGAACTTATATCTATCAATTCATTGTACCATTTTTTATATCAATCTTCTGCAGAACGAAAAAGATAAACATGATATAACAAAATCAAACATATCTACGTAGGATATGATCAAGTAAAAAAACCTATTAGATTTAATTTATTCTAAAATTTTGCCGAATTACATTGGATTCTCGTCGTCGTCTTGCACTGTTTCTGACAATTTTTCGTATCCTCATTCCTGACTCATTGCAATATTTACAGAATCCAGTGGACAGCCTATCCTGCGTTTGTTCCTTCTTACACGTATGATTAAAGAGGCCTGTTTGAATTATTGCTATAGTTTACTGTAATTCAAAAAATTCTAAGCTCTATTAGCAATTATAGAAGCTAGAGAATTTATCAAGAATTTAAATTTTTCTAAAACATTATAAAATTCCAAAAAAATCATGGTGTCATAAAAAAGCTACAAAAACGGAGCTGCTGCCTCCATTCTTTGTATTTTCAAATGACAACAGGGCTTTACTGGAAACGTGAAATATTTGCTAAAGTCAAAGTAGATTCTAAAGTTACTACAGTTGCAGATAAACCTTGTGATAAAGGGAATAAAGAATAGAACAGACAGCTGTCATGAAAATTCTCAACATCTTAAGACATAGATATATAAAACATTTAAGGGATAAATTTCACCTTTTCATTCAAGGAATTTATTCATGGATAATATTTCAAATTCCATCGAGGAAATATTATCCATGAATAAATTCCGATAGAACTCATAAAAAGCTAAATTTTAAAAAGTGCAGAGGCTCGTTTAAAAGACATATGGCTTTAATATCGTGTCATATAGATGTAGCCAAATATGGAACTGAGTTCCAAACAAATATTCGAGAAAAGAAGTTCAGAAATTCATCATTCAGTAGTACTTGAAATCTTTGCAAGATGTTCTATCGTTTGATGACATTAATATTGTGCAATGGCGAATTAAATTAGTTGGTTTCAATAAGCTTTGTAACTTGATAATGTACATCCATTCAACAAAGAAAGGAAAAAGGAATCATACCTTCTGCAAAAACAAACGAAGCAGCGACCAGGCAAAGAAGGAGAACAATGCAGCGCCCCATTTTCTTTTAGCTCTGATACTTGTGGAATGGCTTATTAAATGACAGCCTTTTCCTTTTAAATCTAATTAAGTTCTTTCAATTATACCTGTCATACAATCAACATTGCTTTGATGATTTTGACCTTTACTTGAGTTCAAGAATTATTCAGGTAGCCCAATTACTCTTGTATGATAAACCAGTTTTATTTGTTGGTGCAAATTACAAATTTTTTGGTGCAAAAACAAAGACTTGAAAAAGGTTCGAGAAAAAAGCATGGTTAACTTAAACAAAATTACCCGTTTGGCAAGTAAAGAAAAAACATGTCTGCAACAAACATGATTTATAACAAAGGAAAAACAGGTGAAGAAATGCCTTGTGTACATTGAGTTGGCATTTTTCTTGCCTCATTACTTCAAAGAAAAAATTTAAAAAAATTAAATTTAAAATAAAAGCTTTAGGGATCATTAGTTCGCTTCATGCTTAATTTCGTGTCCACTGTCAATAAAATCATTTTTTTGCATAAATTCTATATTAATCTTTGCTTTATAGTACAATTTAGTGTTATGTTGCAACTCGAAGGTTCACCTGAAATACACCCTATATATCAGTTAGCTTGTTGGCAATAAACTGTTCCAGTCAAGGTCTACTCTTTGTTCCACTCAAGAGTATGGAAGGATTTCATAGATCTTTAATTTGAAACACCAGCGAAATATTTTGGCATTTTATTTTCCACTACTTGATATCGTATTTTTATGAATGCTCAGCGAATTGAAATATTGCAGTTGTTGTCTGGCGCTGCAGGGCTCTATAGTATGTATTTCATCAAATGCTAGCTTTTCATGTTTTCTTATAAAGCATGTTATTGTCTTTGTGATCGTCTATGCTATTGTTCATTCCACATGTGTTTTATGGAAGAGGGCGACATAGACTCAAGTGCGATAATAGAAGATAAAAGTAGATGTAAGTTTTCCTTCTTCTCAGCTAGACGCTCCTGCGCCTTTCTACTCGGTTTTTTATTCACACGTTGAAAATTTTGTAGCTCTGGCACCCAGGGTACCACGGTTCCTACATTAAAATTTCAATCTTATTCGTAGATACCATGTTATACAAAGGCAATATCTAATATCTTGTTTTAGATGCAAACTGCTATATTTGTGCACTCAATTCAGTAGTTTCCATACGTATAAGCAAATTGATTTGTAATCCAAACATATCTTTCTTCTTCTAATAGGCATCAGATAAAACGTGGGCATTTTACATTAAGATTACATAAACCTATTTCAAAAATGGACTGATGAGAAGTTGGTTTTCAGCTAGGATTTAAGGTTACGGTAAACGTTTTCTGGAAGCAAACATCCATTTTTCGATTATCTCACATTCAAGTAGCCGAACTTTCAAGGCACACAATTATACCAAAACTGAAACTAAGAGAAATCTTAAAAAGGAAAAAATGCCATGTAAACGAAGTTTTCCATAATTTCTTTATCAGAACTTTTAGTTGAGGGCGTTGAGGCCTGAAAATCTCTTGCCCTGTTAAGCAGATTAGGTATCGTTGCTTGGCGGTTGTGGTCGCATGTCTCATTTACAATATCGCATGGCACATGTATATTTACGACCGTGTTTATTTAAACAGGTTTATTGATTTTAAAGCTTCAAGTGTGTGGGGGTTTCAAATTAATGACCCTGCGCTGTACAAACGCCTCGTCCCTCTAATAGAGACGAAACTCCAGAAAGGTTCCCGGTTCATTATTGAAAATATATAAAAAGACAAAGCCGAAGAAGCACTGCGAATGTTCTATATAATTATATGTGAAAAGCCTTCTTGATACTGTGAACTTTACATTAAATTTACATATTCCATGTGTGAGATAATTTCTAACGTAGCGTTCATCTTGCGAGTCGTGTCTCTCCTTGTCTGCCTTTTTTTCTTCGAAAAAATTGAATTGCATGTCATCAATCACATGACCTTATCGATTTCCTTCAAAGTGTCTTGACCCGGATTACACTGTGGTCATTACCTTGCAAGCGAGATCAGTAAAATATCGTTTTCTCCGGAGTCACGAATCCTCTACATACAGGTACGAAAAAGCTATTTTGTACCCGAGGAGCCAATCGAATCGCTCAAAAATTTGCACACGGCCAGGACATATGTCGGGTAAGCGAAGCGTGTCGCAAAATTTTGTATTTGCTCTGGTCCGTTTTTTATAGCCAAATACAGCTATGAGAGGGAAGAAAAATTATTTGCCAATTTTTGATAGGGTACAGTTTCACGGGGGGGGGGGGGGGGGAATTTGAAAAATCTGAGACACAGGTTGGTAGCTCAGGATCTGCGCTTTTTGCTGATATAAGTCAAATTTGATACTTCAAACGCAAGGGTACAAAATAGCTTTTGAAGGTGGTACACTCATTTATACAATAATTTTGCCTGGAAAGTATCATTTTACCATTTTTGCCAATTATTTTGATATGGTTGGAATTGCCATGTTCTTGTTCATCGAATGATGTATAGTTTAGTCTGATTCCGTTAACAGTTTGGTTTTTAGGGAGGGAAAACCAAATATCGTCTCAAAAACGTTTACAGTAACCTTAAGATAAGATTTAATGTGTTCTAAAATTAGAAAATAGCTTTGATAAATTCAATTTTTTTCAAAAATAACGATCTCACAAGTCTGCTTTGATGGCAGCAAACAAAGTTCTACATACAGTAAAAACCTGCGTGTAAAAACCTAAGGATTTAAAAACCTTCTACCTGAAAATTGCTTTTCTAATACTCCAAATTATACAATTCTTTTATGTGATGTTTAACCATTTAATTTATATATTTTATTAGCAAAAACAGAAAAGGTGACAGAAAATTGATTTTTCAAAATAAAACTGAAAATACACAATATATGTTAAATATGAACTGTTATTATGAAATATTGCTAATATTTCATATACAGTGCTGTATCATTGATAAATTATCGTTGTTGGGCAACATTGATACACTAGAATTCTGAATATATGAAGAATATATGTTATTCAGTATGAAGAGCAGACCATATTTTTTCTGATAATCAACAAGAATGTATACTCTATAGAAATCAAGAACCTAATTAAGGCCTGGTTCAAACGTCGCGCTTCTCATGTGCCGAATCTAAATTGAGATCGTTTGAATCAATTTGGTACGGCAGATTTAGTTAGGAGCGGCAGACTAGTTTGGGTCGGCAGAGCTTGCCGAGCTGCACGGCTCCAGCACGGCACGGTTTCAAGCGTCGAACTTGTCATGTACCGAACTCAATGCATAATTATATTTAATTTATTTTCCTTCCCAGAATTCATTTCCTTCTTGGAGGGCGCATGCGTTTCAAACAAATGTTTGAGATTGTGCGCCTTAACCAAGATACTTCATGTAACAATCCTAAAACCCATTTGGCGCTACATGATTAAGTTCAACGTTTGAAACGGGAGTCGCGCTAAACATGCTCAAATGTCGCTCCAAACAGAGTTAGGTTCGGCACATGAGAAGTGCGACGTTTGAACCAGGCCTAAGGATCTATTTAGCCTAAAATATAAATAAGTTCCACATAAAACAAGAACCTGTTTTGTCAAATCCTGAAAAAAGTAGGTTTTTACACGCTGGTTTTTACTGTATAACAACGAGGCTGATTTCGATCAATTCGTCTCGATCACCGATTGTATTAAACATTTCAGATTCAGCTCAATCGTCTTGATTTCTCTTTCAATTTCAAATACTCTATAATCATTGAGTCAACATTTGGCGCTGTTTATATACCGAAAAACGGCCGATTCATCGTCTTAAATTGCCAGGACAATAGAATGATCTATTTCAAGGCAGTCGGGACGATTCGGGTGATTTTTTTTCTCTACATCTGTATACAAAGAAATGATAGCGAGATCCTCATCGATTAAGGAAGCAAAAGATTAACAAGTATATAATTATAACTTTTTACCTAAACAAATATTTGTAACGATTTTTATTTATTGCCCCGCTTAAATTTGATCTTTGATAACCAGAACCACTGAACTGAATTGAATTGACATGCAGCAACAACAACAAAAACCAACATGGTTTTCAATGTAACAAAGATTCAGGGCAACATCGTGTAAAGAAGTAATAGATATTATTCGTAGAGGAATTCTACATTGATAAAAGTAAGTCAAAGGTTGTACATGAATTCCTTTCAGGACTGACATTACTTTAATATTATAAGAATTTTTCATTAGGTATAAAGATCTTAAAAGACCAATCATCATCACACTTTTGAGTTATGGCCTGCCTTCCAACTTCTGGGTTTTTGAAAAATTTGAATTATGAATATAACTAGCACCAAAACTAACATTGTTCAGCCTAAAGTCTCTGCTTTAATTTAGAACAATCAAGAAAACCTATTGCAGAATTTTGAAAAAAAATATATCATTCAAATCACCACCCCAGATACCATCACTCTTTAGCTTAAGTATTATTTCCAATGGTTGGCAACTATGTTGCAAGTCTTAATTGTCGAAATAAGTTTTAAAGTTTACTTCAAATGACTATCTGCACTGAAGGCAGGGATGAGAGTTTTGGTTTGCCTATAAAGATCCCCTTGTTTTTGCGTGGCAGTATAATAACCAGATTGAAAACTGTGTTTCTTGCACGGAAAATTTGGGACTGCATGCCTGAAATCACACACTTTAAAAAATATTTGTACTTCTAATAATATAGAATTTTGCTAAATAGGGACTGTACGGCCAATAAGCAAAAGTGCAGAGATGGAAAATTTGAGTGCACAGGCAATATACTGCAGACGCGTGCGACAAAGTTTTCAATCTGGTATAATAGCTCTTATTAGGTCTAGAATATGTGGGGTAAAAGTGATTGCAAGACCATTTTGAATTTCGAAATTTTTTCAAACATTTTTATAGATGATGCTTGTTCTTTTAAATCATTCCATTTCCATTTCAAACCATTTCCAAAATACTGGAGGTGGTTTGATATTTTATTTTAGACCTCAGAGTAGATTGCATTTTTTTGATATTTTAAACACAATAGTTGCTCCCAATCTATAACTTATAACTAAGGGAGGTACATGCCCCCAATCTGAAATTTTGAAATATTTCTATAATAGAAATGGAGCAAAAAGTAGATGAATCTTCAGAAATGGAAGAGCCAAAAGATGCCAGCAGTACTGCTTCCATTTCTACAGAGACTAAAGATCAATCAGATTGTTATCATTATACAAAAAATGGAGAATTTACTTCTGAAATCTTCAAAATATGTGTGGACAATTTGCCTCATTATGTTGGCTATCAGGTTTGTAGTCTAGAATCAGTGAACCTAGATAGATTAAACACTGTAACTTAAAAAATTAAATTATGGTGACAACCTTTTAAATCTACAATCTTGGACAGAGCTGTTGAGACAAAACCCTTAACACTTACTGTGATAACATGCATGTAAGCTTACCTGGTAGTACATTCATGGTCACTTTTTCTGTGCTGACCATGCTAAAAGCCTGGAAGGAATGACTTGTTAAATCTTTTAGTTTTGGCTAACTTCTCTTGAAAATTTATTCTCATCTCTAACACATATGATACCTAGAATTTTATTTTTCAGCAAATGAGAAAGACATTTTCAAAACTGAATGTTACACCAAGGAAACTAAAATTTGATCCAAATTGCAAGCTTGCTTTCATGACTTTCAGGTAATCATTCTGATGCTAATGATGTCTCTTTGTTTTCAAAACTAGAATAGATGTTCCATGAATGTTTTAACTTCTATGTATTTGAAAGTTCATAATAATGACCAATTCTTTATTCCCTTCTAACTTAGGTTTTAGTGTAGCAAAATCTTTCAATCCACTTTTGGGGACCACCTTTTTTACATGTCACTTGTTACTTGGAATTTTATTTACCCTTTGCAATGACTTTGTTTAAACTTTGAAGAATAAGCTAATTTTTGTTGTGATCTATTGACAAATGAAATTACAACAAACTAGAAGGGTGACTTGATGTCTGAACTTTATCAGATTTGAAGGTAAACAAATTTGTAAAATATTACAGCAGCTGTACTTGATGTGATTTTTGCTTTTTCTTCTAGTTCAGAAGAAGAGAGAGAGGTAAACCATTATTTTGCAAATGTTAATGAATTTGACCACAAATATCTGTTTTGTTCTGTTTAAAGCAATAAGCTTTTTTCATAGCCATTCAACCATCAACTGCATATAGTAACAATTCAATGAAAGAGAAACTTTTTTACCAGTATCAAGGTTATATTAAGAATGCACTATGTCTTTTGATTGATTAGAGAATTGTGCAATTATTGTTACATATTGATCTCAGACATGAACTACTTTCTAGGCTGCAATCAAGGCTATCAATGGTTTTAAGTTCAAAAAACATATCCTCAGTGCAAAGGTATGCATCAACGTTTTTGTATTAGATGTACTTGTTACCTTTAAGATGTCAAAAAATTTTGTTGTATCTGTTAAAACTTCATGTGAATTTCTCAGCTTGTTATTTCTTTTATTTTGGCCATTTTTTTGTTTATTTTTGCAGATAACTTTTTATTATTACGTTTTTGCATTTCCTAGGATTTTCAATGCAGCATTTTTTTCCATTATCAAATAAACCGAGTGTATACAACTTCCATTTGACTGTTGGTTGCAGATTCCCATGACTGTTTGTTGCAGGTTACCATGGCTGTAAGTTGCAGTTCTGCGTGAGCATGCTACCGGAGCTTGTAGACCCTAGAGTTTATGCTCTGAATTTCTGCAGGCACTAATGAAACAATCATTTATTTTCATTATTGTATGATCATGCCAGAATAACAGAATATCAAAATTTAATGCAAGTTTGGTTCTCAATAGCCTGTTTGTCTCTTTCTCTTTCTATTGAGTTTATTTATCTCTATATTCTCTTCATTTACCTACCTTTTCTCTCTTTCTCTCTATTTATCTCCATTTGTTTTCTCTGATCACTCACAGTTATTCGATTCTTCTCTTCTCTGAGCATTTTGTTATGATTTGCTCATGCATAGTAGGCTGAAGAAAACATGCTCCTTTGGAAAATATCCTTTTGTTTTCGAGAAAAATCCCCGAAAAATCCTTAAAAATCCATTTTTTCTGTAAAATCTTGTATGCTGTTTGGAAAGACTGATGGACCTCGTGCAAGTAGGAGAAATCAAATAAAAAGGCAGAGTATGCAAGTCTGACGTATTGGAGCAAAATTACAAGGTGCATCATGGGCATAGCGCATGCTTACTGTTTAGGAAGATTTTGTATGGATCTTTCCCGAATATTATTGCTTCGTCGAGATAGAATTGCTTAAATTGAGCCTGAAATTTCGCCTGATTAGAAGGGGAGGGGGGGGGGGGGCTGCAGTCCTTCTAGCCACTATGTCTCCTATGCTTATTAGATACACCCCAAAAGAATTCAGCCAGAAGAATATTCCGACTATTTGCAACAAAGCAAGCCTCAATTTCCATAATTTTTTAGAGTTATAACTTTTCCACATTGAAATAATCGAATCTTACAAGAATGATCAACTCAAAGCTACAGAACGAAGTATCTAGTTCCTTATAAGTCACTATGTTGACTAAGAAAATTTGAACGGGAACAGAAAATTTGAACTGGGGATAGAATGTTTCACAGCAAAGATTTATAACTCTGGAAAAAGAAAACCTCAGTGTTATGTTGAAATATTTACAATTCCTGTTAACAAAACGAAAATCAAATTCCAAAGTCGCTATCTTCGACAACGGGACTGTCTGACACCTAAAAACACTGATGACACCCAAAAACACTGAGCGTAACAAGTTTTAAGGCAGATTAGCAATTGATTAGTATCTGACCATGAGTTGCAACCTGCTTAACTTGCAGAAACATTTTTACTCGGCTTTTCGCCTGCAGACACAAACTATTTTTGACAGGCCCTGCCCATGCCACTGGTTGCTATCTCAAAATAAAATTGTTATTATGAATCATTTCTTGGCACATAATGCTCTTACAAAAACCACCAACGTAGCCACATCCTTATGTATTGTGTGAGGCCCTGTTTGGGAGATTTTCCAAGCCAAGAGAAGACAAAACATAACTTCACAAGTGTCATCTTGCTTCTTAAGATTTATTTAGGAAAGGCAATTTTTACATGCCTATCAGTTTTCTTACAGCACAGGTCTTGAGAGCTAGCAAGATCTTGAAACTGTCAGATCATTAATTAAAGTTTTCAAGGATTCAATTTTCACAAGCTGTTTCTTGTTTTCATGCAGAAGTGTATTAACCATACACTCGATTTTTAATTATAATTTATTTTGATCAATTTTGGCATTATTTTTTGGGCTCATCTTTCCGTTATCTGTTTTTCCAGAAAGCAATGCCAAAGCCTGACCCTCAACTCCGTAAAAGACAAATCAAAAGCTCAGGTGACACGTGTGCTCCTATTCGCAATTGCACCAATATTTTACTAAATGAACTTAAGTGACTGTTTCTTGTCAACCTTAATGTTGCCTTGGCTTATCATATTATTTTTAAAGGATTCATTTTTAATTTTATTTCGGAGTTGTGTTTGGTCTAAGCACCATGTCTTAAGTGGCATATTATCTTTTCTCACAGATAATTTTGAAGGGAAAAGACAGAAACAAGAGGGGGATGAGCATGAAGGGCAGCCAACGGACGATCTTTCTCCAGAGATCAGGTATCGTCACTATTTTGGCTTTCTTTTTCTCCACGCCATTGCTTATAGCTTGAATACTTCAGAGGTATATGAAAGAACTACATATTTCCAAGCTTTATTTTGTACCCCTTTAATCAAATTAATTGTTTCCACTATTACAAAGCACTTGAATTTTTAAGACCATATTAGTTGTAAGGCGCCACTGACAAATGGAAAACTGCTTACTTCTTTGGCTAAAAGATCAAATAATTTAACAGAAGTTAGGATTTTCTTCCACACTGATTGAATCCTGGTGATATTTCGAAATGACAACGAACTTCCTGCTTTTTGTGTTCTTATTTTATGGAGAAACATTTATTGTGGGAAGAAGAGTTTCAGAATTTTTATGTCTTGTATGAACGACAGTCAAAATATTTTCGCTGCTCATCTCTATCGAAAATTTAATATCGATCATTGTCTCTAACTTGAGTTGGTTTTTTTCTAGGTTAAAATATGTTGTGACGAAACTCTGTGACATGCCTTATTCTGAACAGTTAAAGGTGAGCTGGTTTTCATAGACTTTTTTGTAGTATTGCAATTACCAGTACCGATAGTGTCATTTTATTTAAAGACTGTTCTTTAACACGTTGTGACTGTTCTCAAAAGTTGGAACAGAATATTGTGTTTTACTAGTTAGTTACCGGGTACAGACCTTAGCTTGGGTTTTGAACTTGCTGCTTTTTATGTAAGGTGTTGCTTTTGTATGCGTGTTAAAGGAAGTTAAGGGTAGACTTGATAATTTGATGCTTCATTTTTCCAGCAATCATTTCTGGTCTACATACTACCAATTACCAATACTTTTATCAGCATACTTAGTGCCAAAACGCTGTTAAGAAGTAGTTAACCTATTACTGACAAGCCAACGTTTTTTGCAAAAATATTTCATTCGTTCTCAACTATATCTATATCTTTATTTCAAGTGAACCCAAGATTATCTGTCGTTTTTTTTATATTTTAGGTTAAATTCAATTCTGTTGCTGACGTGTTGAGAAACCTAGATGAAGATCTTGCTGCTGCTAGGCCGGTATGTTTCCTTGTGTCCCCTTTAAATCCTTTGAAAAGAACAACGCTTCATAAACGATGGTATCTCTTAGCATGAAAATAAATATTTTTGATTAATTCTCGAAACTTGCTTTTTGTAGAAAACATCGGATTCAGATGAAAGGTATTTGCTCACTGAAGCCTTTTTGCAGTCTATGCGGTAGAAGTAATTCAGAAAATCTCTTTAATCATAATTGTTTTACAACCGTTCATTGCATGCAGGATATTCTTCTGTTGAATTTGCAAGTTTTCCTTGCTTCATATCAAATACATACATGATCGCGATTCTCTTGAGTTCATTCCTATTAAAATTTCATCCAACTGATTTCTTTAACCTTATCTCTTAATTTTCACAAAGAAGCAGGATTAATTTATACTAAAATGTTTTTATTGTTTACCATTATGAACTGGGCAATTAAACGCATCAATCATGTCATTACCCGCTGTTTGATACTCTTGAGGAGTGTAACACAGAAGTACTTCATGTAACAAGTAATTTGTTCGTTTCAGTTATAGGATTTTACAGTACCATAGACTTTGATCTTAATTTCACGTTTAATTGCTTTTCATATTCTTAAAAAAAAGTATTCAAGAATTTTTTTAATCTTGTTTGTTTTTATAAATGTTTTCGAGCAAACTAGTTTCACATTCTGATTCATTTTGTTCATACAAACAGCTCATACAAATTAGAAGACATCATTCAATCGGTAATTTTTTTAATCATTATTAATCAGTTTCTTTGTTCTTCATGCAAACCATTACCATTTTATCCAATATCTTATAGATTACCTGTTTTGCTTATCAACAAAAACGCTAGAATAAAAATCATTATTATCAACTACTAAGCAAGAGCCAGATTTTTAAAGATTGGTTGACATTTTAATTGACATGAAGGATAAACTTTTCTTTTGCTATTTCTGATCTTTGCATTTTATCGTCATGCACCTGACAGGAGTTTCTTTTTGAAAATAGGTAATTATAATTCAGATGAAATTATGTTTCAGCCAGTCCTAGAGAAGTATCGAAACAAAGTTGAGTTTAATATTGGCCCTAATACCGAAGAAAATAGTAAGTGATATTTGGTTAGATATCAATGAAATTTCCAGATAAGATTTTAGTGATGTTAAAGAAGCTGAGTTTGAATTAGTTTTTTTAATTACTAATATCGTATATAACTAGTGAATTTTTATTTGCTTTTCTATCTGCTATATGAGGAGCTCTTTTGTTAAGATTTCTGTGGAGGTCCGTGTCTGCTTCCTTCTATTAAATCAAGTATTGGCATTTGGTTTGCCATATATTGTGCCCTTGTTGGTGTTTTCCATGAACTCTTTTTGAGATTTTTAATTTTGATGTAGTAATGTTTATTTACGAGTTTGTTTTTCAGTATTTTGCATAATAATGAATGATCCCCCTTAAGCGTTTTATAGAAGAAGTTTTCTAGTTTTGTTTTTCCATGACTAAGGCATCATTTGAGAAGTATATTGCAGTGCACATTCATACTGGAAAGATTACTGATTTTTAACCAGTAACTTGACTGTTCAGCCCAAAATGAGACTTGTTCGAAATTCTTTTGAAGTTTCATTGTACTTTAAACAGGTATTACTACTTGCTGAAACCCAAAAGGATAAAAAAAGAGCATTTAACGTTTGGTTCCCTCAGTGAAATTTTTCGAATCGTCACCTCCAAACATGATATAATTTTTATTATGGCAGTTAACCCTTCATATTTATCCATAATGAGGCTGCTTAATGGAACAAATTGGAAAATTTTGAATACCAGCAGAACTTTTCCAGACGAGTTTAAAGATTAATATTTTGCGTACTCTATGATCTGATTGTTACATTTTCAACATAGTCACCCGTTCTCCTTTACAGTCACTGTTGGCTTTAGACTTGGTACATATAAAGGTAATCGACGTATTTGTATTTGATCTATAGTGAAAGCTATAAGTTGTTGATCATGTTTTGATAATACTAGTACACTTATTGATTCAAAAGAGCCAATTGGATTTGTTAAGAATGCGACCTATAGGCCTCTTATCAGAAGTAACCAAATGGTAACAAAGTTTTACATCTAAATTGTGTTCAAAGTGAACCGGCAGCAAACACTACATGGCTGCAATTAAATATTTTGTGTACTGCAATCAAGTTTGGATACTAAAGTATACTCTACATAAAGAAGACACGTGATATTGATCTAGACAGGGACGGACACTTGGTCAAATATTGGGGGGCAAGGCTGTTTTTGTAACAAGATGATGTCACATTCTCCCGTTGTTTTAAAACAAAATACCATTGTCCTCCAAAGTATTAGGGACCGGCCGCCCCTCCCCCTCGCCCTCCCCCTCGCCCTCGCCCTCCCCCTCGCCCTCCCCCCAGGTGTCTGCCACTGCATTTAGATGCTCTTTTGGCTATGCCAACTAGCTCTCAGTCAATTTGTAGTCTGAAATGTAGCATTTTTGTTATTGCTGTAGTTGAGCATTACGATCTTTTCTCGAATACGAATACCTTTTGCTATCACCATTCAAAGCATTATTTGAAAATTCATTTTTTTGTAGCGGTAATCGTGATTGTCCTTTTGCGATAGAACGTTTTTTAATAATTTTTCGTTGTGACAAATTTGCAGTTTTTGTAATGCATCTAATTGTGTAAAGTAATGAAGGTACGACCATAGTGCTATTTTTCGTTGATCGTCAATAAAGCTATTTTTAATATGCATAATATTTCGTTCCTTTGTAGACGATAATTTTGCCGTTGTTGAGCCTACAGAATGCATAAATGTTAGCGACGAGGCCACAAAAATCGCAAAGGTGGGAAATTCGATTGTTTTGTGACATAGTTACTTGTAAAAGTAATATCCTCATTTATCATTTTTTTCTGTTATACAATTTCCAATACCGATTTTCTGGGCATCAGTTTTGCTTCAATCAAGGTAATTTATTTTGTAGATATTTCAGGACTTCATCCAAGGCTCAAGTCTTGCACACTACGATCCTGGAATACATACAGGGTATGACGGTTGACATTGCGATGCCCTTCATTGTAGGTTCATCTGTAGCAATTGACGTGATAATTAAGTGAATTTAAACCACAACTGGATATATATTTTCTACATACACGTTTGTTACGACGTCTTATACTTTTAAGAGTATCAGGTGAAATACATTAATATAACAAAGAATGTTTATTTTTTCCAAAAACATTTAATCTTCTCAGCAGTGTAAAGATATTGTATAAAGATATTGGCCGATTTATATTCTTCAATAATCGCTGTCTCATGAAAATATACGGCTGTTTGATTGGAGGCCTGTGGCTTTCGGATAACCAATCAAAGTGACGGAAACTGTGATAGCATTGTGTAATCGTTTTTTCGTAGCCTTGATATCAAAATTGTTAATTTGTATGTATGGCCGTGTTTTAGAAAAATTTAAAAAAACTGTTTGAAATTCTAAGGGCCATTTTGAAAAAAGTATACTAACATTGTAGTACACAATTAGACTTAACAAGTTGCTTTGATGATCTTCACGCACTATGCATTCGACAGATATTTGATACAAGACTCTGTCATCGTCCATTTTTTTGCTGTTTCTTGTTTTAATGCTTTTTTCTGTTGATAATCAATGCCTAACTGTTTACATAGGTACTGGCGACAGTTGACTGTGAGAAATTGTATATCAGGCGAAATCATGGTAATAGTTCAAGTGCACCCTCAAAACATGAATCAGGTAATGCGCTGTCTGCCCTGTTATATGCTTTTAGGGCCTGTTCATATGAGAAGAGTTGTCCCACTGAGGTGGGATAGCCCACTGAGGCGAGATCCAATCGATAAACTGATTTGTATGAAGAAATAACATTACGTTCATATGAGAGGTGAATTATCCCACTTGAGTGAGATCTCGCTGTCGTGCCAGTGGGATCTCACTGAGGTGGGATAAAAATCTCCCATATGAACACGTTCCTAGGTTAGGTGGGACGAATCTGTCAGTATTGCGCAAGCGCAAATTAACAGGATATCCAATTCAACATAGCCTGCCTGCAGACTCTTTAATTGAATTGCAAATGTTTATAAATATTTTATGATGAAAGAACACACATTTTCACAACGAGCCTGGCCCACCTCGGTGGGATAAAATGTCCACATGAACGTAACCTGAAAATCGGCTTGCCTCGGTGGAATATCCCACTTCAGTGGGATAACCCACCTCATATGAACAGGCTCTTTATTTGAAAAAGGTCTTTTCAGAAGCGTGCTTTCGACTGATTGCGTGCTAGCGGAATGGTGCTTGTGGAATCGAGCTAGCGAGTTCGCCTTAGCGAAACTTAATTCGGCAGTAGGAATTGTGATCACCAATTTTCGCTGTTTACGATTATAGTTTTATGAGTTTTTCGGTCGATTTTTTTCAGTAGGTTCAACTCTGTGCCTCTGATTAAAGTTGGTTGATTTTTTGATTTCATGTGATAATGGAAGCTGTTAATAGTCAGGCCTCCAGTCGTAGTGTCCATGTTTCAATTATATGAAGACAGTGAGTTCTTGCTATATAGTTGATCCTGTGTCTCATAACCGTATCCTGATGATGACAACGATTTCTGTTCTGTAAGAATTAGCGATCATCTTTTGTTTGTATAGGATGACGTCGATAATATGAAGAAAACACTAATTGAGTTGTTCAGTGGTCAAAATGAGATACACGTTTCGTCACTGTATCTTCAACTGAAGGGCCAAGGGTAAGTAGAATGAGAACTGATACCACTCTCAAAGTAGAATCTGATGCTCTTATCTATGTAGAGATTCATAACCAGTATTTCACTTCTTTTAAGTTGCACTCCGCCCTTGTCTAACTGAACTGACTCCCTGGTTCTTTAGGCTTCTTCTAAATGCTAAATGTTTTTGCCCTCCCTATTTGACCCTAAATCGTTTTCAAATAGTTTGCTATCTTTCAAATATTAATCCTTCTTTATCAGACAAATTGGTCAAAACAACTCTCAAAGCTACATCCATTTAAGTGGCAAAGAGGTTTGTTAGGAGATGCTCGTAATGTTTTCATTGAGTTTTTATCGCATAAAGGCTGTGGTAGACAAAATGTTACAACCCACATGATCACATGATTTTTCACATGATCAAGAGAAAGTTTTCAACAGACTTTTGACTTGGCAATCATTGTTTTAGTCTATTATTGTTCAATTGTTTTTTGCCTATTTATTTCTAAGATAATGGTGAAAATACCATCTGCAAAAAAATACCGTAATTCTAAACCATTTCCGTTCACATTGTTGAGGCAAGATCCCCTTTTCTTTAAAAATTTGTAGAGTATACAACTGCTTGATAATTTTTTTTCATTAGCTGAAAGTGAGCATGTCTGTCATTTTTGCCCTGCTCAATCTAAAATAGGGCGCTATCGGACATTGCCTTGAAAATTGAGATTGGTTATGTGATACACTTTATATATTTGAATAGATGCCATCATTTTACAGGTTATCTATGAAAATATGTTGGATCTTCAGTTTCAAATATCGCCAGATGCATTTTTTCAAGGTATTTAAAGCATTGCTGCATTTGATATTCTACGAGAATTGAAGATATTTGTTGTAACTATGGAATCATAAAGAAAATTACCAAAAGGTAACTAGGGTATAGTTGATTGTTTATCCAAAACTTTTAACATCAAATGTAACATCAAGGTAAATATCTGGTGAATGATTGAATAGTAAAAAAAGAGTTGCTTTTACTTTGCAAAGTTATAGTTGCTTAGAACTCTCTAGGGCTCCGTATTAATATGAATATCTTTAAAGATGAATCCGATATGTTTCATATTTTGATCATCGCAAATCTTGCAAATATGATATCCTTTCAACAGAAAACTTCATTTATAACTTCCTTCCTTTAGTCAATACTCCAGCTGCTGAAAAACTGTATTCCAAAATAAGAGAATGGTGTGATATAACAGAGGATACAACCGTTCTGGGTACATTTTTCTTTGTTATTTGTGAGATTGATTTTTTATTTTTTTATTTGTGAAATTAAATTTTTCTTTTTCATTTGTGAGATTAAAGTACTTTCTAAACCTGCTGTTGTTAAGAAAAAAACGAACTCTGTTGCAAGTTCTCTGTTTACTTATTTCTGCTATAGAAATCATTAGTTAAGTATTGCGATTGATTTTTTATTTTCATATGAGAAGAAGATATTGTCTTATTTTGTTTTGCATCAAGAAGGAAATTAGACACCATTGTTACTGCTTTAAGCAATACTAATTTCAGCTTAAGTTTCAAAAACCCATTAAAAGAAAATCTTTTTCGTTAGGATTCGAAAATCTTAAGGAAATTCTAGCAGGATTGGTCGTTATAAAAAACAAGGTTATAATGATATTTGTATTTAAAAATGATCTTTATAGAGCCCCCATTTGTGGTTATGCTAAGTGCTTAAATCATACTCATTACTCAATCATTATAAATATATATTATAAATATATTATAATTACCTATGGATAGGTTTGAAGCAGTGTGAAAATATTCCCAGAAATATGTCATAGTTTCTAATGCTTTGGAAAATCTATTTACAATGTTATCGGGTCAATTTCATTATTTTGTGAAGTAAATCAGATTTACGATAGTAATTTATACATAAGGGTTTTTCTTCTTTTGTAGACATTTGTTGTGGAACTGGAACCATTGGACTATTTCTCGCAAAAGTACGTCCTTTTGATGATTTTAAATATGGCACTGAAGCAGTCATGATTTAGGCGTAGATCACCCGTTCTAGAAAAACCTTGGTTTCCAGATGAATTATTTATTTCGTTGTTGTAATTTTTTAACCTTATCTTTAATGTGTATATAAAATTCTTCTTCTCTCGTGAAAGAGAAGAATAAGGCACTTTTCATACGTTCTCTGCGCAATTCTTCTGTGTAAGCTTGTGAAGTGATATTCCACACTTTCAATACGCTTTATCCTGAGCATGGTTGTCAATATATATAGTCCTATGCTTGAATTCGCTAAGTAGAATTTTAAAATGGCTCTTGATTTTGAAAATCTCAGCAAAGCACAATACTATAATCTACAATCGTAAATTATTAAGGTGCTTCTTATATATTTAGTTCAAAAGATTGATCCATTACTAATGTCATTATTGCCATATAGGGGTCCCACTTTCTTGCTTTTGCTGCTACAAAGTTAGCTCAAAGCTTTGAAAGTGACTCTGTGATCTGTGAATAGCAATCTGTGTGGTAATTGAAGTCCGAAGGCAATTTGGTTTAATTAATGCCATAGGCATCAGTTTTGCAGATGATTAAAAATTCCAACGATATGAGTTTTGATTTGGTAATAGTATCAAGTTGAAAAATTAGCTATATGAAATATATGCATAAGAGATTAAGTAACGACCTCTACCTAGGCTGGTGCCAAGAAAGTAATTGGAATCGAGCTTTGTCAACAAGCTATAGAAGATGCAAAGAAAAACGCTGCTTTGAATGGTAAACTGGCTTGATTGGTGTTTTTTATTTTTTTGTGGTTTGATTGATTTTTTTTATAGTAAAATGCCACTAAATTAACCCCTTTCTCCAGTAAAATATCGCCTTTATATGGCAAATAATTTCGACCCACATATTTCGAATCTTTGCAAAAAAGCTGTAACACAATTGAATGTTCTTAAAAGATAAAAAACGTTTATTGGTTTCCAGGAGAAAAAGGTTCTTGTCCAGAGCTTCGTATATTCTAATTTCAGCTATTGTCCCTTTGTCTGGTATTTTTCATCGTCTAAATCATTACAGAAAATTGAACAGATACAAGAACGTGCCCTAAGATTTCTCTATAATGATCATACAAGTTCGTATAACAATCTGCTCGTAAAGTCTGACAAATGCACAATGCTTGTCGCTCGTCAAAGAATTCTATGTATTGGATATTCAAAACAGTAAAACAGCTAAACCCACCTTTTATGCAGAGTATTTTTAAATTACGTTTGTCAAATTGTTCATTAAGAAATTCGAATAACTTAGCCCATGTTAGACCTAATCAAACAACATTTGGATCCAAAAGTCTTATGTCAATCGGGCCACAGATTTGGAATGGCCTACCCAACGAGTTGAAATCCGCAGAAAATTTGAAGAGTTTTAAGAATCTAATAAAACAATGGGACGGACCGAACTGCAAATCCTTAATTTTGTATCAATAATTCCTTTTTATGTAGTAACTGGTAGCTATATTCGATTTTGATTAGTTAACATTGTATATTTTTGTATATATTGTTAGCTATTGTTTCTTATATCGATTTAAAATAAATGTACAACAACAACAACTACAACAAATAATCACCATTATTAAAGGTGATTATTTGTCAAATACAAGTTGCATAATAACAGACAGTAATACATCGTGAAGGAACATTTTAAGGAGCAAGAGGAGACAAATTTGTAAACTGTGAAGATTTTATATACGTGTTCTACTAGTTTCAACAATAACTGCAGATACTTTTGTAGTAGAAAACGTTTTTACTCAAACGAATACGTGCCTACCTCACTAACTACCATGCCTACCCAGTCAATATATGAAATTCCTTTTTGTGAAGTAAATCTGGAGTGTTATCTCTAAAATTTTACTCAGCTTGAGACTACGCCCGCATTTTAGGAATAACAAATACTGAATTTATTTGCGGAAAAGCAGAAGACGCTTTGCCAAGGATTGTTCACAGACTTCAGTCTCAAAAGGTGGTTGCTGTTGTTGATCCACCAAGAGCTGGTCTACGTAAGTCTCTTCCTTCATGTTGTTATCTAATCTAAAGATTTGATTTAGGTGTTCAACTTTGCATGTTGTAGTTGTTGTTATCACAGTTGTTATTGTTTTGTTGCTGTTGCTGTTGCTGTTGCTGTTGCCGTTGCTTTTGCTGTTGCTGTTGCCAAAAGCTTGTTAAAGGAAAAGAGTTCTTATGTGATTGCATGATAGAAATCCATTTCAAGAAAGTTTGAATTTAAAATCACCAAATGTTTCAACTTTTTTATCTGATTTTGTACTTTAAGAAGTATTTCATTGTGGTTATGTGGCCAGAATTCCTGTTATGTGGCCAAAATTCAAAAATTCTTAAGATCACTGTAGCCTCTTGTAATCTTGGCAGCCATTATACCTTCATGTTATCAGTCACAGGTCTACAAATAGCGTCGCAACACGCAACCAGTCCATAAATATATGAAAGATTTGCCTTTCGGAAACCTAAAAGAAGATTATTTTCCTTTATAGACAAAAAGGTTATTTTAGCTTTACGATCCTGTCTTCAAATTAGAAGACTGGTTTTCGTAGCTTGCGATGCTAAAAAGGCATCTACAAACTTTTTGGAGTAAGTATACGTGGCATTACGTACCGGCTATTGTTTATTGTTTGCTTGTTAGAATGTATTGGTTCGCTTCCCTGTGATACCTTTGAACACGCACAGGTAAATGCAAAAGATAGCATTGCTCCACTATTTAAATGGCTTTATTTTATTCGGTACGCCTCAGCATGGTGATTTTGTGAATTGACACCAAGCTTGCAGCCCTCATTCACTGCTTTACACTGGCTGCTGATTTAAAATGAAAACGAAGGAAACTTTTTCAAAAGGACGTTCAACTCGTAACATTTTTTTCAAATTTTCTGTCAGTAGCTTATATTTTATTAATTTACTGTCTTGTGCTATGTCAGAATATGCATTCGTTGAAGTTCTTCTGTTCCAACTTATGCAACTCCTCTAATCTTACTTCCCCTCCAAGACGCACGTGTCTAGTCAGTCATTAATGGGCTACCAAATTACATTTTGGATACCAAATTATGCTATATTGTATTTCGTATTTACAAACGAACTCAGACAATTTTCTTTATCTCAAGCCTCTGCAGACCGACGACGAACAGAAATAAAGGAGATCCTTACAACTTGCTACGTGCTGTTCCAGTTGACCTCTTTCCCCACACGGCGCATTGTGAATCGATTTTGTTAATGGAGCGGTTCTCAAAAGACAGTAGTGAGTCTGCCTCTATAGCTAGCAGTAGCAATATTGGATCCAGTAATACTCAGTCAAGTTCAGCTGAAGACGGTAAAGCGATTGTAGAAGAACATGTGGCATGAACCTGTATTATAAACAAGAACTGTAAAATCGTTATTATTTTACGACCCATACACCAGGTATCTCGCCAATGTTGCTATGAAAAACTATATGCCTTGTCTTAGTCGTAAGCAGTTCAATTTGAAGTTACCTTTTTTTGTGCACTTCTTCTTTTGGCAGGTTGCAAGTTATCTGGTAGAAAGCCCTATTTGCCAAAATAAATCTGTCATTAACTAATCAGCTCTTGATTGACTGTTTTTGGTTTATACGTTTCAGTTTGACAGAAAAGTTCATTCGTTATCTGGTTCTTAATATGTGCCACGTGCTAAAGCAAGCAATCTTACTGTAGTAGTGCCCCCCGTCAGTCATCTCTGTACAACGCTTGCTGGCTGTACCTTATATCTGTCACCGTTGTATATTGCTTTTATTCTCAGATAGTCGTTATAACGAAAATTCAATACCAGTCTCGCCTGTTTGTAGTATCTCACATTACAGATAACCAGAAGAGATCGTTTTCGATTTTTCTCAGTTTATGATAGCTATCATTGGCCTAAATATACATCGTTGTGGAATTTTCGTCCAAAGTTATGAGTGGATTTCATTAGACAAGCAGATTCATTTTCCGTACGCATGATGTTGAATTTGTTTTTTTTATCTGACGATCTTTTACTCTAGTTATTTATTCCAAGCTTCAGCTGAAGATTGCATCAAGGTTGCTTGGAATATGCCTAAAATATTGCTCGATATTAACATTTTCCTTTTTAATCAACTACCTTTGTAAATTACACTTATATGCTTATGCATGAAGATATCCTTCCAAAGTATTTGGTTTCTAGATCCTACCCTCTATAACAGTCTTGGCAGTAGCAAAATCTACCCCAATTAGATAGTGGAAAGTTGTGAGACGTAAGGTATAAAGTGGAAGGTTGTGAGCATTGGTTGTGAGACGCTTGTAAATGCGCTTTTGACACAAATCGAGGCATTATGACAATGAGGCTACCTGCGGTGTTACGAATCAGGAGAACTAAGCTGGTTTTAGTAAACTGTCGGAGGTGAAAATGCTTTCTCCTGCCTGTGCTTTGTGATTTTTAAGAGTGTATACAAGTTCTCCCGCTGCCTGGTGGTCGCTGCGCGGAGATCGGTTCTATTCTTGCATCGTTGCTCAGAATTCCAGGATTACATTCAAAGCAAATTGAGGATTTGAATGCACTTCAAAAACTGACTATTATTGAATATTGTGTTGTTGGTATATTCTACTGATGAGCAATATCCCGTTGCATGGTTAATGGTTCACTATTTTTGGCGAAATTTGATAGCAAGCTTTTTAAAATCTAAACCCCATTTAGATCGGGAATTTTCCGCATATTTGGAATGACTTTGGCTTTGCCCATCAGTTGTATCTAAGGTTTTTAATCGCTGCCACGTTGTATGTGGCTTATATTTGTTGGTAGCATTGTAAAATTTCTATTAATACTTGTCTTTTGCATTTGATTACTCACACGAGCTCAGTGCTAACAATTTTCTCTTGACATTGCTCTTTTTCGATCAAAGAGACTGTGCCAAGAGGAAAAGCTCCCACCAAAGTTTTTAAAGTTTGCTCCCATTCAGGGCTTTTCTGATATCCCAAGTTCAATTTGAAGGCCGTGAAGCGTTGGCACTAAACCCTCTGATGTAAAAGCTGCGCAATTAGATTCGAGTGTCCACTTTGAAACATCAGTTGCAGACTTTGTGTTTGACGTCTTTTTTCCTGCTTCAAATTAAATCAAAATGATTTTGAATACCGTAAAAGTTCCATTGAGCCCCAGGGGCTCATTTATTGTATCAGTCCTTGAGGAGGCTTAAAAGAGAGGGGGGCTTATTCAAGAGCGGGATATTAAAACTTTCAAGTAAAAAATGTTTTAGAAATGACCTTGTCCATTTTTTTGTTATAAAAATGTCATGCAAATGATCTCAAAAAACTTCATCTTAATCAGCATCGCCAGGATCAATTGCTAACCCTGGAACCCTTTCTAAACAAATTTCGAGTGACTTCTAAGGTGCACAAGTAAGTCTTTACATGGGCCATATTTAATGCACACGATCTTACAATCATCATAAACATCCAGAGACCAACTGAAGACGCATGTTTCCATTCCAAGGGGGGCTTATTTTAATTTGTTATTTGATAAGGGTGCTTAATAGAGAAAGGGGCTAAAACGTGAGGGGGATAAATAGAGATTTTACGGTTTGTGTTCTTAAAGATTACATATAAAAACAGTATGGTAACAGTAATAACATGGGCTGGTGTTGTTATAAACAGTTAGGATATATTATGTATTGATGTTAGCATCATCAGTTAGTATGCAATTCTAGCTAGCAGTGATGTTGTAAGTTGCATTTTGAAGCCAGCGCACATTGATTAGTTCGGATCGAACAAGTTGAAACTTTGTAGCAGATCACTTAGATTTTGTCCCATTACTGTCCCTTATCTGTAAACGGTGAGTACAAAGACAAATAGGAAATGTTGCTCGTTTCCCCCTAATTCTTTCAGATTTATCATCTTCATTGTCTTATCTCTTGCTGCTGATACAAAGCAAAACATTGTTCGATTGGGCATCAAAATGACGTAATAGATCGACTCATAGGTATGTTTTTACAGATAAACACTTTCCTTTACAGATGAATACTATTCTTTCGTCTTATCTTAAACACAAGTTTCCGTTCCCAAGTTTCTTACTCAAGGTCCTCAGTGCGCGTTTATGGTTGCAGGAAGTATGATTTCATAATCAGTGTATAACTCATTTTAGTAAGAAACCGCTGAATTTGTTTCAGTAAACAAAGTACAATCAAGTGCATTTGTGGAGTTCCAAGGGAAAAGTATGACTCGAGAAACAAAGTTAACTTCTAGCTATAACTGCCACGTTGTTTAAGTGATCTTTTTTCTAGATTTCTCGTGCTACTGGCTATGAAAATTCGAAGCCTTGACAGTGGCGTAACAAAGTCACCTGGAAACCGTAGAATAAAACCGAAATGGGCCCCTGTCAACGGACTGCAAGAAGGTCCCATCCAATGCTGTATAGCATGTTAAACAGAATAACAAGATTTGAGTAAACTATAAGCTTCTCGTGGTTATAGAACGCTTTTCATGGGGGAGCAAAGTTGTATGCTTCGTTAAAAAAAATTCAGAGTTAAAATATCTTTTAGGCGATACACCACTGAGCCTCGCCTTAATCATAATGTTTCATTTTATTTGTGTCCTTTTCAAGTTTTAGCGTGGCTGGTGTTGTTATTTTGCTCCTTTCCTGTGTTTCTACGTAGTAAATCGCAGCCTCCTGTTTCTCATAAATGGTTTCAAAAGCTTGAATCTTTTCAAATAATTAGTCTTCCCATGCCAAATTGGATGATATACTTTCAAACAAGCAAACTTTTCCCTTTTCTGAATTTTAAACTAAACACATTTCTCAGAGATAAAATAGGTTTGTTCTCGTCATAGACATAATGGCTTCTATCCGAAATAGCAGAATCTTTGTAAAAACATTTCAATTTATTACTCCAGTTGATCTTGACTGATAAATTCTTTACCGATACTTTTATGTACTGAAAACCCACCTTTCAACCTTTTTTATTCTTTGACCTATTCAGCTCGAACCCAGGGCGCGGTCATGGCTGCTAAAAAGATATTTTCACTTGAGCATAAATTCTCTTTTAGGCCTGTGAACTCCTTACCTGGTGGATATAATAGAGACGCAGAGGTTGCTCCTAATGGCTAAGAGGAGAGCATGGGGGCATCACCGAAGCGCTATTTGGATATAATTTGGGTGCAAACGATTCTGGAATAATTACGTAAGACAATAAAAAATTGGAGAAGATAAAGGAAAATTTGTTTGGCTATCAAAACCTCTTTTTCAAGCAACGTTTATCCTATCTACACCCTTAAAATCTCCGCTCCTTTGCCCCCCCCCCCTCTTCTTTTTCAGCCCTCGACTTTATGTGGTTCTTATACCCTGGGTACCTCAGAACCTCAAAACAGGGGTCCTCATAAGCTCAAAGTAGAGGAATGGAGAGTGATTACATTTTTTATCTGCTATATCAACTGCCAGCTACCTCGATTGATCTCGATTGCCAACTTTCAAAACATTTTGATACTATATGGAAAAATCATTCGTTATCTCGAATGGTCGTTATCTCGAACGTTCTTACCCTGGAAAAAACATTGACAGTTTTCTCGAACTTGACCAGTTCTCAGCTGAACTGGATAGAGAAACGCACACAAATACATTTCACGTAACTTTTTCTTAACAATTGAACAGAAAATAAAAACCCCTTCAAACATACCATTGGAGATATTTTTAATGACCCCTAAGAAAAGACTTGAGCGGGAAATTCGTCAATATTTTGCAGATCTTAGAACCTTGGCCAATAAAACTCAGCTGTATGGGTGGCACATATCTAAGCCAGTATTTGTACCAGCTTCTCCCCCCCCCCCTTCCCACGAAAACAGGATCAAGTTAGTGGAAAACTATCGATTTGCCCCCAGAACCAACACTGCCCTTTCTGCGTTCACCTCGTGCAGGCCTCCCTGCTGACATCAAATGTACTTCTGATATATTTTACTTTTACTGTAAAATTAGGACGTTACAAAGAAGCGTTTCGTTTCTCCTTGTCAAAAATACCATTATTTTTACCTCGTGTATGGATTGTCACTGTTAGATGAATGAATTCGACGGACGTAGGCTTTTGCAAGTGTTATTTTTCAAAGCTGGAAGTTTGCGTTGACATGTCTGTGAATCAGAGGCCCAAAATTGACTTTTAACACCAAATATGGCTTATTTTATTATGGTGGTAATGTTGACGTCATGGGCAAGGTTCTCGTCAGATCGTGGTAGAATATCTTTAGGCCATAATAAAGTTGATTAAAAAACAATGTAACCACATGAATTCGATATTGAAATAAGCTGGTTCAAGTCTGAAAGCCTCATCTTTGTTGACAAATATTTGTGACGTCAGAAAAGGAAACTCCTCCCATTTGCAACCCTGTTTGTAGAGAACTTCGGTCCAATGAAAACTGCAGCACAATGCAGAGACGCAAACTGCGGCTCTAGCCCATAGCCACTAGCCTCTTTTCTATTTACTCTTGAGGGTGGAAGAAAATAACCCCCTGTTTGTTTTTTCCGGGTTTTTTAAGACCCCCTACTTTTTATTCTAGCATCCACTCTTTAATCGATAGAATATTTGACAAAAATTTAGAGAATCAATAGGTATTTACAATCACTTTAATAATACTCTGCTTCAAAAAATTTAAGAAACATGACACAACACAATTTCTCCTCGTCGGATTTTTTTCAATTTTTTCATTATTTCCATACTGGGTTTCCAAAAAAGACCCTCAATAGGTACACTCCGAAAAATTATCCTTGTGCCTAGACCAAAGGTATGAATTTGTCTTAGACCCGGAACTTTGAAAGTAGTTTTCAAGCAGACCCGAATACTTTCGTAAAACATCCACACTATTTAATTAGATAAACAAAACGTAGGCCCAAATCAGACTCAGTTCAGTTCAGTTCAGTTTCATATTTTAAATTCTCCACATACAATTTATCGTAACAAAACTAATTAATACAAACAAATTACTAAACTACAATGATAACAATAATGCACCTAAAATTAATACAACATACAAATACCGAACAAAAAACAAGATAAATTTAGCATTAGACGGAAAGCATTGGGTCTTTCTTGGAACAACCGTTTCAGAAAGTGTAGTTTTTATAATTTACCAGCAATTTCGACAATAATTTTATTTTTATTTTAGAAATTTTATTGTCAAATTAATATGCAGTTAAGACTTTATTGTATTCCAACATTTAAGCAAATATTTCTGATTGAGGTCAAAACGTCGGCATCGTGTGGAGTGAAATTTTAATCTTTTGCGAGAATAATCCTTTTTGCAGCAATTATCCATCATACGTAGTTTCAAGCACTTGTATTTTATTTTTTATTTTGCAGCTTTAATGTGAATGATAAAATCTTTTTTTAATTTCTCTTGGATGTATTTTCTTAGGTACAAATTTTGACAAAAGTAAGGAAGTTTTGAAAGGTGGGTACGAGGGGCAATTCACTCTTGCAAATAGCGTACGAGATTTTCCCTAAAACAAGAGGATTTCTGGGGATTTTCAGATAAAACAACACGATTTTCACAAAAGGTGTACAAGATTTTCTTGGAGTGATTTGCTCCTCGGGTGGGTATACATATTTGCATATTTGTAGATTCATATTTGCCTGAAAGTAGGACTTTCTAAAGTCTTGAATAACTTATTCTAGATGCTGAAAATACCTCATTTTTATTCATTATTACAAAGCTGTTTGATTTCGATTGACTTTGCAGACAAAATGCAAGCAAAAGTTGCATTTCTCGAATCTTTATTCTCAGACTATCTGTTGGCGGTCAAAGGCTCACGGCCCTCACTGAAGGAGAGCCATTCCAGGCATTAGCACAATTGTAATCACCCTGGGTAGTCATATTTTTGAAAAGCAACCCAGGTTTCACGTCGTTTGTTAATACTTTCGCATACTTTTAGTATATACGATTTTGAAAAGAGGAGGACGAAAAGTTGTACAGCAGAATCTGGTCATTGCAATTTTCAGTGCCATTTCAGGAGAGCAAGATGGGTTCTTTGGATGCCGTCGAGGCTCAGCTGAAGAAAAAGGTAAACTTTTCCACGGTTTGTCTGCCCTTTCCGCTTGCAACTGCGTGTAAACAGATCCTATATTCAGCAATAAATTAGCCGGATTGTCTTCTCAGTCGTAAGATTTCTTCATAATCTGCCTTAATGTAGGGTTGTTGTCTAGGAAAGAATATCTATCGTGATTAAGTTGACTTTTGCTCTGTCCGTTTGACTAGGCCCATCACGCGAGCGGTGTGGTTTGCATCACCGTGCATTTTATAAAATGGTATATTTCCCAGTTTTGGATGATTTTGAAATTTTGGAACCACATACTTGTTTTTATTTACCCTTCCCAACATCCATCTGCAAATCCTTGGTATAAAAATTAAAGTGATAGAAGGTGTCATTTCATTTAATTACACCGTACATGCCTGTTCAATTTTTTGCCACTTTTAAATCACTTTGTCTAGATTGCAACAATTACGTGTGTCTAAGAGTTTATTAGGTAGCCAAACTGGAAATTCAACAGTTTTTGTAATATCTCGAGGGAGCATTGTTTACTATTAAGGCTGTGGTGGACTAGCCACACCGATCGTTGTGAAATTTGTTCGAGATGAGCAGGATTGGGGTACTTATTCAAACTTCATTGAGAAGTATTCCAGTTTTGTTGTTAAGAAAATATTAAGCACTTGTTGATATTATAATTTTTATGGTTCAAGTAGAATTTTGATTTTATTGTGGAAATATATAAGAAAAGGTACATTTTTGAGCCTCGCCAATATTGTTTTATGGGTGGGTGCTGCTGAGGCAGCCTACCACAGGGATGCATAAACCAGACAATTGATATTGCACTGGTGCGTGTAGAGCCACAATCTTACAATTTGAGTATTGTCCTTCCACCCCAGTTTGTTTTTAGGATCATTGACGATTTTAGATTACTTAGCATTGAAAAACCATTGTTAAGAGCTAAACCTCCAAAGCAAGTTTTAACTGACTTGAGACACTGGATAATTACTATTCACGATCTTTGAATCCGATTCCAAATTCCATTTAAAGAGAATTCCAAAGTTTGCATTCAAGAAGCTTAGTTTTGAAAAGAAAAATGTAGGGATTGATTGTTGCTGTTTACTTTATAGGGCTTGCAAGATCTTAGCTGGTAAAGAATTTACAATGTGTTAATTAAAGTTGTTGATTTAGACATTAAGGCTAATCCTGAAGCACTATTAAATGCCCTGTTTTGTTTTTTCAAAACTTGCTTTCTAACTGAATTTGTAGAATGGGCAAAGTGTTTAATTTTTTTTAGTAGAAGTCCAAAGTATTTGAAAATAAGTAGCTTTTGTGAACTTATAATTTTCAAAAACTTTTACTTGAATTTTTTTACTGAATAAGCAGCCATCATGATAGTGGGTGCTATATATTTCAATTTAATTGATTATATATATTTTAAAGAAGGGGCTTCTTGAAAACCAGCACTTCTGATGAAGGCCAGACCCTCCCTGTTGATTAATATATTTTGAAAGAATTGGAACAAATTGATATAAATTCTCAGCAGTAGATTCATTTTGATTTCATTCCAAAGCAAAATAGTTTGTCTTAATTCATTTGGTCCAGTTACTTTCTAAGTATCCTTTGCCTGAAATGCAAACAATTTGAAATTTTTTTTATCACTTAAGATAAAATTATCACATTACCATAGTTGCTAGTGCTATTATTTTAAAAATTGTTTCCAGATATATATGTACCTTGATCAAATAAAAGATCTTTAAAACACTTCTTGTTTGGCAGAACTTTGATCTGTTTTATTTACTCAGTTTTCTTGGGAACAGTCATACAGACTTACTTGTAGCTTAAGAATATGGGAGAGTTCTCAATTTTACATCATTAAATATTTATGGTTTTAGTGAGACTGATAAAAGCAATAAAAATTATCCTATCTACTATTGAAATTATCCATACCAATATGGGCTTTAAGAACTTTTCAAAATCCCAAAGTTTGCTGTTAGATTCTTTTTGTAAACATAAAAGCCACAGAAAATGTATTCTACCAGTGATGATTTTTATATTTTTTTGAAATACAGTCAACTTTGTTACAGTCACTTTGCTTAAAGTCACATATCTACTGGTTAGAGCCAAATAAATTTTAGACTGTAATACACAAAAACTGTTAATTAAGCTGTGCTTTCAGTTGTAACCTTTCAGGCAACTTTTTTGTGACTTTAACTCAAGTACTTACTGCATTTTTTTTAAAGTTATTGAGTTTGCTTCATGAAATTTATTAATAAAGGTAAGCAGCAGTAACAGAAATAGCATTTAAAGAATAGTATGTAACTAAATAAAATTAATAATCTAATTTCAACTTCACCTTGTGATGACAGTGTTAATAAAATTATTTTAAGGAGTGCAGTATATTTTGTTAGATAAACTGAATATTCAAAGTTAATTTAGTCTAATTTTTCTTTTTAATATATACTTGGCTATATTTGAGAATTATTTAAGAATGAAGCCTCTGCCTCCTTTAATACTTAATATTGAACATTAAACATAATGCTGATTTAACTTATTTCACTTATTTAACTTATTAAAGTATTTTAGACAATGCTGTTGAAAGATCTAGTTTCTTATACAATAGTTTTAAAGAGTCACAATTCTTTTGTAGATAATTATTTTCAAAAGTCAGGAGTAACTTATTTTAATTGTGTATATTGAACAGCAAGTATTTGTAGCAAAAAGGGGACAAGCAATTCTTCCAAGCTGTTTTGGCATTTTGCTTTGGCATTTTGCCAAAGTTGGCCCACCACAAATCGCACTGGTGTTGCTTAGATGCAATTGTTAAAGAGGAATCCTTATACATACTGTACAAATGGATTATGACTACCTAGTGTAATTTACAAAGGAATTATGGGGATAGACCTATTATAAGGAGATGTCTCATGTGTGACTCCACCTAATATAGATATTTAGAACTTACAGGAATTATATTCTTGAAACTGTGAACCTGATAGCCTTGAAACTTCAGAGCCTTTGAAATGTGATATCAACCTAGGTGTTCCAGTCTTGCTAAAGTTTTCTAGTCATTGAAAAGATGATGAGTAAATGAAATTGCTGAACTGGAACAATCAATAGGCCTTTTTAGAATTAAGTTGGCCTAGAAAAGGATTGTTATTTCCCTCACTGTGAAAAACATAGGAATACAACAAACATTGATTAAATGGATCAGGATTTATTATACTTGAGCCTAAAGTGTCTGTAGGATATGTCATTTCCCATTTAGAAGTCATGAATGGGGAGAATAAAAACACAAGGTTATCCTGTGACACAATGCTTAGCTCTCTCCTTTGAAACACCCAGACTCGTATGATGATTACCCTTTGAATAACCACAAAGTATGCGAGTAATTTAGGATCTAGACGCAATAATTGTTTCTAGTTGAGTCAAGGAATTAAAGAAAGCTGAGTTACTGAGACAAACATAAGCTCAATTAAATTTTTGCCCGCGAGGCTATGTCTGTAAGCAACAATGTGGCGTGTAATAATGATACTTCCACTATTTACTACGTAAATATAAGGATAAATATTTCCGCTGTTTTTAATAAACTAATCTTTTCTTCTTTGATATCTTTTTTGTCGCTGTTAGCATACAAACAAACGATAATACTCACGTCTTTAAAAACTTTATGTGGAGGGTCTATGGTAAATTTCCATTTAAAGTTTGCTCTTTCATCGGCTGTTTTATGAAGAAATTTCCAAGGTACTACTAATTTTGAAGGATGTAAATTATGCATTTGGCTTGAATTTAAAGGAAGAGGGAGATTTAAGGTCATATAACATATTTATCAAGTTGATAATCATAGCCACGAATGAGAATTGGTTTCGATTAGGTTTATAGCAGTTGCGTTGTATTGTATTTTGAAAACATTATTTCTTTCTGCAAACAGTTCTTTTTTGCAGTTGTGTTTTTCGATATCAAGTCCCCGTATGAAAACATAGTAACCCTGTGTTTCCTTGCTTTGCACTTTGTTGTGCTTCGGTGAATGATGCATTCGAACATGCAACTGAACGCCAAAAACGGGGACCTTTGAATGTGCTGACAACAGCAAGAAATCGCGTGCTTTCTGGCACGCAAAATTTCCAACATTTCAAAATGGAGATTCCAGAATAGACTGATGCTAAGAAAGACATTTTATTCACTGTCGGATTTCACTGATTTTTTATTTTGGCGCCAATTTGGTGAAGCTTTTTGAAGACCTCTTTTTAAAAGCGAGGCTACCAGCAGCATTTTTTGGAACATTGCGAATGGCTCGCCTTCCTAATAATCAGGGAATTTTTCAACATGGAAACTTGTGGGGAATTTACCCACTAGGTCCTAAGATTTACGCTTTATTTGTCTGGCAATTAAAATAGCGAATTAATTTTGATGATATCTGTTTACCGTTCGTTTCTGTTGTTTTGCTTGTTAAGCCCTGGTCAAACTATCTAAACATCGCACTGAGCAACACACAACATCTGCAAATCTTGCTCAGCTCTGCACAGTGCGTTGCCCAGTACAGGGTGGTCAAACGATCTGAGCATCGCTCAACAACACCTCGAACAAAAGAAATGTGTAATGACTCTCTCCATATTTTTTATCGCCGTCAAACATCGTTGAGCAGGACGGAGCAAAGCTGAGCATGTGGTCAAATGAACTTGAAATTTTGCCATCAGTTGCGTCACAACAAGAAAATACAATTCTCCCTTAAATCCCCACTAATAGAAAGACCTCTGGTTCATAGTGTATTGAATATAATACGGATCTTTGTGAACAGGTGGCGTTTGAACTTCAAGAAAGTGTGCTTTATGATTTGACTGATCAAGATGCATTCATTTTGCCTTTTTGCAAATTTGCACATCATGAAATTGTTAACAGCTTTTTGCACACTTGAGAAGATAAATAATTGCTAAGATTCAACGAAGTTTTCATGCACCAAATTTTCATTGTGCAATGAGTTCTATGCTGCATCGCTATCTCAATAACCTCAGGGTTTCACAAAGCTTTCGGCACGAAAGGCTTGGTGCCCAGCCCCCATGCATATTTCAACTCACTGTCCCTTGATTAAGGTGGTAGTTGATGACCGATATGATGGACGGGTATCATTAGTATGGCGGACAGTTATCATTGACGTGGTATCATGTGCGAATGTATTTTTTATTACGATTCCATTAATGGCTTTGGATAAAATGCAAACCCTCGAACAATGTTAAGAATCTTGTGGTTATGCTGATACACCCATGGCTTCCTTGTGTTGAATTGAAGCATTGTCCATGCGTAATAATGCATTTATTACCTATACGTGGATGATAATGCCATCAACGATGAGATATGGTTCTGATATCATTGGAGAGAGGTTTTTGTCAGCATCGATACATTTCCTATCCCCGGGCAAGTTAAATAATATTGATTTTAACTGATAAGTGGGAGATCCTACCTTGATCGTTTTACTGAAGCGGGTACCATAGAAAAATGTTTCTCGAAATTGGAGGCCTGAAGGCAGTTAGATGTGTAAAAACTATCGATAGATCTTTAACACGTTACAACTTAATAGATTTACCAACAGTATGATGAAAACTTCATAGTATGATATATTCGGTTACATCTACGTAGATAGTCATTTAGGCCATCCATTAAAAAGCAGGTTTTAATGTACCTAGCTTTTTGGGTTATTCAATCTACTTATGTTGCTTCATCGTTGTCAATTTACAGGGATTTCATTGGCTGTTGAGTATTATTCGTATTCACATAATCAAACTCTTCTTAAGAATTTTTAGCTGATGAACATGAAACGATTATTTCAACGCCGATAGACCTTTCCCAGTATCCTGCGGGGTGCCCGTAAAGTTTTTAGTTGTTTTTCTTATTTCAGTCAGTATCAAGTAGCTGCTTAAACACAGTAACGAGCCACCTCAATAGACTGCGTGTTTATTTGTTTGCTCTGTTGGATTTCAACACTCCAACCGTGTAATGTTTATTAAACCAACGTTAAATTTCGTTTCCTTAATTGTTGCTGCTATATGTAGCTATATTAAAACTGTGTTCTGTTTTTACAGGAAAATAACCACTTTTGCCTCTTTTGTTGTACTACTGGCAGTTTAGTGGTGTATTAACAGTCACTTTTCGCTCATTTTTATCCTTTCTCTTCCCGCCTTCCCCTAACTCCAAAAATTTTCTGTGTCGGCCTATCGCGCGCAGGAGTTTTTGTGTGAAATGTTTTATGTATTGTTGATTTCCTGCACAGTTACCTTAAAAAACTTTCTCTAAGTAATTGAATCCCGAATGACGCCTTTTTAAGTTTGTTTTGTGTGTCAAAAACATTGTTGTTAAAAGGCAATAGACAAACACTAAAGGGGCTTGAGCTATCTTTTAATCAAAAATTGACCAATCAGTGAGCACGATTCCACTCACACCTTCATTGATTGGTTAATATTGATTGACAGATGGCTTAAGCCAGTCAAATAACTGTCAATTGTTTTTAAAAGTTTCAATATTTTTCGAGAGAAATTGTTGCAATCTTACAAGTCAATTAAATTTTGCTGGTGAAATCTGAATCGAACTTTGAAATAACTCATTGCCTGAAACTTCTAATAATACTTGCAGAACTTCAAAGTTTTTGTTAAAAAAATATTTTTTATTCATTTTAAGCACATCTAGATACAAACTTATAGCAGAAGATAATGTTCATCACTTTCAAAAGTGTTATAAACTTTTAAAAGTTTATCGTGGCCCTTGTAAACTGATTTCTATGGCATATCAGATTTAAAATGATTATTTTTCAGCTTGAGGATACGGAGAATATTGAAGAGAGAAGAGAAATCCGAAAGCAGCTGCGAGAACTGCGGAACAAAAAATTCGAGGAGGAAATTAAGAAGGTTACTGCAACCGACTACCGTCCTGGTAGAGACAAAACTGCGTTATCGAATGGTGTCGATACATCGATAGGAAACATTGGAAAGAAAGAAAGTGTGAATAAAAATGACGACGATGAAGACGCTTATGGGATATATCATATTGAGACGGAAGAGGAACTACAAGCTTTGGTGAGTCTTCAGACTTTGCTTCTAATCGACAAGCTTATTTGTCTTACCTGTCTATTGCAGCGGAACATTGTCACGTGATATAACATCTATTCGCCACTGGGGAGCTATTCTAAAGCTCTTCTAGCCTCGGGCTCCAGCTTGTATGCACAATGAAACTTTAAAGGCTCTTGCCCAACCGGCATGCTTAGCGGCAGTTGTCTTGAGAAATTGACTGTGTTTTTTATTTTAATGCACCACGATATTAGGCCGGTTCTTTGAATTTTCGTCGCAAAGCGTGCCGGTTGCGCAAGAGAATGAAATCACATACGAACTGAATTAAATTTAGCTCATATGCTAGTGGCAAAAATGTTTTTTGTAGAATACTTCACTCTTTTTTCTGTAAAAACACACTTTTTAAGAACGCCGAGGCTTAGTTCAAGAAAAATACGAATCACATAAAAGTGCATGGCCGGCCTCAAGCGACAAATTATCAAATTTTCAAAAAATTTATGTTAAAATTTATGTAAAATAAAACAAAACATAATTGTTAAAATGTCATTCGAAACGATTACTCACTGGTCCAGCAAACAATTTCAAAATAAGGACAGCGTTAGAACACTCGATCCAAAAATTAGAACATCGAGTTGTGGCAAAAGTTATCTGGTTTTTAAAGCAGAGAACGTAGACCTGTAGAGGTAGGATTGACATTTTCAAGCAACGTTGTAGTAATGACAGACATTTGATTGTTATTAAGAGATTACTTAGGGGTTTTTTAGCATCTGAATTTCAGTATTGTATTGAGTGCCATATGGTTTTGGTTTGTCCCTCGTATCTCTATAGGTGTTATTGTCAATGAATTCTGTATTATAAGCAGTAAACGAGAAGTTAATGTTACATAAAAATACACTACCCAGTTGATTGTTTTGTAGAATGTCCGCTGTAAAGAATCCAGAGATCTGTAAAAGGAAAATTGCTTTTTTGGAAATCTCAAGGATAGCAATAGAATGGCAAATACTTTGAAGATAATTGTAAATGCATCAAGGATAGATTCTCGAAGTCATAATGCAGTATAAACATATAGATGGGGTATAAAGATATAGATGGGGTGCCAGAAGATATTGAGAACGAGTTAATGGTTTAAATGCACCTCGCCAACTAAGACCCCATTCATTAATGTCCAGAACTATAATAGTATACAGCAAACTTTTGTATTTTGTACATATCAGATGAATAACAGGACTGCTCGACCACCTGGTCGTTATCGTTAGCGTCTTAGCAATTATCTCCTCTTTGCATCTTCTATTCCAGGGCAGGCTGCGGCTTTTCTCAATCTGCTCCTTACACGCGTCCGTGTTTTGAAGGAATTTGAGAATTACCTGAAAGAGACAGAATGATCTAATAACTTAATCAACTGTCGTTCATATAAAGCTAAAGTGGCAAGGATTGTTGATCCTGTCAATGGCTTCCTTTGTGCCAAGCTGTAACTTTACCCGTGTTGAATTATTAAGTGAATCTTGGAAATGTAATATCTGTAAGGTAGCTTCGGGGGCAGGAGTCGTGGCCTATTCAGTAATTACTTCTAGACTTAATTGGGATTACTTAGGAATGTATCAGCTTTGAAGGTAAACTGCAGAAAATTTCCGGATTTTGGAGTTGAGATGAGAATGTGCGCCCCGATATTAATGCCACACACTCTATTTACAGGTGCACACTCTTAGCTACGTCTTTACTCTGTACTTTGTGTTAACGGAGTGTCTTTTTCTCCAGTTGTGGAATCAGTGAGTTACCTGGTGCCATTGACAAGTATACCTAGGTTCTCATAGATTCTGATGGCTTTTGGAACCCTTTCTATGTCGTGAATACCCAATGAGAAAATTCTTTTTACAATATATCTTTCAATAGATATTTGATATAAGTCGGTGTATGTATTTGCATTGGTTATCTTACTGAAAATCTTTCTTTATTAAGTGTAAATGGCTTTGAAAAAGCACACATTTTACAACATACTTAAAGCTTTTTCGTCTGACACTCCTCAGAGCATAAAACGTCAGAATAGGTTCCGAAAAAACACGTTTGAAAAATATATACCCAGTTGTGGATCGAAATAGGCCAATCAGAAAAACGCAAGCACAAGACCGGTATAGTTGACCAATCAGTGCCGCGAGCCTAAAGAAAAATTACCAAATTACCAGTTTATTAAGTGTGTTCACAACCCAATTCTATCTTTTAGGAAAAGGTTGGGCTGTTTCTTTTACTTTCTCTGTTAACAGATAAACTCCTTGGATATAAGCAGTCTTATAAGCTCTCCAAGGCTTTCAATAAAAGTTATTAACAGTACCACTCCCGTTTTGCGCTCGTTTTACAATTTCCTTCCATCAAGTTTCATTTATGTTTTTTAATCCACTCCTTCAACTTCCCTTAACTGCCAACGACTTTTTAAACGTACGCTTAAATATTTTATAACGCTCGCGGCTTTAATTGAAATTATGACTGCTACTCACGTATAAAATTGTTCTTCACCATCCATAATAATGACGTCACGGACGCTGAAACACAGTAGTAACAAAGTTTTTTGGCTAGAAAGCATCTGTGGAGGAGCATTTTCCCTGCGGCATGTTTTGCTGGATCATGTTTTGATCCCTTAAAATTTGAGTTGGTGGAACAATTATGTTTTCAGTATCTCACAGGAAGCGATGAAGTCTAGGAGTTAAGCTGCTTGAAGTTACAGGATTTTGTCACTACGGTGCTGTCCTTCTTCCTATATTTACTTTGAGAGAATTGGTCGTGGGTCGTTAACTTTCAGAAATCCCTCTGTTAAACTAAGACCATTACGTTGGTTAATTTCTTTTAATCCTGTGTAGTTAATTACATCTAGGATTGATCGCGACTCGTGGACGACACTTGTTGTTTTGCTTTGTTGCATTGCTGTATCCGACACACTATGTTTTCAGATCCAATCAAAGCTGTCATAGATTATCTCAGCTCAGACAGTGCTCCCTTCATTCGTGCAAGACAGTCGTTCAAAGCCCTTTGGAATTTGCGTGGTTATCTCAACTGCATTAACATGGCAATATAGGTTTTATTCTTTTCTATGGTTTTAAGATTTGTCTTGCTTCTATTTCATTCTGAGATTTTGATAAAAAGGCCATAACCTAAAGGCTGGTTTAAAGATTTTTGTGGCACTCCTTGCATTGACTTTGCATCACAATTGTGGCCTAGGTAAGGTGTATACTCTTCTTTAAACAATCCATAACGGATATTAATCGAAGATAAAAAGCTCGGTTGGAAAAACAATCGTAGTTCTGAAGTTTTAAAATATCATAACTTGCAATTGCTTAATATTAGATTGTACTAATACTAATTTCTGGGTACTGCCAGGACCATCAAATCCTAGAAATACTTAAATTCTTTCCAGGTTCATGTGTTACTCTTAATATAAATTCACAAAAAGGCCGTTTTTTACTCGCTGTTTTGCTTCCTGTTGTCGACATAGCTTTTGGGAAAAAAATGCCATGCACAATTATTAAGAGATTTTAATTTATAGACTATAGTTGTAGAGCAATCGATGCTGAAATGTTAACAACATTTTGAACACTGATGCCTCAAATTATTGAAAAAAATTAAGAACATCTAACTTTGGCAAAATTATCTTGTTCTTGAGAAACGAAAATGTAGCTCAATGTAATTACGTTATAGCCCGGTTTTTCTAATCGCTGCATTTTATACTTATGGAATCAAGATCAATATAAGTTTAGATGCTTCCACAAATTATTTCCTCTTTTTGATTTTTTTTTCATTCTTATAACACTACCTTATACTGCTCGGTATTTCGTTGTACATTTTTCTTTGCTGACCCCTATGCTCTTAGAAAATACACTAACGCTTTTTTATAGCTTTGTTAAGCTTCTGTCTGTTAACTATATCTTGCATGTTAGTTTAATACTTAACGATATTGTGGTTTCGTATCTTTGTTGTCAACTATTTTATCTGCAAAAATTATTTTCTTATCATTCCCGGTTTTCTGCTGCTTAATCAGTTCCTTTGGACTGTGGTGCGTGTTTATCTTCGTTTGAACCTTGCATTGTTTTTGTTTCTTCCTAAGTGACTGCCTTTGTAGATTTGTCTTTGCATGTTCTCGCAACTTCCATTATACGCGTAAACAGATTCTTGAGCTGCAAGGAATGCGATGCGAATGAATGTCGATTGCATATTGACGCAATAAAGCTATTTTGTTTGCAAGAACAATCATCTTTTTTTCAGTTACTCCATTAATCTGCTATCATTTCTCGTGTCTAAACATTCAGCATTTCACATTTAACCCTTGTTTGTGCAGTTCATTATTGAATCGATGCCGTCGTGATTGACTTAGAGTTGAGTCAATCATTTAGCCAGCAATGGAGGAAGTTAAGTATTGAATAATGCTTGGGAGCTCACTTTGACCCCCCCCCCCACCCCCAGCATTGGCTGTCTTCTGAAAGTAAGATGCATTTCTGTAATGTTTACTTTTCAGTCTATAGGAGTTTTGCCTATTCAGGGTTGTTCATTTTGACGTGGAAGCCGTCTTGATCCATATCTAGTCCCACCGAATAAATTCGAAGATCGCATCCAGATTAGCATCCCGATTCTATCGTCTCCATCATCTACCAAACCTTCCTCCTCCTCTACATCACTATTTTCCTTGGCAATGTCCCAAACCTCTCTCTTTTTAACCTCTTTTTCGACACGACTTGCATCATCCGTGACATTGCTGACAAGCTGCACCATCTGATCATCATTTTCTACTTTTTCTTGATCAACTATCTCATTACTTCGGCTGCTTTGTCTTCGTACTAAATCTAGAAACGTTTGAACGATTTAGCTAACTGGTTTAGCACATAATCTGTCTAGGCAGACTTTGCAGTACATCTGTTTTGACTTGCTATGCTCTTATTCTTGCATTTAAAAGTCTTCTATTATATTTCTGTATATTGCTTACCTATTGACATTAAAATTTAAAGATGGTTAGCCATATTATGTAGTAGTCCAAGGCACAAAAAAAATTTCCCAAAACTACCACCCTTTCACCGAAAAATTATTTTGTTTATGGCTTAGATGAAATGCACTAATCAAGAAAAAAAGTTTTGCCCTTTTATGTATTTAATTGTACCATAACTTTTAAAGAGAGAGGGGAGAGATTGCTGGTTTCAACCAGTAAATTTTCGTATTATGTGTTCCAAGTTTTTTGCAATGGTCGTATGTTGCTTAAGGTACACCTGTAAGATGTACAATAACTGCATTTTCAATTTCATTAACGTTTATTGTTAATATGTTTGTTTTTGTAGCTTAATGAGACGCCATTCACAGAAACAGACAAACGGAAAAAGATTCGTGCTCGCATCCGGGAAATCAGAAATCACAGGCTGGGTAAATGATGCTTTGGAATTTTCTTTTTCTACACCACTTTTGCGTTTTAAACTCTACATGCCTTATTTTACCCCGTTTGTAGAGACCTTAAACTTGAAATGGCACGATTAGATCTCTAACCCCGCCACTTAAGCGTGTTGATTTTTGAGAGCTTTCATTGAAAATGGATCTCCTTGGTTTTTTCGTCTTGCCAGTTGGCAGACATTGTAACCCACATGGTCGATGCTAGCAGGTCTTTTGAAAGAACCCAAAAGCATCTAGAATGCTACGGATCCCCACGTTCTGTCTCTTAATTTAGTATAAGTCATGTTAGAATTTTCTATAAAATTTAGTTACTGTTTCCTTGAAAATATTTAATCTAAGAAAGCCTCTTTCTATCATTTTTCGGTCACCCAAATGCAATAAACTCTTTCAGATTTTTAAGAACCATCACGGTTTAATCAGTCATCAATTGCTTGATTGGGTTTTAATTCAATTGGATACATCCATAAGAGAGGTTTTTATTGAAGTTTTTTCAATACTGTTGCATCAATCTTTAAACTGCGTTTTTAGCCTGATGTTTTATTTGTGTGTGCTTTGTCTTTCGCAAACGAATGATGTCATACCTATTTACTGGTAAATAAAGCTGACTTCTGGAGTTTATATCACCTGACTGCATATCTTTATTTAGATTTTTAGGCTCATCAACAGAAGAGCCATATCCAAACTGCCATTAACCTATTTGTTTTCTTTCTGTCAATCTTAAGGTCTTGGAGATCCTGTCGTAATCAAGCGAGCACCAAGGGAGGAGAGAACCAATTCATTTGAAACAAAGAAAAACGAAGCCCCTGATGTTTTGCCCACTGAACGTGAAAGAAAAGCCTCTCTTTCAAAGGAGACAGAAAAAACTACGGCTCATTCACGCTCTTCTTTTAAAAGTAAGTACGCCAATAGCGAAAGCTCAGATGATACTGGTAAGTCAGAGATTAATCGCGAATCAAATGATGGAGAACGTTCCTATCGATCAAGCAGAGGAAGAAGAAACGAAGAGGAATCAGATATTAAAAAATCTTCGCGCATTGTGAGTGATGTCGAGGGCACCAAAATAACCAAGAAAGATGAAAACAGCGGAAGTAATGAGGTTCTTGATTATAAAAAAGAAGAAAATGACGTTCAGGTGGTACAACTTGAAAGTAATGTAACAGATGATAAAAATGATGTTGAAAAGGAGGAAAGCGCTGAAGAAGATAATAATTTGATCGAGGAAGATGATGTAGATGAGCCGGGAGATGATGTAGATGAGCCAGTAGATGATGTAGATGAGCCGGAAGATGATGTAGATGAGCCGGAAGATGATGTAGATGAGCCAGAAAATGTTGTCGAAGATGAATTGGCAAACGATGAAGACGATAGTAAGATAAATGGATATACAGATGATGTGGATGTAGATGTTGACAAAAATGTTCAGGAAAGCATCGAGGATTCTTATAGTGAACGAGAAAGGAAATACTCCAGCAATGCTGAGAGTGCTGATGAAAGGGAAGATGTATTAGACAAATCTTCAGATCAAGGTGTTGATAATAATGAAAAGGAAGAGGAGCGTGAAAATTACACAGATGAAGAAGATTATGAAGATCAGGCTGATGAAGATATAGATGACAATCGAAATAATAACATAGATGAACAAAATGTTAAAAGAGACAGGGGACATTCAGGTGAAGATGAAGAACAGTATTCAGACGAGGAAGTGAGAAAGGATGCGGAAGATGAGAAAGAAGATTACAGCGATAAAGAAGATAATGCATACCAAGAGGAAGACATGGTAGCGGAATCACCAGCAAAAGGTTCCTCAACTCGGCAAGATTTTTCTGATGATTACTCTGAGGAATACTCGGATCAAACACAGACAGATGAAGGGAGCAGTGTGAGTGGCAGGCGGTTTGATGAAGATCAGAATCTGGATGATTATGAGCTGGATAAGTCGTCTGCTAGTCGCCATCGATCCGGGTCTTCAGGGTACGCTAGAAAGGTGGAAGAAGCATTCAAGCAGAAGGAGCCGGCGCTGGCAGAGGGAAAGAGTTTCAAGGAACTACTTAAGAAGTCTGATAAACAGCAGGATAAGAATCAAGGCAATGGCAAAAAGGGGGCAGAACAAGTGGACTTCCGAACAGTTTTACGATCGACAGACAAGCCAAAGAAACCTGGAGATAAATCTGTATCTTCTGCCGAGCAGGTTGATTTTAGAAATTTGTTGCAGAGAAAAGTTCAAACGAAGACGTTAGCAGATAAAGATAATAATGTTGAGCAAGTTGATTTCAGAACAGTACTAAAGGCAGGTGCACCAGAGAAGAAGGACACACAAGGAAGAAAGGTTAGTAATGCTGAACAGCTTGACTTTAGAAACGTTCTTAAAAAACAGCCAAGTGTCAAGTCACGAAAGTTAAGTGTCGAAGATAAAAATGCGTTGATCAAGACTATCAGATCAGGCAGACAGGTGTCCACTGACACAGCTGAGAGTGGGTCTGTTAAGCCAGGCAGACCAAGTTTGGATTCCTTACGTGAAGGTGGAGCTGTGACAAAAGCGAAAGGAGAACTAGGTAAAAGTCACAAAGAAAGTGACGACGGAGAGTGTGAAAATAAAGAAAGTCGCAAGACTAGCAGGCCTAGCTTAGATGCTTTGAAGGAGAGTGGAGAACTTGGCAAAACCGATTTGAAAAAAGAGAAATTTGAGCAAAAAGCCAAAAAAGCTCCAGCCCCAGTACCCCCAAAACCAGCTGGCAAAAAGGTTGCAAAGAAAGATGTGGAAGATGTAATCGAAGAGCCGACAAGAATTGAAGAGGTTGAAAAAGAACCTGAAATAGAAACGACGGAAGTTATTAAAGACTCACAGAGAGAAGATAAAATTGCGACGTCTATCAATGCAACAGAAAAGAAATTCGATTCCCAAACCGAAGTATCTGAGCGCCCCCGCAGCAGGCGACGAAGAGAGGAAGATGGTGCGAAGGAGAAATCACGATCTGACAGAATATCTTCTCAGGAAGGGGATGACAGGAAGGGCTCGTTGAAATCAAATGATAAACGAGCGAGGCATAGAAGGCTTCGTCAGGATCAAAACGAGGTTGCTAATGATGTTAATAAAAAGAGTGATGACGTTGAAGAGAAAAAAGAAACTGATGTTGTTGAAGCTAAATCGAAGACATCGAGTATGGAAAGGTTGGTAATCCAATTTGTTATTCGTTTACAAGGGATGGGTGTGATTGTAAAAAAGAACACTTCAACCAAAACTTTGTATCGTCTTTTATTCTAAAAACTTTGAACGTTCAGCTTTTGATTTTGTGTTTATTTTTTAACATTTTAAATAGTTTTTCTTTAATCTTTCTAAACACTTTTATTACCGAAATTGGATTGAATTCAGAAGTAAGGAATTTCCTTTTTGGTGACACTATGGCATAAATTTGTGATGTGTACCTTTCCTTCGTTTGCGAAGTCATGCATCAAATTTGCTAAATAGACGACTCCTGTCATAGCTGCAGCACACAGTCTGTGATTCTGAAGCTGTCAGTTTTACACTGGTGCCTTAAACGAAGGAACAAAAACGTCCATCAGTTATAACTAGAGTACCAGAGATGATTTGCTTTCAATTTCCTTTTTGCTAGTTTCACACTGGAATAACTGAAATAACCACGGTGGCTTTACATTTATGTGTTAGCGTTTCTCAAGGGCAGGGCTTTGATTTAGTGTATCAAACTGCAACATGCCTCTTGGCCTCGCACATTTTTAAACCTTTTTCATTTAAGATATCCTGTATTATGAATTTCTTAGGGTCGCGGTTGTGCAAAACACGGCGTCTAGGCCAACTGTGCAAGTTATATTGAGCACCAAGAGCAGTGCCGAAAAGGGAAAGGAGGAAGACAGTGACGAAGAAAGCATCGGCACTAGGCGAAACAGACGTAGGATCCTCCGAAAGGGATCCGTGGATGAGAAAGAAACCTCACGTGCTGAAGTGAAAAGGACTTCAACCAGAGGCACAGATGAAGGCGTCAAAGAGAGAAGAGGATCTTCTACAGGTAGCAGCATCGGAGATGAAGTGGATGGGAAACCTAAATCATCGCAGGCTTTGAAGAAAGATACTGACCGGACATCGAACCATGCAGAAAAGTCGACTGAAAATGCAGAAGATCCAGCGAAAGCGAGAAAAGGTATGACTGAAGCTTTTGTGTTTCAAATGATCTTTTAATCGACTTATCTTCATGTTAATCGAATTTCTTAAATTTGCCGAGTAAAATTTTTTCTAAATATAGTGAGTTTTGAATATTGAAAATTCATTTTGAACTTCAAGCAACTTTGAAGACGGTCTCTGGCCATTTTTCAAAATATTTCCAGTTCTGAGACAGGTCTGTTAGCGGTAGTCTATAGTGGTAATGTTGCTGAATTGTCCAAATGGTCCTTGCTTCAGGTTGTTGCTGAATCCATTATGAGTTGATTGACGTGTATAGCTATCATTTGATGACTTGACCAGCCAGATTAATTTGGATATTCATCAGCCCAAGCTTATTTCCATTTTTACTTGTTTGGTATCGTGTGGGGACTTCATCCGGGTTTTATATGTATACAAGGTATTACTATGATATGTATGGAATTTTTTGGATTTTTTTCTATTTGTCGCATTTGAAGAGTAAGAATTGAGAATAGTTTCTTTTGGCAAAGATCATATTTGTCTCGACAATTTCTTCAATCGTGTTCTTCAATGTTTCACGGACACTATTCGATTAAATTGTGGAGCATTGCCCCGGAGCCTTTTCACAGTGTGTTATAGAATTCGCCTAAATTGAGAACTCAAGGTTTGAACTTCGTTCAATTATGAGATAAAGCTTCCTTGCAGAAACCGTAAACTGTCGATACTGATAACTTTTAACTCCGAAGCGCTTTATTTTTTTGCGCAGCTAAAATGGCAAGCTTAGATGCGAAACTGGCGGACAGACGCCGCCAAAGAGCATTGGAAAGCAAAGAGAGACAGCAGAAGATAAGGAACAGTCGGAAGGCTTTTAGGGATCAGCTTGATTCAAATGCACCAACGTACGTACCAATGCTTCCTTATCTAAAACGCGATCATCTGCCTAATGTGTCTTTAGTTAAGGAACAACACGGGCTGGTGTAATATATCAAGCAGTGAGACGAAATTTGTTCTTGGTTTGAGTAAAGCTTATTATACTTTGTTGATATTGTGTTGCATTTTGCTTAAAATCTCCAAATGTCAGTTAAAGCTTAGACCAATGAGATGAATATCCTCATTTATCGTACATTTATTAATAAAGATACCCTCACGTTACGTCAACAAATCCAAATTGCATAAGGTGCCTTTCTATGGATGTTTTTTCTTTGCTAAATTTGCTGGCAAGGCATATCGTTTTTGTTCCATCTTTTTTGTCAAATTGCGAAAACAATTGCTGACTGCAGTAAAAAAAGAGCTAGGTTGACAACCGAATAACTTGAAACCATTAAAATGTGTGCAAAATTCATTGCATTTGTTGAACGAGCAAGAAAGCTCTCGGCAAACATTTTCCAAAATATATCTGTTTAAACGAAAAACTTAAATAGACAAAACTTTAAACTATGCTATACATCAAGTTTTGAGGATTAAATTTCTTATCACTGTAGAACATTTCTGGTTATATATATAATGCTATGTACGGTAATTTTTATATTAGCTGTTCTCGAAACTAAAACTTGGTGGATAAATTTGTATTGTATTATACAAGGAGCAGTGTTAAGTTGAAAATGATGTTCTCCGTAGGACGAATGGCAGCGCATCTCCGTCTGTCCAAAGAGCCAACTCCAATATGACAAAGCTTCTGCACTGGTGCCAAAGAGTGACAGATGGTTATCCAGTAAGCTTCTATCTCTCTTACTTGTACAACATTGTTGTTTGTTACAATCTATGATACACGTTGTAAGAAGGGAAGGTCTATCTACTAAAGATCCACCCACTAAAGGTCTATCTACTGAAGGTCTACCTACCAATTATCTGTCTAGTGGAGGTCAATTTGATAGAGGTCTATCCACTGAAGGTCCTCCCACTAAGGGTCTATCTACTGAAGGTCCACCTATTGAAGGTCTGTCGTCTGGAGATCTATTTGATAGAGGTCTGTCTACTGAAAGTCCACCTACTAAAGGTCTTTCTACTGAAGGTCCACCTACTGAAGGTCTGTCTGCTGGAGGTCTATTTAATAGAGGTCTATCTACTGAAAGTCCACCTACTAAAGGTTTGCTGAAGGTCTGTCTATTGGAGGTCTATTTAATAGAGGTCAATCTACTAGAGGTCTGTCTACTAAAGGTCTATAAATGTGCATCTATTTTCTCTTTATGTTGTGCATGTGTTAAATTGTGCAGAACTCAGGACGTGTTTAATTTTCTACTACTGAAGATTGTCCTTGTCTGATTTCACTCCTAAATTTTCAATTTATTTAAACTTGACTCGTAGTAGCTGATTTTTGTCCAAAAGTTTCCAAAAGGTAGAAGTGATTTCTTAAGTCTGTTTAGGAGAAGTTAAATTGTCATTGCAACCAAGCAAACAACACTATTTTCAATATTTATCTGTTATGATTATTGAATTTGCGATTATTTTGTCTTTTAGTCAGTGTTGACCTAATTTCATATCGTCATCTGCTGCCAAAGCAATTTTCGAATAAGGATTTTCAGCTTTACAAACTTTAACAGCTTTTTTCCAGTTAACTTCTTGAGCTGGTGACTTTATGACGAAATTGTTATCAGGTATTCCAAGGCATTTGTATATAACTTACGGTATTTTCAATTTCAGAATGTTGAAGTCAAAAACTTCACAACCAGTTGGAACGATGGCCTAGCATTTTGCGCGTTATTGCATAACTTTGTGCCGGATAAAATTCCCTTTGGTGATTTGACACGAAAAGGAAAACGAGAAAACTTTGAAATAGCCTTTGGTGTTGCAAGGTAAATTTTTCACAGATTCGCTGACATAATTTTTATTTAAACTTTTTTGTTTAAATTTACAGTTAACACCCGTAGATTTATCCAAGCTATCATCAGTTTTAGAAAAGTTACCAAACCACGTAGGGAGATTGCCTAGAGGTTAAGTACCCAAAAACTATGCTCGCGTTCTCTAGCAATGAGAATTCATCATGAACGGGATATAGAAAGTAATTATGTCGACAGAAAAGCTAAGAGGCCCAACACTTGACAGCTGTTCATTCAGATGTGGAAACAACAAGTAGAAACAACAAGATTTCTAACCCGGAAATTGATTTTGCACTATTTCAGTCTGATTATATAATTGAAATCATCACAACTAGCAATGTTACATCGATAAGCCTATATTCTTCTAGTCTGCTACACAGGAATGTACAATATACTAATCAAAATCGACGTAAAAAAGAAGTTTATGTGAAAATTTAAATCAAGCTTACTTCAAAAAGGCCCAGGCATAACCATCAGATAGCCCTTTTCCATGTTAAAAGACCAAAGCTCTTAAATCTGTCGAAACCGATTCTTATCCACAAGGAAATTTGAAGTTTTTTTCCAGTTCCTGAACAGCCCCAGTTCTTAGTATATTTCTCCATTTACTCCTGCAAATGTTGCGAGCTATAAGTAGGAAGTGCCAGCCATTCCTCAGTTGTCCAGGTTGTCCAGTAAACAAATGAAAACGAGGTTACTCTTAAACCTATTGCTCCTTCATGGGCTGGGGCCAATTCTTTGATCTTTGTCCCTGTCAATAAAAATGATTTTGGGACATTTCCTGACAGTTGGTGAATTGTAGATCTCGAAACCTTTAAAGATTAATCGTTTGCCTAACACAAAGTTGAGAATAATATGAGTACTTGTTAGCTTGTATACATTTATTCATACGCTTCATATGACATCCCTAGCCTTGAGGAAATATTTTTACTACAAGCCTAAAAAGTGGTGAGAAACCTAGCAGTTCAGTGCAATTACACCAATAAACAACCAATTAATGTTCTACTTGATCTTTCCACAGTGAAGAGGGTGTACCAGAACTGCTAGAGGTTGAAGACATGTTGCAAATGGAATGTCCAGATGCAAAGTCGGTAATTACCTACCTACATTCGATATATCAGGTGTTTGTTTCAGACAGGCGGTGAGAGAGCCTCTCGTGAATTCGATATGCAATTAACAATAAATGTTGATCCATAAACACAAGAACTCGATAGTAATCGCTACTGATAGCCTATGCGTATAATACATCTCATTGTTATAAGTAGTCAACAATACTAATACTGTATGATTTCTCCGGGAAATCTTATAGATAGACGACAGCCTCTGATTTTGATCAGCTAAGCTTGTCCACAGCGAAGGAGCACACATCCTTCCCTGTGATAAGAACGCAGTTTAATAGCTGATTCACTGATATGCTAATAATGCTATTTATGTGCTGTTTCCTTCCGTTATCGTTTGATAAGTGTATTGCTTGTGTAGATGATACATTGGTGTTAGTTATATTCGTCTGTTTCTAGATGATTTTTAGCAATTTGCTATTTTAATTAACTCAGTTCTCCCGCTGCATAGTTTTTCACATTGATTGTGTGGTAACGATCAGCAGATTTATCGATTTCATACAAACGCGAGTGTTGCCTTGGGCGAATGTTTTATGCAAGAAATACCAGATTTTCAAGTAACCATAAGGGTCTGGTGTTGGTAATAGTGCGAATAAATCATCTGATAGAGTTGGTTGTTCTTATGGTCACTAATAATAAATCCTTGTGGGGTCTTCCAGCCGCCTGGCTCCAATGGGGAAAATACCTTGAAACTTCAGGTTTTTATTCGTTAAAAACACAGGAAACATTGGAATCGGGAGAAATCTTCAATTTTCAGATTTTCAGTGAATTTACCGAAGAACTTGACCCTTCGGCAAGATTCTGTTAACTGCTAAATATTCTTGAGATTTTTTAATTTACGATGTTTCCCCGAATCATTTAGTCGAGTTTTATCTAATTTCGGAGTGGGATGGAAGTTAGAAACCTAAAGTTTAAAGACGCCTACCTTGAACAGCAAAGAAAAAATGTACAGACCAAGATCCTTTACTGCACTGACGGAAATAAGATGGACAAAGTTGACAAGTGTCTAAGATACTTGGTTTGTATGCAGTTTGTTTATACTTTTGTAATTCTACTTAGTAGCAATAGTTCGTATATAATTTCATACCATTCATCATAAAAGATATTAAATGTTGTGACGTTGCCTCCTGTATATTTAAGCAAACAGTTTTAAAAGTTGTGTCGTATTGTATCCGTGACCCTTCAATGGGAAATGTTTGTGGTCCAAGTGCTTGATTTTTCCTACCCCTTTGTGCTACAGGTTATAGGTAACCCCCTACCGCCTCCTGTTAATTAAAAAGCTTGACCATAATTGGAACACTCTCAATTTGTTGTTATTCAGAGTGTTATCAATTCGATCACAACAAAGTTTGAGTCAGCCTAGCAACACCAAAGCAAGGCATTCAATGTCTGGTATTCATTTCAATTGCGAGTATTTTCTGTGTAAGTGCAGTGCAGTAAAAAGCTTTGGTTTCCTATTATATGTTCACGTATTTCCCGTGATATGTTATGACATGGCTATGTCATTTGTGTACAAAACTTCTGTAATGTGCAAGAAACTTCCTCGACTGATTCGATCCTCGATGCGGCCATGGAACTTCCTTCGACACTTTTGATTACCATATGACATTTTTGTTGTTGTCCTTCTTGCCTGTTTTTGTATTTCTAGAAATTTCATAATTGCCGTCAATTCAATCAGTTTAAATTTTCTTTAATGTTTTCCTAATCGAGCATTTCTTATGGAGTTTAAATAATAGTCGACTACCGTGATTGTAGTTTAATTTTGTACAAATCATATTTTTTTGAAATGTTTAAACTACCATTCAATATGTCTACTTTTCTCTCACCTCCAACATGAAGGCAACAGCAAACCATAATTCAGCTTTGCGTACAAGACTCTGAGCCTAATTACTTTTTTATGATAAAGGTACATAGGCCGAGATGGCCCATGACCTAATTACAATCTGTTTCTATCAATGAATCTATAAAAATTGTAAACAAAACTTGACAAAACTGGAAATTATATACAAACCTTATTACAAAACAAGACCGAGTTTCCACGTTCATTTCTAAATTCTTTAGGGAGGGTGGCACTTCAGTGGAGAAGCTGATTCCAGACAAAGACTTCAAATAGTGTTGAAAATACCAGGTCAAAAACGTCGTCAAAGTCGTTTTTCAGAATCCTTTTACTTAGAATACTCTTGGATCTCCTCTTTTAGAAGCAAAAAGTGTATTCTCTTACAAATATAGAATTTTGGACTATCCTGGGTTTTTCAAAGGCTGTTAGCCCAGTTAAAAGTTAAAAAGTTTACAGCATCTCTTTTTTTGGCTAGCTAATGGGTAATGGCAAAACATCGTGAAGTATTTGTAAACTAGCAGTGGAATCCAATAAAACAAAATACAAGTCGGACAAGATGTCAAAAATTTCACTTTTTTACCTGTTAAGAATGCAAATTTTCTATTTAAATCAATAAACTGAATTGACAAGTAATGACTAAATTTGCATTATTCCAGCATAAACCAAAGTCTATTGAAGACATGGTTTCTAATGGGAGAAAATTGGGGTTCTTAAAGCTGTCAAAAATCACAAATTTTAAACATATAATTTTCAGGTACATTCGATTATGTGAAATTACCAACAGACTATTCTTGTTATCAACGATATCAACGAATACATGGCTTTTACAAGGCTATAGTTTTGGTTTTAAATAAAGGAAATCAAAATCTGTAAATTGTTAAAAACTTATATAAATTCGCTTTGTCCAAATCATTTTCAACTGTCTGATTTACAAGTGAAATTTTTCAGTTACTACTAGAGTAACTCAAATACTTTAGCAAAAAAATTGGTTTTCTCAAAGGCTATAGCCTTCGTTCCTAATGTAACAAAAACAGTTTTACAAGTTGTCAGAAAACACAAATTTATTGCTAACCCTGGCTATATATATATATATGTCTTTGATTCCAGTGTTCTTAAAACCATGCCCCAAAAATGTACTATAGTCTTTGATTCCAGTGTTTTAAAAAACATGCCCCCAAAATATAATATAATCTTGGATTCCAGTGTTATTAAAACCATGCCCCAAAAATGTGGAGGATATCTCATATACTTGTAAATATCTCTTTACATGATTAGCTATGTTTTTGTTTGTTTGTTTTGTTTCTATTGTACAATTTGACCTGTTTAGATTGCTTATGAATTGTAGAATGTGTGAGAATGCCTCAAGGATTCGTGTCGCGGATTGTAGGCCAAAAGGTCTGTTGTTTGAGCCACTAACACGACCAGACATCTACTCAAAGCGAGGGGAGTCGCTATCTCTCTGTATTTCCAAGTGTATGAATCAGGAGGTGTACTCAACAACAGAGAAAAGACCAGAACACTGCTCGATAAGCACAGCTTCTCAATGTCCTAAAAATATATTTTCGAAGCTAGGTAGTTAATACGTGGATTGATTGACATATACTATTTCTCGACAAGCAATTAAAGGAGACGTGCTTTTGGGGCTTGCAATGCATTTAGACTCAGGGGCGGATCCAGAGCAAATTTCATAGAGGGGCAGTTACTAGTGGGGGCACTGAAAAATTTTCAAAATTGTTGACAAGAGTACGCTGTATACAACGATTCCAGATCCATTTTCGGAATAAATAACTTTGAGGTAATCCTTGAAGCAAATTAACCTATCGGTCTCAAAAACTTTTTCATCTGATTCCCATTCTTCAAAAGGGGCGCACAATTTCCAAAAAAGGGGCGCCAGACTTTCTTCAACTCGTTGAGGTAGGGGCAACTTCCCCTAGTTGCCCCCTAAAATCCGCCACTGTTTAGACTGTGATGATCTGGTTTTTGCAACGACCTCTGATCATTATAAAAGAAAATAAGATTAAAAAACCTTCGGAAAATACTTTATTAAATCCTCTCATAAAATTTGTTTGTATAAAAATATTTTATAACCTATTATGCCATACAAAATCATATTCCACAACATCTTTTTTATTGATCTGGTTCAGAAAATACCGATATCGTTAATTAATTATTGTTCTAATGTAGAAGCATTTGCTGTTTCTTTTTTCTAAAGTTTCGATTTTGAGCTTAGGCCATTAATCTCTTCCAAGCTTTCTTTCACCAATTCCAATACATTCTGTGCGCAACCCCAGTGCAATGTGATGCCACACGGACCATGTCCATAGTTATGAACAATCTGGAACAGAAGACCGTTTCTATAAGAAAATTATCTTTACAAGATTCAGCCCTATCCCCTTCCCCACTTTATTGGCTGCATCATTGTTTTGAGCAGACTGTTGCTTAAATGTAAGAGCATTTCTTCCTTGCTATCTAGAAAATATTTACTCCCCATCGCGAAATACATTTATACTCTAGCTATGAAGCGTGTTCACTGGGTACCAGACTCTCTAGCGAGTCTGGTACCCAGGATATGAAGAATGAGACCATGCTCCCTGCGACATCATCTTGTAACCTCCATATGTTTCATGTTAAATTTTATGGAAATAAACACAGAGTAAGATTTAACTGAAATTTGGTACAAATTCAGCTAAGTTTTCACAAAACTCTAAAATTCCATGTCAATTACCTTAACTTTTTTGGTAGCCTTTCCATCAGCTGCCTTCAAACACACTTCCTCTTTCTCAAGTCGAACCGATGACAGTCGGGATGGCCTAAGGCCAACCCATTCGTTTACTATCTCTGCTTTCTGTAAATTTTTAGAAGAGAAATATGCCAAAATTGAAGAGCAACATTATATAAAAACAGCAAATGTTTTTGAAAGGTGATTTTGATCGACTGAAAGGGGCGTAGCTAGCGGGGGTGTAGGTGTTGTGACACCCTCAAAATCTTGACTTGTTGGTCGATAAATCTTCAGTTGATACACAAAATTCTTAGTTGGTTGGTAAAACCGCCATCTTTGCCTTGGTCGGTTATTGATTCATAGAATATCACCTATAATCTTATACTTTGTCCCATCAAAGGGGAAAGAGAATAAAATTGTTTTTTTACGAAGCAGGCTCGTCGGAACCGGGGGAAGGGGGTTATAAATTATTCCTTTATAACACTGTTATAAATTATGGGGGTTATAAATTATAATGGGGGTTATAAAATAATGGGAGTTATAAATTATAGATAATTTCCTTTATAACACTGTTATAAAGGAAACTGTAGTATGTTTCCTTTATAACAGTGTACTGAATGAGAAGGAATTCAGTGGGCAGCACCCCTCCCCAAAAAATGAATTTCGCTCCGACGGCACTGCGAAAAATAATAAAAGTTGGCAGAAATCGGTATTTTTTTGCTTTCGTGCAATGGTATGAGGATGAGAAGCAGAAGTATTTATAAAGCTAATAAATTAATCATCAAAAGAGACGTAGATCAAATAAGTAGAAATAAGTAGATGACATGTACCTTCAACGATGGTATGCATCTACCGGCCCTATTGAGAATAAATTTGCTGTCCTTTTCAGAAATGTTATAATCCGTGGACTGCTGACTCACGGTGCCCAATACAACATTATCAATGCTGCAAAAAATCAATATTATTGATCGATTAACCGATTAAAAGATAGAAAGCGCGTATTTTTTAAGTATGTCAAGTTGTCAGCATAAGTTTCTGACCTAATTTTAGTACTGAAAGTTTTCACAAATTTTGTTAATTGCTTAAAGAGAAAACAAAGCTTGAAATCGTTTGGAACACAATTATTTGTAATATAACTGACATGTAAGTGAAAGTAGAGTTCATCATTAAAATTAGGGTTGTGCCTACTCCGTTAATGTTACGACGCCTGAAATAGTCTTCACTTTGTTCTTTGGTATTCTACATATTTTATGTAGACACTTTCTACATCCGTTTCGAAAGTTGGAAGGTTGCTATAGTAACTGGCAATGTTTCTTAGCTATTTCGTTGTAGTACTGTGATCTTTTATATTTCAGGGGGGTCTGGTACAAGATTTCTTCTAAGAGCATGTAAGCTTCAAAACGGATTTTATACAATAATGTGCATTGTTTATAACGAAAAATGTTGGTTTGATAGAATCATAAAGTGCGAGCTAACACTGTAGAATAGCTTGAGCAAAGGCTATTTCGCAAAACACATGCAAAACAAATGGGCCAAAAGGGACGATTACAAAGTATTATGTCGGCTAAGAAAAGCATGACACGACTTATCTAGGGGCTCTGCAAAGGACCGATTTGGTGAATGTGTACCTTTATGAGCAAACAAAAGTCCTGAAATTCAGTAAAATATGGTTTATAATCATGATAATATCACTGACATATGAACATTACTGTTTACCGGTCGGTGTCATACATACATATATACATACATATATATATATTGCAAACATCACTTACTTTGGGTATATGTACGTGGTATATGGATCAGTTCCCTTGTAAATCGAAACATGATAAAAATGCCGAATCCAAGGCGCTTTCACCTACGAGCATAAGAAAAGAGGAAGGGCTTCTAAAAAGGCTAAACAACGAAATATCTCACAACATTTCATTCAACAATCATAGATTTTCTAGTTTGCAAAGAATGAAATTGGTTGATTGTTTCGAAAAGCATTCTTGATACAAGAAAGAAACTGATAAACTAAGCCCCCAGCAACACGATGTAAATGAATAGAGTACGAGAAAGATCAGCAATATCCCTTATGGGGAAGACACGCTTTGAGTTTATTGAACATTGACAATGATGATGATGTTTTCGTGATAATATCATTGACTTATGTCTGTTAGGGAAGCACAAACGAAAATCTGGCGGGAAAGGTTTCCCAACGAAAATCGAGTCACATACCCTTACTAGTTGGCCTCGCAGTGGCACAAGTTCCTTATCTCCAGTGAGATCACGTGCTCCAACTCCACTGCAGTTGACGATGATATCAAAGTCGATAAGCTAAAAACAAATCTATCAAAAGTTCATCATTTTGTTAAATCAAGAGAAATCGTAGAGTTTGTAATGTATTTCACATACTCAGGGCCCGCGCCATGAATTTGAAAGTGGGGAGAGGGGGCCAAGGCTAAAAAGGTAGGGGCCAAGGACCCCTTTTATTGCAGCTTTAAAACTACTTGCTTCGCGCAAAAAAGTGGGGGGGGGGGGCTTGGCGACTCCGGCCCCCGGTGGCATGGGCCCTGAAACAGTACTCTAACAATCCTATATTTAACCATTTAAAAGGGACTGAGCAGCATAAAGCCTTTGCGCTCGTACGTTTAATAAAAAACAAAAATGTCAACCATTTTTGGCGTTACAAAACTTGAAAATGGCTTTGAAAAACATACTCAAATAAACAACATACTTTGCTCTTTCAGCTTTTTCCTTTGACACTCCTTGGAGTATAGAACGTCATAATCGGGTTCCGAAAGAACAAGTTGGAATATTTCAAAGTTATTTTACTGTTGATCAAGATTTAGGAACGACCGACCACGGCGGAAGGTTTTCTGGTCATGCCATAGGCCGAGACAAAAAATTTACTAACAGTTAACTTGCCGCGGGTGAAATCGAAAGGAAAATCATTCCAAGAAAATCTCGTACGCATTCGGTGGGAATCCTATTGTTTTGTATAAAAATCCCTGGAAATCCTTTTGTTTTCGTGAAAATCTCGTACGCCATTTACTGGAGCGACTAACTCGGGTGGAATGGCTGGCTGAGGTCGAGGTTTGAATGACATTGGTTCTCCCTTTGCAAAGAAGTCTACAAACAAAGAAAGAACGTCAACTACAGGCCAGGGTTGCCAGATGATTTGAATGGTTGGCGGCCAAATACTTTACGGTTGACGGCCAATTCGGCCAGCCAAACAAAATATACAAAAAGCTACATTTTTGCTAATCCTGTGGAGTAATAGTGTAATCAAAATTTGCTTTGTTTGTTACAAAAGCTTCCACTTGCTTTCAATTTCAATTTTCTGCTATCTTTTCTTGTGTTTCTTGCTTCATTATTTGCAATTTTGAGAGCATTTTAACAAAAAGTTGAATATTGTCTGTACTAAAGTTACCGTTTTCTTTGTATTCTTGTGGCTTTCGACATGCGGCCAAAATTCGGCCAACTTTCGCTTTTTCGGCCAAATCAATTTTCGACGGCCCACAGCTTTGAAAAACGGCCAGAATGGAGGAATTGGGCCGACAAAACGGCCAAATGGCAACCCTGCTACAGGCCTGCAAAGGCTCCATATTGCTCAGGCCCTTTTAACTTAAAATGCTTTTTAATGCACAGTCTTTTTAAGACACAAGGAACTTGCGATGACAATAAGTGAAATAACTAAATTTTCACTATTTATTTCAAAGATTTATAAAATGCTATATTTAGAAACAAAAATTATGCCTAAACCTCATCAAATGAATTGATTCTTTTCTCGATCACCTTTCCATTCTTCTCTTTGAATCTGTTGACATAAAACGCAGAAGAGTCTTGGGTTGAAACCATCCCATTAATTGCTTTTGGACGAGAGGGGAAAGTAGGATTTTTGAGCTTTTTGCTTAATAATGTCAACATGAGCACTGTATGAACCATTAGATTAAAAAGTGACACCAAGGTATTTGTATTGATATCATTATTTGATCTCTTTATCACCGAATTCCCATACCTTGGACTTGTTCTCATTTTTCTGACAACCATCAATTTATCTAACTGTTGAACTGCAACTTTAAATTTATCTTGCTTCGATTTATCTCACTTTGATTAAATTGATGTATTCAAATAGTTTGATAAAAATAATAGTTCAGAAGTATTAGGGATAAGAATTACCTTTTAAGAAGCCAAGGAAGGTATTTGCTGCTTTCGCAGATTACACTTGATATGAAGTAGCCAGATCTAACCAAAAAATGATAATTCTATTCAACTTTCATTAGAAAAGTCTAAAGGGAAGTAGGATTTGCAAAAATATAACAGGCTTTAATCGATATGTTACTTGACTTGTTAATCAATAGCTCCTTTTAGTTATTTGAAACCAAAACGGTTTGGTTACTGATACTCTAAGTGGTGGCAAACATAATTATTCACTGGAAAAGCAACGTTGCAGAAAAAGATAACGTCAAAATTGGCGGGCGTTGAATGACGCAGTGCAAAACAAGGGATAGTGATAGATCAGAGCATAATAGACCAATATCACAACAGAAAGATGTTAGGATCATTAAGATCTTATAAGTATTTGGACTGCTGCACCAAATAGATGACAGAGGGGGAAGGGGGGGGGGAGGCTACACAAAATGGATACCTGAAACATTCTTAGGTAAAGGTAATTATTGTTTGATACTTCTCTGAACTTTTGTTTCAACGTGTTTTCAACTCGCATGCAAAAGAACAACAAATCTAGGTAACAATCATGGGTAACAAGGGATCTCAAATTTCAATTCAAATTTTCGCTAAAATTTTCAATTCAAATTCTTCAAATCCAAGATTAAACAAAGGTCCAGAAATCTTACTTCTTACATCCAGGCCTAAGCTTGAAACCTGTTGTTCGGCTCAGTGATGTAACAGACTAAAGTCGATTTTAGTTCAAAAACTAAGGGCCCCAACCTATATGGCCCCCAAGCAAAAAATTTTCTATGTTATTTTACTTTGACGCTGGTAATCTTGAAATGATGAACGAGTTCATAAGAGTCTCAAGCCTATATGATAAATCAATGTAAATGAATGAATAGTCTCTTCATTAGCTTTTTTGTTTTGCCTTTACTATTTTACCAATGTTTCTTGTTAGGGGGCCAAAACTGGAAAATACCAAGAGCTACGGCGGCCTCCGTAATGCCACCGGCTCGGCTACCGAATTTAAATAGGCAACTTCTCTTGGTAAGTTAACTATTGAATTTATAATATACCTTATTTCCTCGCCAAACTCTGCCAGTTGTTCTTCTGTCAATTTAACAAGATTGTCTAGATTCTTCGACCAGGAACCCATCTACAACCGTAATGCAGATTAGATTAGATGTAGTTTTGTAATCGCACGGCAGCTCCACCTTGGTTATCGCAAAGCAAGCAAGGCCTCTGCTATTCAACATGAAAGATTCGAATTGAAATGAAATCTTCTGTACCTCCAATGTTTCTTTATCGCTAATGAAGTAACCAGAGATATTGCTAATTCCAATATTTGGTGCGAAATCTGTCTTTAGGATTTGTTTGTACCACTTGCAAGTTCCAGTTGCCCATTTGCTAAAAACAGAGAAATGGGGTACAAATGGCAAAGGTGAAATACAACACACGTGAAACGCATTTATGTTTTTTTTGTTTCTGATTGTAAACATATGGAAATGACCATATAGCTGATGATGATATGGCGACGTGTGCGCTTATTCGAATGTAATTTCACGGGGAACCCAAAACAGTCAGTGCCGAAGCCTAAAGCTTAAAACCCACTCCGGAAAATGATCCGCGGATCGGATCAGATCGTGTTGTTCTTTCGATCTTTTGAGAGACAGGGTGACTAGAATGAAATTTCGAGTATTCCTTCGTAAGTTGGTATCGTCGAAAATTTAGCCCTGTGGCCAGTCCTGCCCAATACTCGTAGAGACAGGACTAAACCCTATGTTTGGTCCTGCCCAACAATGGGCAAATGCCTCGTAGCCCTGTTTTTGGTCCTGCCTCACAATAGAAGAAAACAATAGCACTCCTGTCCTTTAGAAATGGCACTTTTGGAGCCCTATGTTCCGGCATAATTTGTTGACTTTCTGCGCTGTGCGTGGTCACAAAGAAAATTCACTCAGGCCATAGTCAGGCTTTCCTTTGGAAAAATAACTGTTTTGATATCATGGACCAAACTAACTGTAACGAAGACATCATGATTCTGCTGCTGAAGAGGTTTTTGCTGTTAGAGGCTTCGGGCAGGAAAGGCCTACACTGCCAGGGTGCATTCCATGTACTAACGTTCGGCGTACACCCAGGTTTTTTTTCGGCGTTCGGCGTGCAAACCAATTGAAGAAATTTTTGGCGTACTTAAAATTTTTGTTAGTTGGCATGCTAAACCAGGGACGGGGAATTAGCGGGGGGGGGGTATGGGGTAAGACACCCCCCTAATAATTCTGTGTCCTTCGGTAAATTTTGCTTCATTCGGTAAAAATCATTTGTTGGTAGTCAATAGTAACAAAGGAACGCCAAGATTTTACTTCATTTATTTTTTATCAGTATTTATCTTCTTATCAGTAGCGTAGCGGGGGGGATATTCTCAAATGTATTTTAAGCTAATTTCAAGGGCGTCGTCGCAAAAATTTTCTGCTCGATTGGCTCGCAGGAGATTCTCCTCTATATCTCTACAGAATGCCCAACACTTTCCCCTCGTTTTGGGATTTGTTTAGAAAAGTCTTCACGTTCTTGAGCATTCCACGTAAAAATGCTTGGAAATTGCCACGTAAAAATGCCATGGTTTTTTCAAACACATTAACAAAATGGGTGTTTTCCCAAATTCTTAAGGGTGTGATCAGCAAAATTATTTCCTTCTTTGGCCCACCAATCTTCCAAACCTGGCTACGCCACAGTTAAAATCAAATTCTCTGGACCTAAAAAGAATATAATACTTGTTGTCTCGTACACAACCTTCTAAAGCGCCTCCATAATTCAAGAAAAAATGGCAAAAGCGATTTTTCAGCAAAAAGTTTCCAAGCAAAAAAATATTTTTCAGAGGCCCGAGTGTAGTTCCATGCCGCATGAACGCTCATTGCTTGGAAACTGATTAGGTCAAAGCTTTGAAATTTAAAGTGTTTGGGGGCGAAAATTAAAGGGAGCGAACTTGTGCGCAAAAGGGGGCGAAAATTAAAGGGGCGAAAATTAAAGGGGCGTAAAATAAAGGGAGCCAAAATTGAAGGTAGACTAAATTTGAAGGGACTAAGGTAACCTATTTCTTATAAAAAATGAGTGTACTATATATTCTGCTGTAGAAACAAAACTTGGACTGACCCAGAGCTACTCCCCTTTTTTTCTTTTCTCATTGCTACGATTGTAATAGTTTTATTTTGTAAAAACAGGCTAGCCAGTGACAAATTACCTTGTAATAGTGAAATTTGTAGTTTCAACTTGCATTAAAAGTGAAAAGTTTCCATTATCATCATTATAATCTTATCAAAGTGTCATATATCTTTAGCAATGATACTAATTGGGAACATTTTTTTAGCCTATTTACTATAAGATTTAATATAAGGCTATCATATTATCTCAATGTATTATCAGTTATAAAATTGCATTTCTTTGTTAAATTCTTCTTTACCTTTAATTTCTTTGTTAAATTCTGCATCCAAAACGGTATAAATCGAGAGCATCCCAAGTCAATAATCCACGTGCGTACATGATGTCCCGGATTTTCTTTCGCATACTTTCGATCGCGTGACATTCTGTTTACGCGGGTTCATTTTGCAAACATAGAACTCAAACAAAAGGCACCATTGTTTAAGGGCCTTTGAGATCAATAGGAAAAGCGATTATTTATTGGACACAACAATGTTTGCTAGGGGGCCTACAATAGTAGTTACATCCAAAAAGTTTGTATATTGTGTATAAAGTTATACTACATACCTTATCAATTCTTCCGGCGTATTCATTAATCCCTCATCACTTTCATCAATTTTGAAAATCCCTGCTGCACCATCACTTGTTGTGTTTGGACTGAATTTCTCTGCGAACAATGTAACGTCTAGATGATCATTAAACGTTTTTAGGACGTATGCTGAAGAAAGGCCGATAATGCCAGCACCGATAACTGCAATTTTCACCATTTTGACTGAGCAATGTGTCTGAGGTCTGACTGGCCTGAGCGAGGTCTGACTGGCCTGAGCGAGGTCTGACCAACGAATTGGGTCTGACAGAGCACAGAAATAATAATCGAAGTTGGGTCTGACCTGTACTTCTCGTGAAAAACTGCCAAGAGAAACAAATGAGAGTGGAATATTATTCACTTTGTACCCAGTAGCTCTTTATGGATCGACTCGCATCATATCAAGTTTCTCACCGAAACAAAAACACTGCCAAACAAACGCAACGCAGCTGTGATGAGCCGATGCAAGGGGGTTGGCTTGGGATTGGGGTTGGCAAGGGGGTTCCTTCTTGGCTTGGGAGACGTAGCCTGTGCTCCAGACCCCTAACGGAAGTAGTCTGCGTAACCAAGAGCTAAATCACGGACGACCGATTCCCAGGACCTCTGGGAAAACTAATTATACAAGAAAATGATTCATAAATAACTGGCACGCAAAATCATAAATAACGGAACTTTTTTGGTTGGTAGGAACGCAATCCTTTTGAATGGATGAAAGGGCTCTCCTAGTGCTGTAAATAATACGAGGAGTGACAGCAAAGAAACATTTTGTTATGGCTTGCCTAATCTGACTCTCGAATCGCAAGGAAGTGTTACCAATCCATGGTAGTTTCAAATAAACTGGTCACTTTTGCGGACCAAACTTTTGAACAGCCGAAAATCTTTTCCTTAGTATAAGATAAAATGATATCTTCTGGATAGCCGTTTTTTTGTATAAACGGTTGATTTCGTAAATTATATCTAAGTTCATTCAACTGACAAGCTTTAGGACTACCATTGCAGGGCCGCCGGAGCCAAGGGGGCCACGGGGGCCCAGGCCCCCCTGTTTGCAAAAAGTATAAATAAGTGCCCCTTTTTGAAATATGTTGCGCGTATAAAAATATTTTTTCACTGCCAGATATTCTGCCTTAAGAAGCTAAGTAAAATAACATAACTCTGGACGTTGTTGGAGGACCATTCATTGAAAATTCCTTAAATTTTTACTTGGTCTTGATGCAAAAAGCGCAAGCTCCTGTGATGAACAATATCAACTGCGAAGGAGACTGCCAGTTCAGCGAGAAAATTTCGTTAGTATGTCTTCAGCAACAAACGCATTAGTGAAAGGTCCGGTCAAGTCCCCGGCGGGCACAGTCAGTTGGTCCAATGTATACCGTGTGTGTTCTTGAAAGTAGAAACTGGAGCCCTATCTCTGATTCTGGGATGCGTAAAATGTACCCTATTCAGTTGTTAATGTTGCCAAAATGTTGCCAAAATTTCTGATACCAATTCATGCTAGAACCATTATTTTTCTTAAAATTATGAATAGGCAACTTAAAAAGCAGAGTTCACTAAATTTGATTTCAACAATAATCCCTTGTGGTTCTTGACATATATATTAACAAAATCATAACTATAACTGCAACATATTGCTTGCTTCACAACATTATGTTCAATGTTTTTATGAAGAAATGAAAAAGTTGTGTCCTTGCAATGAATACATGCTAACAAAGACTTAAATTTCTTATCTAGGATTAGAACAATATACAAGACTAGACGTATTGCAAAATTTGTTGTACTTCAATATGCCATTGATTTATCTAAAAAGTTATCATATCAGTAAATTCCTGCTCTTTTTTTGTTTCCTCTGACTGATTAAGAATGCAACCCAATTTTCAAGATTCTATGTCCCAGAATTCTAGCTTTTTTCGAGTTTCTCGGAACTCACGTGTAATACGTTTTACCAACAGACTGAGTCCCCCCTCCCGGGATCAAGTCTAAGGAAAGTTACAAACCTATTTTATTCATAAGACTGACGAGATAAACCTAATCCCCCAGCCCCCCGGTTCCGACGAGCCTGCAAAATAAAACATTTCTTTGTTTTTTGGATAAATTAGTAAATTAAATGACACAATGAAAGACTCAAGAACACATTTCCATAATTCTTTTTACAAGACGACAGCTCATTTTACATTAATCCTGCACTTTGACCAAAATAATCGTCTATTATAAAAATCGTCTATTGAAACAATGAAAAGCCAAAGGTGCACAAACTCAACATTAAAAAACCAGGAACGGGTGTAACAACGTCTTTTAAAGGATGGACGGAAATGTTTCTTTGGATGATAGTTCACCTATTTTTGGTTTAATTGACACAGACAAATAGAAAGAAGAGCTCTAGTTATCAAAATAAGATTAATGTGCCTAAAAGACCTTTTTTTATAGGCTTTGCAAAAAAGGTACTGATTCAAGGCTTTGTCTTCTCTAACTAAAACTATTGCCCTTTAGATTGGTTTTTTTCTTCGGCTAGATCAACGGAGAAGATCGAAAAAATAAACAAAAGAGCCCAACGTTTTCTTTACGATGACCATGATTCATCTTGCGGAGATTTGCTTTGCAAATCACTAAAAAACACAATGCATAAGTACCCGTTAAGGAATTTCTGTATTGAAATTTTCAAAACTGTTAAAAGTTTACGTCGTCCACGTGACTTGCAGCATAGCAGGCCCATAATGAGCAGGCCCCACCGAGAGTAGTGTCTCGTGAACACAAGGTGGAATACAAAAACGCCTAGCAAAAGTATTATTTGCCTCATAGGAAGTAACTTTTCCCAAAAGGATAAAAACTTGCCTTTTGATTTCCAACTGTTATATAGGCATAATACTTCCTCTGTTAAGGATCTGTTTTAATTTCCCCCCTTTGTAATGTATTAATTAATTTGTATTGCGTTTGTCGCCTAATTTGAAACCATCTTTAACATCAGCTTCTTCTACGCACAAAAGAGCGATCGAGATAAACGACCATCATAATTAATATAAAATATTATAAATGTTTTACATTATCACAATTTATCACCACCTTACACAATACAATTATATTGATATATACTGCAAGCACAAAATATAAGCTACAGACCAAATAACTCGGCCTATACGCTTTATCAATAAAAATATAGTCTATAGGAAAATTAATGCGTAGAATCACTGAAATTTAAGAATAATTTGAAAATAATGCAATGCTCAAGCTTCATCAGAAAATCAACTTTTTTTTATTTTAAGCTTTTTGGAAAGCAAAAAAATTCCAGTTTCAAGCAAGTATCGACTAAAATGGGACTCAGTTGCTCATCGGAGAGTGTCCATTGCCTGTCGATGGCACTAAGAACTTTATGTTCAATTCTTGTTTGGTTTCTGTGTTGACATAATACACCTTGGGTCGCTTAAGAATAATTCAAGAAAAATCTTAGGTTCAGAACAAAAAAATTAAGAATATTGAGGCTCGGCAAATATTAGGTATGGTTATAAAAAAGTGTGTACTTCCTAATCATAGTTTCGATTTTGAACTTAGGCCATTAATCTCTTCCAAGCTTTGCTTTACCAATTCCAATGCATTCTGTGCGCATCCCCAATGCAATGTGACGCCACACGGACCATGTCCATAGTTATGAACAACCTGAGCAAAAAATTAAAACTAAATACAGCACAAGGCTAAAATCTTGATAGGCTGAAGGCTTCAACTAAATCATGTGGCCTCTCTCGCCAATTTACCGAAGACTATCTGAAAGACCATGCCAACTATGGACATACAATAAAGTAACAATGTGACCCGGTTCGACAATAACAACCAGGTTTGTCGATGTGAACTATCGTTCTCGGAGGAGCAAAGCCGTAGCGAAGGAAGGGAGTGGTTCTGACACCCCCTTAAAAAACATTACATTTAAAAAACGAGGAGCTTTTTGCAATCTAGGGTTGCTTTGCGTGAATAAAGAAAAGGTCACGATAGCAGTGTGCTCGACGGGCTTCAAAGAGTTCTTGCGGCGAAAATAGATACAAACGTAGCGAATAAGAAACACCGCAAAGCGACGAGAATGTACATACCCTGACTTTCTTGGTTGTCATTCCATCAGCTGTTTTCAACCACATGTCCTCTTTCTCTAACCGGACTGACGTCAACCGTGATGGTCTCAGGCCTACCCATTTCGTAATTATTTCTGCTCTCTGTCGATTAAACAAAAATTGATGAAGAATCTTTACTCCACATTTTGATAACTAAGCAGATGCTAGCGCAGGCGTCATTTTCATAACTAGCTATGTATTCGAACTTCCAGGGGCGTACGTACCTTCTAGGGGGTGTGTGGGTGTCACACCTCCTCCCCAAATATTTCCAAACAGTGGCAACATTCGGGCAAATACTCGGGAACAAAAAATTCAGGCATGGGGAAGTTTTTTTAATTTCTTTATATACATTTTACTTTTCATTTCTTTATTTCTTCCAATATTTCAGTATACCTTGGTGTTACTTAAGAACATATGTGAAGAACATAACAATAGATAATTACTTTATTTATTCATAATTAATAAAGATAAAATATATCAAATTAACTAATTGATATTTTTCATTGAAATCCTTAACAATTAAATTTTCAAGAAATTCCCAATACTTGAGGTATCAATACGCTCCAGTAAACTTATATCAAATCCGCGCCATCTGCGCCATATATCAAATCGTTGCTAGACAAACCTTATTTTGCATAATCAAGACTAGCAGGATCTCTAAGCTATGCGCATACAGGATGCACTGTATTTCTGGTTCCTTTATTCTATACGAAAAGACACTTTACCTTGAGAGATGGCATGAAAGCGTAAGCTCCATCCATGATTCTTTTGTGGTCTTCTTCAGAAAGGTCGGTCTTCCAAGATGACTGCAATACGCCTCCCACTACAACATTGTCGATGCTTCGAAAACAATACAGTTACTAAAAATTCTTTGCGATCTTGGAAAGCATTCTAGTATGCAAAACACAAATCAACCTATTTTTTCTCCGATAAAAGTTTGTAGCAGTTAACAATACAACTATTGTTTAAGGTGAATACCTCTTGTAATCGCAAAACGTCAGGGTAATACAGAAAGGAAAAACAATTTTTTATGTATAACTTGAATCCTCGAATTAACCCTCTGGGGGCTTATTTATTTTTGATACCTTTGGATGGGGGCTTATTCAAGGGGGGGGGGGCTTAAATGAGAAGGGGGCTTATAAAATTATTATAGACATTAGGAAGACAATATTAAAAGACTTCGCTTATTTTAGTAGGAATTTCTTTATGAGCATTTAATTAATTACTACCAAAAGTATGAATTTGTTGTGTTAATGCAATAAAATGCCATAGGCAACCTCAAATGGCAAAAACCATCAAATGGAGGGGTCAAATTCTAGAATTTACGGTAGCAGTGGGGGCTCATTCGAGGGGGGGGGGCTTTTTGACAATTTGTAGTTCTAGGGTGAGGGCGTATTCAAGGGGGGGGGGCAATTCGAGGATTTACAGTATGATTCCGTCAAGCAAATCTAATGCTCAATGGGGAATACGATAACGGATGCAGATCTAAATAAAGCAATCAGAAAACGACGACATTACCGATCAAATACTGTTCTCTAACCTTTAGTCAAAATTTTGCCTATAAAGTGTTTTGCGACGGTAAAAGAGGCGATAAAAAATAACAAATCTTTGAAATATAAACAATATGAAGCGTTTGAAAAAGTCCCACAAAAAAGAATCACGTGGAAAAAATCAAATTTCCATTAGCCTGTGCTCCAGAACTGTTCTGTCAGGTAAGGGTCCTGGGGCACAAGCTACGCTTCAATAGGCTTAGGTTTGAGCTTTAACATATTTTATCAAAGATGCAAACTTGCTCACTTTGGGTATAGGTATGTAGAATGACTTCCGCTAGAGTAGCAAACGTGATAGAAATGTCGGATCCATGGTGCCTTTACCTGAAAACATACCAAGAATAATTAGTAAAATGGTCTGCTAAAAGATGTACCTTGAAAATGTGTAAAGTTTCCGATATGTCATCAGGTTTCCGATATTTCAGTATAGCTTGATGTTATTTTCCCTCAAAACCAAATTGAAATGTAAACTATAAATCAAAAACGTTTCTCTTTCCAAAATTGACTTTCTTTGGCATAACAAAAATATCATTGACACAATTTTGCAAATTTTCTCCTAAAGGACGCTTAAGGACACCGAAAACGTGAAAAAAGTACAAGCTAATGTCTATTGACGGACTTCTCCCAAAAACTGACCTCTCTAAATAAAGAATAAACATTTTACTAGAATTTTCTTTTCATCTTCAGACAAAAGGCACTACAATGTACCATTAAAACATAATATTCATCATGTGAAGGATAGGTTCGGGTTTTAAGGGTCAGGAAATTGAATCTTTTTAATAAATAAAGAAAAAGTTAGTCAACAATCTTTTTCTCGTACAGAATTTGAAAATGTCACTTTTTCATCTGACACTCTTCAGAGTAGGAAACGAGAGAAAGTAGATCGAAAATTCTACGCTAGGAAATATATATACCCAGTTGTCGATCGAAATACGCCAATCAGAAACGTGAGCACATGACTCTTGAGGTTGCCCGATCAGTGTCGCTTGCCTATTGAAAATATTACCGATGGAGTCCTAAGGTGGAAACGAACTCCTTCTGTCTACACAATAGAGGTTTTTTTCATGGTCGGAGGAGTGGCAGACGAAAAGCCGAGGTATATTGCGAAATTTTTTTTCAGAAGACAATTTACTGCATTCATATGAGACAATATTTGTGCCATAAAAAAGGGACTTGGTCGATTTTACCCCCAGAGATTGCTAAAAACCATGATATAATTTCTACTTCTTTATCAAAAAAAGTTCATTGAAATTGTATGTTATGCTACAAACTCAACAATCTAGTTCTCTATCTCGAACATTTTGTTCCATGTTTCAGCTAGAATCACTATCCCTCCTTGGTTCCTGGTTGGTACCCAAATACGAATTAATACCATCCTATTCATATGCTTAAAGGATGAAAAATTTGGCTGATTGGTACACAAAAAAACTTACTCGTGCAACCTGGCCTCTTATTGGTACAACGTCGCTGTCTTTGCAAAGGTCCCGTGCTCCGATTCCAGTGCAATTAACTATGACGTCATAATCAGACAGCTAATGAGAAAAATGGATACTTTTGGTTGAGAAGATTGTAGCATTCTGCACGTAACTAAGAGTAACATCTTGATCCATCGTTTGCAACACGTGTACAATTTCCATGAGTAAATATTTCAAAGAACGTTAATCTGCTCATCCAAGGACTTTCATAAAACTTTGTGCAAACAACTTCATAACATAATCAGTAGTTGCCAGCTATTCAAAAAGACAAATTACTTTTTTAAACTGTTTCCTTTATTAGAAAATAAATTAAAAAAAAAATTACTTTGAAATAATATGTTACAGGTACCTCGCTGAAAGAATTTATCCTTTTTTCCACAATTTTTCCATTTTTCTCCTTAAATCTATGAGAATAATAATCTTTATAAGAAAAAATACTAAGCAATGTTTGCTGTAGGACGCACAATTCAAAGATAGGAAATATGTACCTAAAAACAACAATTTTCTGAGATCTCTAAAAAATGGGTAGAAGGAAGAAACTGGAGTTAAAGTTTCATGCACAGCTAGGCCCTGCATGTCCGCCATTA